GAAAGGTTATCGCGTCGAAGATCAATAAATGTCGCAAAGTTACATTTTTATTAATATTTATTACAAAGGAACAATTAATAATATTTTCCAAATTAATGGCGGAACAGGTTAATTCATTCAATGGGTGACTTGTACTATTTAATAAAGTTTGGCCTAACACAGAAGTTTTTTATGACCAATATTTTATTTGTTATTTTTTTTCGGTCATGGTTGTAAGTAATGACCATTATTGATTTCATCAGATATCACAAAGATTCTTGATGTGTAATTTTTAATTTTTTATAATATTGAATAACCAGAACTTGTGTTTCTTTATAGCAATCCATAACATCCTTAGTTAATACAGTAAACAATTTATATATAAAATAATTAATTTTAATCTACTTTTTTTAAATTTGACTCATGTCCCAGACATTTTTTCCGTTGCGTTACGTCCGTCGCGTTACCGATAGAATATTAAAAAAACATATATATGGCAACTTTTTTGGCACTCACGTGATCAAAAAATGATGTTCGGACGTACACATTACCCAGCTGAATTTATTTATTCAATCAGGAAGAAGATATCGGTTGAAACAGGTGCGGGTAACGCGAATGTAATAATTGTTTGTCCGCTAAGTTACTCAAAAAAATAATAAAAATGAGGTAAGAAAAAAAAACAATTACATACGTACATTTTAAATTCAAATGCGTGCGCAAAAAATACAACTTTGCGTAGATTTTTTATAAAAATCAGATTTTTTAATTTTATTTAAATTTTGGATTTAAAAGTAAAAAAAAGTAAAAAAATGTACTTACAGGTGAGCTCAAAAAGTCCGCTAATCTCTGGCTGCTCTCCTTGCCTCTTTTGTTTCTGATCACCAAAAATATCGTAGCCACTTTGGGACAAGATCTTAACAGTTTTTCCACTAAAATTTTCCCCATAAACCCGGTAGCACCGGTCACAAGAATATTTTGGCCAGCGTACCATTTCGCAACTTCAGATTCTGCCATTTTAGTTTATTTAGTTTCTAATTTAAAAAAGAGAAAGAAAAGTATTTATATTTTAAAAATTACCAAAGTATTTTTAAAATTTATTTTAATTAATAATTTGATAAATGTCGCACCAAACTCAATATATCACAACCTATATAAATAGTGTACTAAACTGTATAGGAAGACAAACCTACCAAGAAAACTACTCATTAATGCTACTAATGACAAATTGATGCTTCTCAATGACATTTAATTTTAGTTATTGTAATTAAAATGTTTTCCAAGAGTTCAATATTTCCTACAGGTAAAATCGTCTACAAAACAATATTACTTTATACAGGGTGTCTCGAAAATAATACAACACACCCAAGTAAAAACTAAAATCCAATCAAAACTTGTCATAAAACATAAATAAATAAAAAAACAAAAAAAAAGGTTACTTACAATGTATGTAAATACATGTTTTAATAACGGTAAAATTAATTAAAACATTATGTACCAATATAAAAATAAAGTAAAAGTAAAATACTTTTTATCCAATGTCTCTCATATACATGTGACATAATATAGATAATAGGGTGGGCCAAAAAAACTGACTATTTCTTTTTACTTTGATAACAAGGTCCTCCGCTTTACAATTTTCCATTTTTTCCTCAGTATTAGAAACAAAAATTTATATCTCTTCGACAACTGTTCGTTAAAAAAATAACTTTCCTCATATTCTTGTAGGAAATCGAACGCTCAAAAAAGGTCTCTTACAATTTTTTCGTAAACCTCACCGTTAAAAAGATATCGAAGGTTAAAGTTTAATTATTTTAAAAGAAATTTCTGTTTTGCTTATGAATTTTATAACTCGCTTACAAAATTTTTTTATGAATCGCGCAACTCATAGTTTTGTATGAAATTAACTGCTCTACAAAAATGGTCTCTTATGATTTGTGGCTTAAATTAAGCGTTTAAAAGATATTCATCGTCAAACTTCAATGCATACTAATTTTAACAGTTTTTGATGAATAATTCGAAAAATTTCAATTTAATTTTTGAGTTTTACGAAAATTTCTACAAATTCGAGTTTCTATCGTAAAAGTAAAATTTATTTGAGACTTTTTTATTTTAATAATATTTTCATGAAATTTATCTTTATACCTAATAACTTAAAATCATAAGCAATTGAAAGTTGTTAATGATTCGGCAGAGCGAGCTGTTGCATAAGTCGATGATTATAACCAATGCTTAACAAAAAATGAAGAGCAATTTCAATATTTATTGCAAGTTATAAAAGAACATCGCAAACAACACCCAAATTGTAATAAAGAAAACTTTTTACAGTAAAAGTGTACCATTATATTATAAATGTTAAAATTTTTATTTCAGTTGATAATAGTATATTAAAGAACTAATGTCATAAGACGTCATTTTGTCGCACGCGGACAATTTATAAAACGAGCGACGAAGGAGCGAGTTTTATAATGGACAAGTGCGACAAAAGGTCTTATGACATGAGTTCTTTATGCTATTTTATCTATTTTGCAAACATTTCATAAAACAAATTAATTTTATACCTTATATTTAATTTGGTTAAATTTTACTTTACATAGTTGGTATCATAGATAACAAAGTTTGAAGTTTGAAAGGTCATTAACCTTTCAAACATTATCACATTCTTTCGCTATGGCGTCGTTAATTTACAACAAGTATTTACAATAAGCGGCTGTTAAAGAAGAAAAAAGGATTTTCTTTGGTGTTAAACAAAATTTATTGCACGAAAAGTCTCGTAAGTACTAGAAAACAAATCATAAAAATATTATAACCTATAGGTATTCAAAATTGTATTTTACCAGTAGCCAACCTATAAAATCAAAATTTTGGGTGGAATAAAGTACCTCATTAAAGAACCAAAAGCGGTGTTATAATGAAGTCATTATGAAACCAAAATAGATAAAATTAAATAAAGAAACTATTTAATAACAAATAGAACATTTTTTTTCTTCAAGATCAATACTTTTCATATTAAATTTATGACAAAAACGTTATTTTTTTTTAAATTTAATAAATCATTGACTCTGAGTTAGAAATAATGCACTATTTTTCTTTTCAATATAACCAAACAAATGTAGGACTAGAAAAAAACGAGAAAAATAGTTTCTCTTTTCATAGGAACTCAAATTTGTATAAATTTTCGTAAAACTCAAAAAATTAGATTGAAATTTTTCGAATTATTCATCAAAAACTGTTAAAATTAGTATGCATTTAAGTTTGACGATGAATATTTATAAAAAAAAATTATTTTATACCTTAAATTTAATTTGGTCGAATTTTACTTTAGATAGTTGGTATCACAGTCATTGGTTTGACAGTTAATGTCAAAATCGATTCGCCATGCCGTCCTTAATTTACTTATTTACAATAAGCGGTTGTTAATGTTAAAGAAGAAAAAAAGGATTTTCTTAGGTGTTAAACAAAATTTATTGCCAGAAAAGTCTCGTAAGTACTAGAAAAATCATACAAATATTATAACCAATATGCAAAATATTATGCTGTTTTAAGTAGGTGGGATAAATTATATCATTAAGATAAAAATGTGTAAACTACGTTATTTTAAATTAAATATGTAGGTACCTACTCAATTGTTTAATTAAGAACTAATTGAGCTTTATGGTTTAATTGTAAATTTCAAAACTAAGATTTCTAATTTTAATAATACAATAATAACTACGTATACAGGGTGTCTTTTTTATTTGAAGAGTTACAAGGTCGGTTAAATTAAAGAAAAGTTGCGTATATAAAAAGTTATAAAAAAATATTCATACTATTAATTTGTCTGAAAACGATGGCAAAACCAAGGAGATAAAAAAAATGTGAATAATAATTTTATTTTGTAAAATATTTTATAAAGTAAGTACTTAGGTAGGTAAAGAAAAATATAATTACCTAGTACTTATATTTCCAAAAAACACGTTCACTTGACTTAAATTGGCAACATTAAAAAACCTTAATGATTTATTGAGTAATTTTGTTAAATGTCGCGCGTTATAACCCAACCGCACTGGATAAACACGTACTGTTTAATATTCTTTACACTCTTACACTTCTTTTGAAGATTTGCATCGATTGACTTGGTAGAAAATTCTGGTGTCGCAAGTACCATTTACTTTGTCTTTTATGTGTACATGGGGGGGCGATAACTATTGGGCACACTATCGTGCAAACAATTTAATAATTTTGCATTTTTCCATTCAGATAATACAATATTTTTCACGTTTTTGAATTATTTAACTTCATTTTGACAATTCTATGCATTTGACAACTGTCAAATAACTTAAAGCTAACTTCATCCTTATGTTCTGTGCTTCATCCCTTGACAAAAACACGCAATGCTACCAACTTTGGCCTTTGACTAAAACGCCAAGTCTATATTTTAGAAATATATTTGACAAAATAAAATGGTATAAACCCTTAAGTCGCTTGAGTAAGAAAATATTTCTCAACCAATTGATGAAGAGTACTCAAAGCCAAATTGCATAATATGTTTGCTTTTAAATTATTTGTTTGTCATTTTCTTTTGCAATTTAAATACCCAAACAAACCTACACAAAACAATAATAATTATTATATTGCTTATATAGGTACATACAGCCAAATACAAAAGGATATTTAGGCCATAATTAATTTTTAATTAACTTTATCACAACAAGCCAAACAAATAATCGACCTCGAATAAACAATTTTTAACATAAACAATTAATTGACTCATTGAATTGACCAACCCACACTTTCTCTTGTATTTTAGAACAAGTGCCATTCTATAGAATTACATCTTCAATCAACGAGCAAATCTTGATTTTCGCAATTTGGCATTTGTTTAACCATTGCTACATTGTTTAACACTAAAAGTATTGCGAAATTTATCAACTATTTGTTTATACTGCCGCTATTTGGGGTAATTACCGAAAATGTTGCGTGTAGGCAATATTGTTACAGTTCTGCAATCTGGGTTGCGTTGATTTTTCAAAATACATAACCTCAAACAACAAGCGTTGAAAATGAGTGATATCCATACTGTTGAGCATTTCTACGGGGTTTACTTATTGTATTGCACTAATCCTAAATATTTAGGTCGTACTTACATTGGTTATACTGTGGATCCTAATCGCAGAATTAAACAACACAACAAAGGTAAAAAAGCTGGTGGTGCGTGGAAAACTAGTAACAAGGGGCCGTGGTAATATATATATACATATTGTTGGTACATTTATTGTTTTTTTGTTTATTTAAGGGATATGGTAATGATAATTCATGGTTTTCCCAATGATATAGCTGCCTTACGAGTAAGTAGTAACAGTATTCCACTGTAAGCACTCAACAAGGTTTTTTTCAGTTTGAGTGGGCCTGGCAACACCCTCATAGCTCTCGGAGACTCAAACACATCGCCAAGAAAACATACAAGGAGAAAGTGTTTGATTTCTGTTTGAGAGTGCTGTCTGAAATGTTAAGAGTCGGGCCGTGGAATCGATTGCCTTTAACTGTAAGATGGTTAAAACAGGAGTATGCCAGGGAGTTTCCGGTACGTTGAGTCATATTTCAATGCTGTAGAAGGTTTTTTCAGAATTTTATTTGACATTTTATCTAACAGCTGTCAAGTGATTTTAACCTCACTTTTTAGAAATTTGACATTTGTCAGACGGTTTAACCTTACTTTTTATACTGTTAAAAGGCAATTTTTAGGCTAATAAGGTGCCACCCTTGCATATGCCGTTCTGCTATGGTTCCGTGATAAGTAAAAAGTTGCCAAAAAACTCTGATTCAACCCAAAATACTGCTGAAAGTCTGGAGACTTGTTATATCTGTGATAATTATGTAGAAAATAAAAAAATGTTGTGTTTAAATCGTAACTGTAATGTGGCAACTCATATTTTGTGTTTGTCAAAATATTTTTTACAGGAAGGTGAGTATATTCCTATTGAAGGTAAGTGCCCTAAATGTAATGAAACTTTTTTATGGGGAGATTTGGTAAGGAAATATAAAGGTTGTTATAATAATGATATTAAAATAAATGATCAAGGGGATAATTTTTATGATTCTGACTCTGATTAAGTAATTTTATTGTGTAATTTATATTTTTAATTGTAATTAAATTTCTATTTTATTGTTTTTGTAATTTACCTACCTATGTAATCGATTTTAAAAAAATTTGAAAATATAGCTAATAAAATTTTATTAAATAATATACCTATAAAATAAATACAATGATATTTTTATTTGACTAGAAACACTTTATAATAAATAAATAAATAAATACTAAATCTATGACCCAAAAAATACCCCCAAAGTTTATAAAACTTACATATTTCAACAAAATTAAAAATTTGATAGTTAATTTTGCTAAAAATGTTTGTACTCAAAACTTAATAATCATAGTCGTAATCATCCCTTGAAAATAGCCCATCTGCCCCCCCAAAATCTTCGTAGTCGTCGACGCCGGGAGGGACGAAAGCCCCCCCCAAAGCTTCGGAAATTTGTTCTCCAAACCCAACTCTTGTGGCTACACCGTATATTACCCGCATCACAGCTAACCTAAAAAAAGGTTAGTAGGTAGTACCAAACAAATAATCGATTTATCTCGTTTTCTATTGGTCTGGCAAAAAAAGTTTAAAAACAAAAATTATAGAGCTTTAAATTTTCAACGTATTTTTTTTAAGGCAAAACTGTCTGTGTTTGGTTCCTAAACCGATAGAGGGCGTTAAAGCTGACAAAATTCAGTTTTTTTATGATTTGACCCTCTAAAATGGATTTGAACTAAAAACGCTACATAGAAAAGTTGTAGATCTTTAAAATATCTATAAAAATTATAAAATGTTTTAATATCATTTAGTCAACCGTTTCCGATATACACGCTATTTAATACAATCGAACAATTATTGAGTTCCAAAAAGGTAACAAATATATCACTAGCTAATAGCTAGTAGCTATAAACCCTGCTACTCTTTGGAACGTAGCTGCTACGTTACTAGAACGTTCCAATATCGTTGCTTGAGCGTTATAATTACTTTTATTTATTTGTTTTTACTTCTATATTAACTGCCTTTGCCAAACTTATATTAAATTATACTATCCCTCCTTTTTTAAATAAAACCACTACGGAATTGGTTTTTCAATGTCGTCGTTTATTAAATATGTACTGGTAGTTAAATTTATAACTTCCAGAATGACAATATAATGTTTAATTAGGCAGGTAAATTTATAAACCCTTTAAATTTTACTGTTGAACTTATGAATTTAGTTTTTGTAAAATAAATGCACTTCATCAAAATTTAAGTATAAACAGATTATTTATTTAATAATGTTTATAAATAAAAAAATCCTAATATTTATTATTAATTTTTTATTTAATTATTAACACTGTCTATTACCAACAAAATTACTATTTATTAAAAAGTAAACAACCATTTACAAACAATTAAATAATTTATTATTTGCATTACCACGTGGTACTGTACAGTAAAAAATGGCCGATAAGAAGCATTTTCCTTTGAAGTAGTTTTGGCTACTTTAAAGTTTTTTCCACCTTAATTTACTTTACAGTATACCAAAACTATAGTTTTGGTTAGTACCATAAACGTTCCAAATACTAAAATTATAACTTTTAAGTTATTAACTTTGTAGTTTTTAACTCATGTTCCAGTTTCGAGATTTTAACTTGCAAAGGGACTACAAAGTAAAAATAAATATAATGTAATCTTTAGGTAGAAACCGAAAGTAACTGCTACAAATTAAATTTACTTGAAAGTTTTTTTTACTTATAACACCTTTTTTAAAGTTGCAAAGTCTTCTGGGGGTCAACCAAGTTTTACTTAAATGTTTATTACTTTATAGTAACCATTTAAGGAAAGAATTAAGTTTCTTTTGTCTGACCAATGGAAAACGACACTCTAAATTTCAAATTATTTTTCAAAAAATGTAAAAAATAATTTTATGACAAGTTGTATAAAAACTAAATTTTACCTTATGAAATCAACAGGATTTGTTTCCTTCTGCCTCAAAATCATTTGTTTCGAACTTTTCTTCAACTTTTTCTTCTTCTTTTTGGCCTCACACTCACTCAACAGTAAAACAATCAAAACGCAAATCAAAATAATTCGTAAAATAACTCTCATATTACTTGTTGGCTATATGACTATTTTACACCAATTGATATCATAGATGAAAATTATTCCAAACCAAATAATAAAACCAGGTTGCTTGAATAAATAAAATAGGAACTAAATTTTACCACCATTTATATACAAGACTGTACTTTGAATTTTAAGTTACTTGCTTTAGTTAAAAGAACAGTTATGTAAAAGTAGGTTAGTGAAGATTCTTTCAAGTTAGGAGGTAGGTATGCAAAAAAAATTTAACGTAATACATCTTTCAACAAATAAACAATTATATACAGGGCTTTTAAAAATGCCCCTTTAAATATGTTTTACTATACATGAATCTTACAAAATGTTCCCCAATTAATTATTTTTTACAATGTTTTAAAAGTCTAAAACCTATCCTCCGTGACTGTTACTCTTTCTAGGTTAACCTATATGTTTTCAAATATCTGAGGTAGTAAAAGCATACCAAAAATATCAGTTCACTAAGTAAATTAAACACATCCAAAGCAATCGAATCAAATATAAAATGTTATTAAAAATTAAAAGAAATAATTTTTATAACGATTTATGTAGGTGTTCTATCCTCCGTGAATCTGTTTTTGCTTTAAATTTTATGCAACAGATAGCGCTTTAATCATTTTAAATAAGCAAAAACCTCTGTTTACGACATTATATATAGATGCATGTGATTCTTGAAGGTCAGTTAGAATTTATATGCAGATGAGAGCTCTCACTAGTGTTGCTGTTTTATAATTTAAGTTCATTAATTTGCTTTTTAAAAACATATCCACCGTGAAGTGTAATATCTCAGTAAGTAGATTTTTTTAAATATTAAGGTGTCAAAAGATACAATAACTTATTTTAAATATACAAAGGGATGTTTAAAAAAACAAGCGAAATCCTAACCTCCGTGAAGCTATCTTCCGTGAAGCTCTAATATTCTAAATGTACCTATGATTTCTTAAATTTTTTTGTTGTTTTTAACCCTCTAAAATTGATTTAAAAAAGAAATGCTAAAAATATCTTAAAATATTTTTTTTATAAAAATTGCTAAAAAGTTATACTTTTTAACACAAATCTAGTTGGTTTGACACCTGTCAACTTCAAATATTTGCTAGATGCCTTGTTTATTTTGTTTCCATGGCAACCCTTATTTGAAATATTTACCACATTGTTGCCAAGTTTTAAACTTATATAAAGCACATATTCAATAAAAAAATGATCTTGTTATACTTATACATATTTATTAAATAACTCCATATAAAAAATAACACAGTATAATTCTAAAACTAACTTAAATCAAGACATTTTCATATTTATTCCATTATTTGTATTTTGATTGTTTACGTTCTGCTCAGAACCTCCATTGGCAGAAGGCATGGTAAGTAACCTATTCCTCCGCCTTGTATAGTGTTGCCATAGCAATATCTGCTGATCATCGATGAACTTGCTGCATTGAGCATTCACCAACTCCCTTCGAAAATGTTCATATTGCAATAAATCCAAAAAATACAGACACATTGGGTATTTTAGATATTTTGCGTACTCAGGCTCCTTCCAGTAGAGCAAATACTTCAGGTAATTAATGAAATTACTCTCCTTTAAGTACTCCCTTTGAGCCAAAACTACAAAAAGACAACAATAAACACAAATAAGTGAGGTTATAAAACGTACAGTTCAAGTAATTAGGGTTTCCCAGGCACTGCACGAACTCCAGTTCGACTTGGAACCGTAACCGTTGCTGTTCTTCGGTCTCCGGAACACCTGGAAAGTTATACAAACCTTTTTAAACCATAAAAAGTGTCCTTTTACCCACAACTCTCACCTTTACCTCCCAGGGCCGCCATCTTTGTTTACCACAGTGAAGTTAGGCGTTGTTAAAACTTTTGTCTGTAGGTTGGTGCGATTGTCTTGCGATTTTATTGGCGTGAGGTTGTCAACGCTAGTGTCAAGAAATTACCCGAAAAGCGAGGAACGATGAAGATTTTCGCAATGTTCTAGAAATTCTTAGTGTCTTACAGTTTTGAAATTACCCGTGTAAAACGCTGGTTTACGTTTTAGTTGTGAGTGCCGATTGTAAATAAGACTTTTGTTGCACCGGTATAGTTTTTTTGTACGAAACCAAAATGGCAGCGACAAGGAGATTACAAAAAGTGAGTTTAACAACACAATATTTATTGGTTTAATTTAAGTGCGGTATTAAAGTGTTACTTGAAGCCTTCGGGTGGATTTTGCGACGCCTATCGGCGATTATTAAGTTATTAGATGTGCAATAATCGATTTTCAATTTCGAGGAATTTTGTACGTTTTTCTTGGTAATATAAGGCGGTGAAATGTATTTTTAACCTTCGCAGACATCCTGTCGACACAGTGATAAAACCTCAAAACAATGCATTCGTCTATATTTATAACTGATTTCACGAAAATGCCATTTACTCTAAATAACCCCAACATTTACAGTTATTTGCTCAAGGTCATTTTGTTAATTGCTTTTATCATATTTCCATTGTTGTGATTTATTAGGTATCATGACTCATCTTATTGCAGGAATTGGGTGATATTAGGAATTCCGGGTTAAAGTCTTTTCGAGACATACAAGTGGATGAGACTAACATCCTAACATGGCAGGGACTAATTGTGCCTGTAAGTCTTTAATGTTTTTAAGTTTTGGTGTGATTCAAATGTTGGGGTTTAATTTGTAGGAGAATCCGCCGTACAACAAGGGGGCGTTCAAAATAGAAATAAATTTCCCAGCCGAGTACCCATTCAAGCCACCGAAAATCAATTTCAAAACTAAAATTTACCACCCCAATATCGATGAGAAGGGGCAAGTCTGTCTGCCGATTATCAGTGCTGAAAACTGGAAACCAGCCACAAAAACAGATCAAGGTAAAGTTGGTTTATTATTTTTGTCTGAATGTGTAAAATTTCAATTTTTGTTTTAGTAATTCAAGCGCTAGTGGCTCTAGTGAACGAGCCGGAGCCTGAGCATCCTCTTAGAGCGGATCTTGCTGAAGAATACTTGAAGGACAAAAAAAAGTTTTCCAAAAATGCTGAAGAATACACGAAAAAGCACAGTGAGAAAAGACCCGCAGACTAGTTATTTTATAGTTTACCATTAATAAATACCTTTGAGTTCATATTGCATTTTTAAACTTACTAAATATAAATCAGGGTTAAATATTTATTTTTCTTATTACCTTTTTGATTAATTTTCTTTTTATCACCATGCAATTTATGTTCTCTACTTTTTTTTCAACTTAGGATTTTTTACTTTTTCGGTTTGGACTAGAGAAACTACACACTATGCTCATGTTTGCGTACATTTTCACTACCGCTTCAATTTTAACGTTAAGAGCTGTAAATAGGGTGAAATAAATATTTTCTAAAATATTTTGGTGTTTTATTTTTCAATTAACCTCAAAAAATGCCGAATTACCTAGAGCACATAACCTCACTCAAAGAACTTTTGAGTGACAGCATTGCCAACCGCGTGAAAATATATTTGGATGGCTTTGTTCCAATTGATCCAGAATTGTCAACAATACATTTAAAGCATACGAACTGTACATTATTTTTAAATAAAAGGTAGTTTTTTACAAATTTTGTTCAATTGCACAGATAAATCGCGCACGTTATTTGTGTTTTACGTTGCAAGGAAAAAATTACTCTTTTAGTACTCGATTTCGATTGATTATTCCTTATATCATTGATTAAGAAACTCAACGCTTAAATGCTTATATAGTTACGTTGGTGGGATCATGGTGAATTATTGCGTTTTTAATTGTAAATAAAATTCACGAACTAAATCGTTGCCTTTTCATCTTTTGCCAAAGGATCCAATTCGGTAAGTAAATTTGTTGGTGCAGAATTAACTAATGATAACTTTACCTAATATAATTTAAATTTAAGTTTGGACATTTTTAAGAAATTAGTAAAAAATAATTTTTGCACAAACATAACCTTAAAATCAACCATTTTTATATTAATAACAACAAAATATACCTACGAATTCATGGCAACATAATATTATATTTAATACATAATATAATGGTATTTTACCGTTGAGTGGAGATTTTAAAGAATTCTTAATCAACGTTTTGAATAATGCTAAATGCTGTTTAAATTTAGACGACTTTTGTTTGACGATATTTACTGAATTGAAATGTTTACACTTTTCACGTTAATCACTACTAAAACGTGTATTTATTTATCTAATAGGTACAATTTATATTTACAGAGACTGTATGCAATTTATTTCTTCATTCAGATTAACACTGTTTATTGGAAAACCGGTAAAAACTCAACCCAGGATTTCCTCTAAAATACACCCAACAACACAACAAATCGAGCCACGGTTTCATAACCAGCATTTTTGTATCGTGGAACAAAGCCATGCAAATATATTTGCACGCGGTTGGCAATGCCGTCACTCGTTAGTGAGGTTATGCGCGTTAACCGTCAAACTATTTTAAAATTCGTTATCGCGGAATAAGAGATAATAAAAACAATCATGAATCCACATAGGAACATTAAGTCGTCGACACCGATTAACAGAGTATCAAGCGTGCCCGGAACTTCCACGGGTAAATCCAAGTCATCTCAAAACAGATCCACACCAAGAAACAGCATGGCTTCGAATAATAGCAGGTTGAATATGACTGCTAACACCACAGTGAGGTCGAATAACACCACTCTGTCTAGAGAGAGTTCACAGAAGGCGGAAGACGAGTGGACGTGCGAGATTTTATACAATGAATACCTGCAAACAGCGTTGAGAAACAAAATCGTCAAAGACACCATAAAAAGGCACTCGGAGGTGTTGAATGGGCAACTGTTGTTTCAGAAGGACACCTTGATGAGTCTGGAAGCCAACTACCGCAAAATCCTCGACGAAATCGACGATTTGCAGAAGCAAAACGATGTCGTTGAAATGTTCAAAATCCTCGAGAAGAACATCAAAGAGCTGAACAGGTTGTTCAAAAAGTACGAGGTGCACAAGAACTTGGACCGCCTCAACGAAAAATACGTGGCGGAATCCAAAACGTTGATCCTTCAGGATGTTAAGCCCATAGGAAATCAGGAGGAACTGGACGTTCTGGATTCAGGCATTAAAAACTCTCTTGTTCTGACGGAAAAAATACTGGAAATCGCTAGAGACAACGCGGAGTGCCACGAGTTAGCCGAGAGTCTGAGAGAACACACGATGTTGATGTCCAAAGCAAGAGACCAGCTCGAAATGATGCACAAAATGGAAGATGATTTAACCTTTGAACAGCTGAAACAGTGTTCCGATTATTTGGCGAGAAGATAATTATTTTTTGTGATACTTACTTTTTTTTAAGTATTTTTTTCGTAATAAAACATTTTTAAGTTTACTTATTTATTTATTTCCTACTATGTGATGAATAGAAAATATTGTACAAATTTTGTACAAGAATCATCAAGTAATTTTGTTTGCCAATCTGACATCTGTCAGACGTGTTTAACCTCAGTTTTTCCCATTTTGACATCTCTCAAAAGGATTTAACCTTATAAATATATAAATTTCATACGGTATCTTTTAAATACATTAAATACACATTTTAACATTAGGCAAAACATGAAAATGCAACGATTTAGTTCTTGAATTTTATTTACAATTAAAAACGCAATAATTCACCATGATCCCTTAGATAAAATGCACACACTAACGTAACTATATAAGCATTTAAGCGTTGAGTTTCTTAATCAATGATACCTATAAAGAATAATCAATTGAAATCGAGTAGGTACTAAACCAGTTTTTCAGTTTTTTCCTTGCAACGTAAAACAAAGATAACGTGCGCGATTTAGCTGCGCAATTAAACAAAATTTGTAAAACAACTACCTATTTATTTAAAAATGATGTACAGTTCGTATGCTTTAAATGTATTGTTGACAATTCTTAAATTCACGCAATGCTTTTGAAGTCCACCATAGAGTAACCAAATTGAGGTTAGGAATCTGTTTTACCGGTTTTCAAAATGACGGTGTTGGTTTGTCAAATTTTCTATAAAAATCTAAATTTATTCCTTGAAAATGGACTAACCATCCAATATAGAAGCAGTTTTTCCACAGTGAAAGTACTATTATTTTGACAATTGTATGACATTTGACAACTGTCAACTAACTTAATAACTTTAGCCTGTGACTAAAACGCAATGTCACAGCTTGTCAAGTGTTTTTGTTTTTAAAAGTGTCATGGAAACATGTATATTATGCACAAGTATAGTATAATAATATACCATTATTTATTAATAATACAAAAAAATCAATAAATGCTTTTTGGTGGTAAGGTTACACACAAAAAAGTAAAACGAAAAGAAAATCGTAAAAATAAGGCATTTAAAATATATATATTTTTTTAAATATATCACCTTATGAGCTGATCTTGATTTCTTGCTGAGATATCTATTTTAAATGAGTGACTTTGAAAAAAAAAATTCTGATATGTCAAAAAATTTCTGACATCTGTCAAAAATTACGTATCAGATGTCAAAAATGAGTAGTTTCTTATGGTGCAACTTTTTTTTTCTAAATTCTAAAAATAATTTATAATAACCTTTATCCTACCAAAAGGAACTTTAGACTAATCTGGTTGCCTAATTTAATTTATTATGTTATGATTGGTAACAACTAGCGTTTCCAGATTCTGTCAAAAAAGTTGCCAGATTTTGTTTAAATTTAGATTTAAAAATGACAAAATCAACAATGCAAATTGTTAATTTGGCGTTTTTATTAATTGTTTATTATGTCATTTTTGTAATTAAAGTAAATTCAAACAAAATCTGGCAACTGATGAGTGTTATATAGTGAATTTCTTTCAAATTCTAGGTTATGTGCTCAAATTATAAATATCTTAATTAAGGGAAGTGCTTTTGAATTTATTTACTTAAAAACTAAAGTTCATTTTTTTTTATCTGGACTGCGGCAACGTTGCAAATTTAGGGTTTTGGTTGATAAATACAGTTGTCAAGTTGGTCGAATTGATTAAAACAAACTAAGCTAGTTATAAATCTAATTGTGGTTATGTATAAATTATTGTAGGTTACATTGTGCAGTTGTCAAGTTGAGTTGTTAAAAGTTAAAAAAGCAATTAATTTGGCTTTGGTGGTACTTGGATAAGTAAAATCATATAAAAAAGTAGTTAAATATAGGTTGCTTTACGGCCCAGAAGAGAAAGTATTCCTAGCAGATAATAATCTTCGCTTTGAAAAGACATTTTTTTGTGAACGTAAATGTTGTCCAATGGTGAATAATGTGAAAATAATGTGTGATGTAATATTTATAAAACCAAATTCGTTACTTTTTTACTCTAAATATGTCCATAAGGCGATGTACTTTTTCTTCCATGGTATTTGGCATAATTTCATCAAAATGAAGTTTTGCCCTTAAAATAGCTTTTACATTCGAATTCGTTGCTATTATTTTTGGCATAATTTTTTTTATTCATAATTGATAATTAAATTATCAATAATAAATATTTGACAGTTTCAAAGAATTTAATTAAATTCTTTAGCAGAAGTAGGTATCATTTTTAAATACTAAAAATAAGCCACCAACCTAACAAAAAAACACGAGTCCAGATAAAAAAAATGAACTGTACTAATTTAAAAATATTTTTTTGTCAAAAATATAAGTGTATTAAGAGTAACAAGCTGAAATAACAAAACGGTTAAAAGGGAATAAAATAAAACGCATCAGTATTAGAACTTACGATTTATTTTTGTATATTGTACAGATAAATGCATACTTACACAATATGTGTAGGTATGCCGGTTGGACGAGATGGTAAAGGCAACGTTCAAGTCGCTTCTACGAAATCGTCACAATTTTCTTTTTAATATTACAATGTCAAAAAACTTATTTGCCGAAACGTACCACGTGAATGTGAGAGCAAGTCCGGCAACTTGAATTTAAATGTAAAAAATGCGGTAGCTATATAATTTTTACTTTTACAGCAAAGTATCATCAACAACGTAGTAGAACTACGAAAAAAAAAAGTAAAACAAGATTATTGGTTAATCGATTATAGAAAATAAAGTCATCATGTTGTTTTATAAGATCCTAAAAAACGTTGGAGCATAATAAATGCCATTAGAAAAAAATCTACCACTAGCAAATATATACAATACTTATCGATAAGGGGCTGTGAATCCCATAAAACAACAATTTTGTTGACCCATCTAAATTATTTATTATTCATCGTATTTTTATTATTTTTTGCGTAGTACATGCTGTATGTATGAACCTTCTCACATAATAACTTATAAATAGTAAAATAGAAAAAATCAAGAGTGGGAGTGGGGGGTGGGGGGGTGCGCGAGGGACGCACCTGTTATTCTTGGGGCGGGGAGGGCGCCTCTGCGGCCGCCTCCTCCCCCTCTCCCGGCTGCTTGGGGTCGACTTTCTCCTCGCGAGGCCTCGCGCCCCCGAATATTGTCGACGATTGCGACGTTTCGGCCAGCGCGTTGACCGGCGCGGCGACGGTGCGCGGTTGCAGCTTCAGCTTCGGTCTTCCGGAAGTGTCTGCGGACGAGCGGAATGCAAAAATTACTTCCGACGCTTTTTTTTTAACATCGTTTAAAAAAATGTTGAGGCCGGTCCTGTGTATTTTTTTTTGGTGAAAATTGTGTGCCCCAATTAAGAGTATGAAGTATAAATCAAAAACATTTGAAAATTACGCGTGAAAATCCAGAACCGTTTGCAAAATACCGATATTTTAAGAGTTGAATTCAATTGCTCATACGGGTAAATTTCACCATTAAAATCTGGACTAAAATTAGAAAAAGATAATGCAAGTCCCCAATATTAAACGTTTTTTTTTAGTAGTTGAATAGTTATAACGTCAATCCATAAACAACAAGGTCTATTCTATCTCGTTTACTTCTTTTTTAATTGTTTTTTGTTATCACGGCGAAAAATGGTTATTTTAGGAAATTAAAAAAAATCTTTACGAAAACCAATTAAAATATAAAAAATATTTTGCAAAAATAAAACAAATTGTAGATAATTTATTACCTATACAGTGTGTATTAAAACGAATAGATACACTTAAATAAAACCCCGCCCACTGTGGTAGGGATTGAATTCGTTTGCTTGCCGTATCATTGTCGTACAGTGTTGCCACTTGTAACATAAGTATCAAATTGTAACATAATTTTTAATCCCAGTATCTGGACAAAATTAATTTAATTATATCCAGATTAATTAATTTAATTAAGCATAAAGCCTGATTCATAGATTTCCTTCCTTGCTCCCGTAAAAGATCAACAATACCGTAGTGCTGTTTATAGATTCCCGTACGGTATTTATAGTTCTAAAGGTAACGGTAGAGGCAGCGTTAGCGGTAACCAAGTTGGGCATTGAATATTACCTATATGAAACAATTTATAGTTGTCAGAGGTAGCGGTAAGGGAAGTAGAGGCAAGAACGTAGAGGCAAGAGATGACCATCTTTCATCTTTTCTTACCTCAACCGCTATTCCACCCAATCACATGGCAGTTTTTAGTTGACAGCCTCGCCTTGTAAGTTTAGTGTTTATGCGAGGGGCCGCCATTACCGCTACCGCTACTTTCTGAACTATAAATCCAGCTTTATAGTATTTTTAACAAATTTTATAATTTTCCAAAAAATCGATAATATTTTCAACCCTGCTTCTTTCACTTTTTTATGATTAAATTATAATAATTATTGTAACATAATTATTACAATTATTGTAACATAATTTTCCGAAAATTCGATAATTTTATTAACCCAATTCGATAATTTCAACTTTTACATCTGGCAACACTGTTGTCGTATGATCTGTGCGTCAGTTTAATAAGTGCACTGAGACTTTGCGTACGTCTTTGTAAGAATAAAAAAGTATTTTCTCAAATAAAATGGTTTTTACCCGTGAGGAAAAATACCAAATTATGGTATGGCATCACACTGGTAGATCGTATCGCCAAATACAAACTTTATTTCAAAATATGTTTCAAAATAGGCCTTTACCCAGTGTAGCTACAATCCGACTGCATGCCGCGCTGTTGCCATATGCTATTATTGTTTCCTAAAAGGGTTGTTTTTCTTATTTTTTAATATTAAAAGTAAGAAAATTAACTAAATCAAATTATTTTTGACATATTATTTTTTTTTTGTTATTTTTAAAGTTTCAAACAAATAAAATTGAACTATTTATTAAATAATTAAAATCGTTCTCTTCTGATTTAAAACAACCTGGCAACTATGGTTCGTAATTACGAATGGCTTGGTTTAAACCACGCCCAATTAAAGTTTGTTTCTTTTTCTCTGATCAGAATATAATTTGTCATCCTTGTCTCCAACCTTACTTACTTGATTCTATACAGTCTGTATAATATTTTAGCATCAAAATTGTCAAAAATATTCTTCTTTTATTAGGCTAAACGTTAAATAAAAAAACGCAAGAAATTTTTTTTTTAAAGTAAAGATAATTTTAATAATTGAAAGGTGTGAATAGGACAAAAAAAAATTATCTTGCCCCATTCACACCTGTCAATTATTAAAATTATCTCTACTTTTATTAAATATTACTTGCGTTTTTTTTTTAATTTAATGTATAGCCTAATAAAAGAAAAATATATTTGACAATTTAGATACAAAAATAATATACATATATATGTATATATGTATATGTATATATGTATAATAAATTACTTTATAACAATTATTATTATATAATTTTTTTTTTAAAACAGTTTTGTGATTTGTCCCGTTCGTATGCTTGAAAGCGACATCTATAAAACAATAGAATAACTATTCTTGGTCTGTATTACGGGCGCACCGGTCAAAATGTTGTTTTTCAAAGTTTTATGTCTAAATTGAAATTTTTCTCTACCCGAAATAATTTTTTTGATTAAAATTAAGATATGGACAGTAAATTATAAATTAAAATATTAATTTTTTAACACAAGCACCTCGGAAAAAAATATGACAGCTATCAATTTTATTGGAGGTAAGGGGTTTTATTCAAATTAACATATACGGTTTTTTGACAATACTAGCCAGGACCGGCCTCCAAATTTAATCAAACTTTCTCTCTTATTTGTGAGTTGTGATGGAACCCTGTATAGTACATTAATTTTACCAATTTGCCAGAATAAACTGTACCTTTCGAGTGCATTTGTTGTATTATAGGAAATGGGTAAAATGAATAATATAATATACAAGGTGTTCCTGAAATGCCTGTAAAAAATATAGATAAAATAGCAATAGTACACTAACCTGGAGCGGGATTGGGCAGATCCTCGGAGAAGCTCCTGCGGTTCTCTTGCCGCGGCCTGCCGCCGCCGTAACCGCCCCCGCCGCCGCCTCCGGGACCGCCGCGTCCTCCTCTCTGCTGCGTCCACTCCCGACCGCCGCCGCCGCCTTGCGGACCGCCGTCCTCGCTGCCGCCGCCGCCAAAGTTGCCGTAGTTGCCGCGATTACCGACGCCGCCTCCGCCGCGGTTCTCGCGATCGAACTGGCGACCGCCGCCGCCGCCGCCACCGCGTCTGTCAAAGTCGTCGTTGTTCATGCCGCCGCCGCCGCCGAAGCTGCGGTGGTCGCCGCCGCTGCGGAAACCGCCGCCGCCGCCGCCGCCGCCACGGCCCCCGCGTCCGCGGTTACCGCGGTCGAAACCGCCGCCCCTATCGTTTCTTTTTCCTGAAAAGGAAAATCGTTTCGAAAATATTCTAAAAAACCATTCATTAAAGACAATTTTTCAGTGTCGGAAGTAAAAAAAATATATATTCTTGTCACAAGAATATATATTTTTTTTACTTCCGACACTGAAAATTTGGTTCTTAGGCACCTCTAGAAAGTAAAGAATATTAATAGGCCATTCCACGCGTAACGGATAGGACAGTTGCCGTGTTTTTATTTACAAAATAATATTATTCTATTATATTACCAATGTCAAATTTTTATAAATAGTTCTAAACTAAAGCTGTTTAACAAGGTTTTTATTTGGCAAAATTAGGTATCGTGGTTGACTGTTTAATTCCTTAAAAACTAATAATTTAAAGCGTAACGGACGGGACTTTGTAATGGTCCCGCCCGTTACGCTTTAAATTATTAATTTACCTAATTTTGCCAAATAAAAAACTTGTTAAACAGCTTTTGTTTAGAACTATTTATAAAAATTTGACGTTGGTAATATAATAGAACATTATTATTTTGTAAATAAAAACACGGCAACTGTCCTATCCGTTAAGCGTGGAATGGCCCAGGAGTATATTAAAGATCAAAGTTTGAAGAATTTATGAAAAACATTTGTTTTTAATAAGTTTGTAACTCATTGAAAAATAATTGAGGAGCATCCGTGCAAAACCGGCTAAATCCATTTTATTCAGTTTTTTTTTTTTGATTTCGCATCTTTGGATTCATTTCTATCGACAACCAAGATAATTCTGTTTAAATCCGACTATATCTATGTTAAAATCACATTTAAAAGGTAGCTTTAGGAGCAAAACCGGCCAAATCCACGTTTTTATAGCAAACCTGGCTATATCCAATAATTAATAATATGTGGCTTGGATATGTCAAAACTACTACTAAAATTTGTTCTGTTTTTTCATGTTTGCACAAAATTTATTTTGTTAATATTTTTGAATAATAAAGGTTTTTTTCACATTTTATTCGGTTTTCGAGCAAAACCGGCTATATACAAAACATTTTTTGAAATTTTGGCCTTAATACCTATAAAGTTTCTGAAAACGAAAGTATATCTTATAAATCAAGTACCACAAAGCGTACAAAACTCAAGTTTGCTTTTTCTTTTATCTGTAAAGGCCAGGAAACCGAGAGTTTTTGCCATTTTCCCAACATTTTATTAAAGTGGATTTAGCCGGTTTGCACGGATACTCCTCAATTAATGTCAAATGAGTATGACATATTTTTGTAGTAAATTTAACGCTCTACAAAAAAAGTCTATTGTGTTTAATTGATTATTTTAACCGTTGAGAAGATATTCGTATCAGTGCGCATTGATATTCGGAATTTTTTTTTAATAAATTCTTCAAATTTTGACCTTGAATATCTTTTAAATGGTTAGAGTAATCGCATTCAATTTCATACAAAAATATGTATAAAATTTGATTGATTGATTGATTAATAATGAAATATGGTCTTTTATATAAGAGACTAAAGAAAAAATGGAAAACTGTGATGAGGAGGATCTTCCTATTGAAATTAAGAGCTCAAATTTGGTGAGCACTTTCTAGAGGTGCCTAAGAATCACCCTAGGTGAAAACTTTTAATCTTCAAAATGTAAAATTGTTAAATATGAGATAAACAAATGTCCTCTGATGTTTTTTTTATAAAAGTACCCCACTGACATTTGTTTATGGATTTTTTTTTTATAAAACCGGCGTTTTTTTCGTTTTGTTTAAAACAATTCAATTAAAATTGCTTCATTTAGCAGCATATCCACAACATCAATCAAAATTTGAAAACAGCAAAAGGATCATGTTGCTAGCTTAAATATTAATTTCTCGAAAAACTTCATAGAATATTACCAAATAGTTTCATTATGTTTTTGTAGTCCATTTTTAACAAGGTTTAAATATTGAATTTTTCGAATTTAAATAAATGTATATATCCTTGCTTGGTTAACCAAGCAAGGATATATAGGTACATTTATTTAAATTCAAAAAATTCAATTAACAAATAATTTGTTTATATTTTTTTCTAAAAGTTAAGTTTAAGAACAAAAAATAATTAAGACAAAAATACATCAGTTTTAAAAAAATTATGAGCATTTAAACAAACACCAATTTTTTTTAATATTTACCACTTCTGTTAAGGATATTAATCGCTACGAGAAAATGTTCAAAATTATCAATCTGTCATTTTCGTTTAGGATTACGAACACGTGATTATCCAGGGATATTTAGTTTGATTTATTTAAAGTAAATTATAAAAAAAATACAATACAACTCATTTTAGGATTTTAAATAACACTGCATATAGAAATGTCACTGCAACTGTCAAAAGCACAAATCGTTTTACGTTTTTTAATTCACGTTCCTGTGTTACAGTATATTGTAATAAAATGAAAAAGTATATTTTGTTTTTGCAAGTTGGTACCTATTTTCAACTTATTTGTTTAATATTATTTATATTGGGATATACAACTTTTTTATTTTTGTTTTTTTAGCATTTTTTGTTTTAATCAATTTTAAAGAGTCAAAATATAAAAAAACATAAAATTTGAGGTTAAGTATGCGTTCGTCAAATGTCAAACGCGTTTCCGTGGAAACCAAACTGGGACAAAAAATACTGCATTAATAGTTATTTATGTATTAAGGGCATAATAAGGTTTTTATGGTCCGAGGCGCTATTTCGAGCCCGAGCGCGTCAGCGCGAGGGCTAGAAAAGCGTCGTAGGACCATAAAAACCAGTTATGCCAGCAATGCATACAAAACTTTATGCACGATTAATATATTATTATTTTTAATATATTATTGTTTTTAAAGACGTTTACGTCAAAGAATTTTTGTTATAATTGTCATATTATAATGTCAACTGACATCAGTCAGTTTTAAAGTTTAAAGATAAATGAAATTGAGGAAGCAGCTGAAAAGGCGAAAAATTGCGGCCTGCTGCAGGTAAAATCAAAATCTTTATACGAAAAAACTTACTTCGAATATATCAAATGGTGTAACATTGTTGTTTTTAATTTTTGACGTTTCATTATAGCCCGCTGGGCCATAATAACGCCCGCGGGCTATAAAAAGACGTTTACGTCAAAGAATTTTTGTTATAATTGTCATATTATAATGTCATCGTGCATAAAATAGTTTTATAAACGTCATTATGTACGAGCGGAGTTTTTATTTAAAGAATGAAATTAAGAAGTTTACAAAACCATGTTTTACCACGACGAACGCAAAGTAACGTTTTATTTGACATTTTATCTGACATTTGTCAAAAGGTTTTAACCATGATACATGATCTTTGTATCATGGGTTTTAACCACATTTTTTCCCAATCTGACATCTGTCAAAACGGTTTTAACCTATATAATTAGGTAATTCTTAAGGCATATTAATACTTTAATGACATCAAGTGATATAATAAAACCAAAACACAATAAAAAAAATATATAAACACTTGTGGTGTATGTAATTGCTAAATATTGTATGTTCTCAAGTACTATAAATGATTAAAATAGTTATGTCAAACATAAAAAATACATAAAAAGCAAGTAGCATTATTATTAATTGTATTTAAATGAAATGAGATAACAAATTTGCTTTATAGATAAAAAAAAATAAGGTACCCAATTGTTATAAAAACAAACTGATTAATTATCAAGGAATGTGATGATATGGTTTGTTACCTTCGGCCACATCGATTTTGATTGACTGTCCCTCGACTTCAACCATTCCATTCATCAAAATTGCATTCTCGAGATCCTGAACGGTGGCGAATTCCACGTAACAGAACCCCTTAAATCTGTCCGTCTCCTTGTCCATAACCAAGCGGATGTTTTTCACCCCGAAATCCTTAAAAATGCGGTTCACATCTCCCTGCACGATGCCGTACGGCAAATTTCCGATGTAGGCGGTAAACGGGGGCTCCGAAGGCAACTGTTTCTTCCCGCCGCCTCTCCGACTCGAGTACTGGCTAAAACAAACGAAAAAAAAAGATGAAAATCGGCATGTGCATTGCCGCTTTTTTCGACTGAGACGCGAAAAAACCCCCCCGCAAGCCGAAACTCTCTCGCAACTCGAACCCCACTCCGTCAGCCGCGAAAATCAACTTAAAACCACCGAATTCACTCAACAAACAACCTAAAAAATCAAATTTTATACCTTCCATCGCGATCATCGTAGTTATTACGTCCGGCCATATTTTTTCAACGACCTTAAAAGCATGCGCAACTCACGCTCTTTTGACACAAGCTTGACAATGCCGCCAACCTCGCGCTCATTGCATTCTTTCTTCCACGGGGAATTTATTTCGCTGGAATTTTAACTTTTTCACACGCAATTCCAAAGTAGCTTTGCAAAACGAACTTAAGTATGGATGGGTTTTGTGACTTTCGACTTTGACAAGCTGAAAACAAAAGGCAAATCAACATAAACAAGCCATACCGGGCTGACGCAAGCACTACCAACCTACATACCGAACTTTCTAAAATTACACTTTTCCATGATAAAATGTTATTTTAAACAACAATCACAACAAACAAGCAATCTTTTTAAAACCACCGCATTGAATATTTAAAAAATAACAACTAATTTAAAACATATAAAGAACATTGGTTGTATACCAACCCAAGTGAATACCCCTGCTCGCATGTATATCTCAACATGGACGAGGAAACGCATGTGGATGTAATCCCGGACGAAAAACCGAAAAGAAAAGTGAAACAGACGGTTTTGGACAACTTTTCGAAGATCACCAACCCCAACGAGAAAGTCCGCGTGAAAAGTGCGTCGAATCTTCTCAACCACTTGTCGGAAATCAAAGAAAACGAAAAAGTAAGGTTAGAACGGCTGTCAAAACATAACCTCTAAAAGACATGTGCTGTGTGTTTTAGGACGATTCCGAGCTTAAATACGCTCTGGGGAGGATTATAAGGGGGCTGGGGTCTTCCACAAATCAGGCCCGTACTGGGTTTTACTCGGCTTTAGTTGGGTTACTGGGTATTAGGGAGGATGTAAGTGTTAGCGATTTGTTTGAACATGTCGAAAAGCATTTACATAGAGTTGGAAGCAATACCAAAGGGGTGAGTTAATGTTTATATTTTCTTAGTTAAATGTTAATATTATTCTTTTGTTAGGAAAATGCTGATGTTAGCTCAGGTCAAATATTGGTATGTGGAGCTATTATACGATCCGAGCTGTTTTACAGAAGCAATGCAGAGGAACAGAAAAAAATTATCGAGTTACTTATATCGGCTGGAAAAGAGAGAACTTACCTGACATTGGTTTCCTATATTTTCATTCTCAACGTATTGGAAAAAGTGAGTTTTATATTTTTCTCAAAAAATTTCTATTTTAATATTATAATTTAGGTAACAGATAAGGAGGCGGAAAAAATAGTGTTGCCGCTGATAAAAACGGAAATTTTGAAGCCCATAAACGAGTACACACTGGATAGTTTGTATTTTTTAATGGCAGTACAACAGTCGAAGCCGAATCTGGTGAAACATAAACTTTTGAAAAACGCGTTCGGGTCGGACAAGGTCATTTGTCAGCCCAATTTAAGCCAGCTAAGCAACATTTTGACTGTAAGTAAATTAATATAATATTAAATAGCTTTCATAATGCTAAATAAAAAAAAAACATTTTATAAAATTGAAAGGAAATCATTTTTATAAAAATGAGTATTTTTGAGAGAAAATATTAAATCTCCTTTTAAAATCCATTAAAAAATCTTAAAGCGGTGTCTTAATGTAAACTCATGTGTTTTTAGGTTATGTTTACATATTTTATCGTTATAGAGGTTAGGGGACAAAATTAGTCATGATAAAACAATGTTAAACAAATTTTAGGTTGTTAATATATTAAATTATTAGTGGACTAATCTAATATTAATAACTTCTATTAGTTATTAATATTATTAAAGAAATTCCGTGAAAATATTGATAAGGCGACAATAATGGCATTTAAAATTGGTAAAAAGCGTTAGATGTCAGGTTTTATTTATTTATTTTTGAAAAATCATTTAATTATCTACTTAGTGAAGTAGATATAATAATATACTATTAATTTGTGATAAAGTGGTAATTTGTTAATAAAATAACAAATTTTTATTTTTACTACATTGGCACCATTGAATTTGCTGTCACAACCTTATTTATTTATCAACCTCTTCTTCTTGGAATGTCTATGGAGTGTTTGGCGGGGAAACGCAAATATACAGTCCCCTGCACGCAAATGTAACTTGTATAACTTGCTTCGAAAAATAATAATCTCTATTTAAATCTATTTTTTTTTATTTACAAAAGGAAATAGGTACACTTTTTTTTTAACCAAAAATATTTATTTAAATATAGTGTTAATAATATATAGGGTGAGACATTTAACTTGAAACTTTGACATATCTCAGTTGGTATGCATTTTACGAAAAAATGTCTAAAATAAAAATTTAATGATTTTGTCTAAAACATTTTTTCATATTTGTAATAGATGGCGCTGTAATGAAAAAAAAATCAATTTTGTTCGATTTTTCTTCTGTATACGATTCTGCAATAATTTATCTACAATTTTAAATTATAGTACGAAAATTCCCGCGAATTTTTGTTTTGGTATTGATTTATTTTAAACCCTTTGTTAATATTATAAATTCTAAATGAAATTTTTAAAGGGACGCGGAGGAATTTAAATTGTATCTAACTAAAGGTTTTTACATACAGTTTAATGGTTCCACTAATCTTAAAATATTTGGTTTTTGTCATATTTGTTCCATATACAGTTAATACAGTCCCCTGTCTGCGAATGTAACCCCTCAGCAATAATAAACCAACCTCGTACTGCGTTCAAGCAGTGTATTCGGTGTTGCCGCCCTACAGGCGGATTATCGTGACTAAACGTCGTACCCTAACCTCTTTAACGGTACAGGGCTCATGTTGCATGAGTCATGTTACCACCAACAATTTATATAAATCCGTTTTTTGTATCACAAACAGGCTATACCGAGGATTACCTCGTTACCTCACCCAATCTTCGAGTTATTCGCGCAAAACCTAACATCCTCAGAGCATTTAGTGGAATTTTTTACGGAGTTGGACAAACATTTGCACCGACCCAACCGTAACAAACATTTAGCGATCACCACGCTTTTTTCGCACGTGTTGAGTACAGTGGCAGATTACGAAGCAATATCGGATTTACTCGGCGAGAATTTCGTCAAACAAACCATATGCTACTTCAAAACTTTCACCAAGTACCAGAAAGACGGCGAATTTCAAAAGCAGATGCACGATTTTTTCGAGAAACTCGTCGCGACCTTGAAAGGCGAATCGGTGGGGTCGACGGCCAAAATACGCGTACTAAAACGGTTGCTGTTCCACCCCGGAACGTTCATATTCGAGAAAATAACGAAGAGCAAGATAATACAGCACATAACGTCCACTTTGGATGCTGATGGGGTTAAGGAGCTTTCCGATGTTTATTGCGACGTTGTGACCGGCAAGCTAAGCGTGGATATCGGCCCCAACACCAACGAGCGTTGGCTGAACAACGACAGACTCTACGCGGCGCATTTGTTGGTGAAACTGTTGCATCTTCCCGTCGTTCAAAAGTGCAACGACTGGAAGGTGGAAAAGTTGATGTTTCTGATGACAATGGGGATTTTCAACAAAAGTATATCAAATGTGGGGGTCGAGTTGGCAAACTCTTTGAAAGACACGTTCTACGGTTCGTTGGATTTAAAGGGGAGCAAGTTGGAGGACATACAGGACATTCTAACTAAATTGGTGAAGAATCTCGATGAAAAGTTGAGTGTGGATACATTGGAGACGGTACTAAGAAACCCCATATCTCCCGAAAACTACAGCACGTGGCAAAAAACCATGCTGATCGTCGATAAAATCGACAGAAAGAAGAAACGTAGCACCGGCATAAAATCGGTATTCCTAACTCTATTCTTGCAAATGCAACTTCAATTGCTCAACGACGCGAAGCTAGCCACCGAAACTCTGGAAGAATTATTCAACTGTTACGATAGAGTAAAAAAAAGTCGCAAAAACTCTCTTAACGAAACGGAACAAAGCGAAACTTCAAACGATCCTTTATGGATAGAAGTCGTGGTCGATTTATTTTTAAACCTGCTCTCGCACAACTCTCATCTATTAAGGAGTCTGATAGGCAACGTTTTCCCGCACTTGTGCGGCCATCTTAACGCCACCGCGATCCACCAGATTCTCAGCGTTTTGGATCCCAAAAACCAAGACAACCCGCTGACGAACAAAAACGAGTCCGACAGCGAATCTGACGGAGATTCGGAAGAAGAAGACGACGAATCGAATGAAGACAGCGAAGAAGAAGAATCGGACGTCGACGAAGACGAAAAACAGACCGACAAGTTGCGGTTGGCGCTGCACAAAGCGCTCGCCTCAAATCAGCAAGAAGACGACCTCGAATCGATAGATTTAGATCAGCTGAGCGATTCGGAGGGTCAAAAGTTGGACGAGGCGTTAGCCGAGGCGTTCAAGCAGTTCAAACCCAACAGGGGTAGGAGCAAGAAGCAAAACAAAGACGCTGAAACGCTTACGCACTTCAGGGTTCGAGTTTTGGACTTGATAGAGATTTATCTGGATTCCACTCCCAACATGCTGCTAACGTTGGAGATTATGTTACCCCTGCTGCAATCAGTGGAGTTTAGCGTAAGAGACGAGCACCAGAAACCCTTGCAAACCAGGTTGAAGAGTATATTAAAAAAATTAACCGCCTGTAAAAAGTTCGAAGGTCTCGACGAGGTAACCGATATAACTCTGTGCGACTTGCTGAAAAGCTTGCTGGAGAAAGGCACGAAAAACGCCATAATAATGCAGGAAATGGGCGAGCAAATATCAGATTGCTGCATTTTCATAATAAAATGCTCCCAAATCATAACATCAATAGAAGAAACACCCAAAAAAATCAAGAAACATCTAAAAAACAACATCGCCAACACAATATCAGAAGAACTAACAAACTATTTCACAAAAAACAACTGCCTGACGCCGTATGTGCTATTCAAAAGCACCCTTAACCTCCCATGGGAAGGCAACTTAAATATAACAACCACCCTGCTAGACTTTATTTACGACAGCAGCATAAAACAGTTCAAAAAAAGTCAGGCATTAGAGCTACTGAAAATTTTTTTCACCAACCAACGTTACCTCAGCCAAAACCCGGAAAAACTTAGAGGAAAAATCGCAGAAAAAGTTTCCACGTTCGTGCATACAACAACAGATTTCTTCAAAGACTTGTCCGCGAATATCACCGAAAATAAGGTTAAAGAGAAGTTTCTTTGCAACCTATTCGGTGTCTTGGCGAGCATAAAGTGCTGCCCCTTAAAATTCGAAGGCATTCATTGGCCAACGTTAGCGGAAAACGTACGCGAATACAGAACCCATGTAAGTTTCTCCAAGGATGCCAAAACAGCCTTCAACAAGCTGTGCAACAGTTTAGGGGTGTCTCACATCGTCAAAATGAAGCAAAACGTCACCAAAATATCCACAACAACCGAAGAAAAAGACGAACAACAAGTTAACGGCGACGCCAAAGTGGAGAAGAAGAAGAAAAATAAAAAAGTCAACAACGAAAAATTGAAATTAAAGAAAGAAGCGAAATCGCTGAGATTGCAGAGTCTCTCGGAAGGTTTTTCGAGTAAAGTCGACTTTAGCGAAGATAAAATAGCTGAAGATATTGATGTTGAAATGGAAGACAGCGAAGAAAAAAAAAACAAAAAGAAACGCAAAAAGAAAACAAGCACAAGTGAACCAGAGGAGGAAATGCAGGAAGAAACAAATACTAAAAAGAATAAGAAAAGAAAAAAGAAGAATAGTACAAGTGAAGAAACTGTAGATGAAACACCTAAAAATGCAGAAAACGGCGTTAAAAAGAAAAATAAAAAGAAGAAATCTGTGTAATAATTTCTTATTTGTTAATATTAAACATTTTTTTATTTAACTGAGTTTGTATCACTGTCCTGAAACAAAGAAAAAATATTAATTCAAAATAGACCGTTACCGAACGTTTAAGTACCTCTGAATCACTGGATATGTCGCCAAATAAAACCAACTCTAAAAAAAATAATGAACAATTAATAAAACTGGTAATAAAAAAATTCTTAAATAATATAATATACCAGAATTTGTGGGATGATCCTTATTTTCTTCGTAAATAATTTGGTATCTAGTCGAAATCTATGGAAAAAATTGTTAATACTTTTACAGCAAAATCTACACAACAAGGTTTGTTATATCTCTTATCTTTTAATAATCAGCTGTCAGAAGCTTATGTTACAAAGAAGTGTTTTTGAGAATAAAGCCGGAAATTGTTAAAAAATATCGGAAAAAAACCGTGGCTCGATTTGTTGTGTTGTTGGGTGTATTTCGAGAGGAAATCCTGGGTTGAGTTTTTATCGGTTTTCCAATAAACAGTGTTAATCTGAATGAAGAAATAAATTGCATACAGTCTCTGTAAATATAAATTGTACCTATTAGATACAATAAATACAAATTTTAGTAGTGATTAACGTGAAAAGTGTAAACATTTCAATTCAGTAATAATCGTCAAACAAATAAGTCGTCTAAATTTAAACAGCATTTAGCATTATTAAAAGCGTTGATTAAGAAAGTCTCCACTTAACGGTAAAATACCATTATATTATGTATTATATATAATATTATGTTGCCATGAATTCGTAGGTATATTTTGTTGTTTAAAATGCATTTGTCGGCGTTTTTTAGAGAACTCAAACATAAAAATGGATGATTTTAAGGTTATGTTTGTACAAAAAATATTTTTTACTAATTTCTTAAAAATGTCCAAACTTAAATATAAATTATATTAGGTAAAGTTATCATTAGTTAGTTCTGCACCAACAAATGTACTTACCGAATTGGATCCTTTGGCAAAACATGAAAATGCAACGATTTAGTTCTTGAATTTTATTTACAATTAAAAACACAATAATTTATCATGATCCCTTAGAAAAAATACACACACTAACGTAACTATATAAGCATTTAAGCGTTGAGTTTCTTAATCAATGATATAAAGAATAATCAATCGAATTTAGCGATTTAGCTGCGCAATTGAACAAAATTTGTTGAGTAAGACTTCTGCATTCCTCTCTTTTGTGAAAAAAGTAATTTTTATTAAGCGCGAAACGAGATAGAACAGACCTTTCACACTTGGTTATACTTGATTATATACTTACAGCTTCACAATCAGTTCTAAACAAATAATACAACTCTTTCATTACACTCTCCACTTCAATAGCTTCTTCACTGTTTCTCAACGTCTTTCTAAACCTATTTTTTCTCGCGTTTTTCAACGGCGGGGTTATACCATGAGGATAATCAAAATTTTCTTCTAAATTATCGTAGGAACATTGCACTATTTGGCAAATATCGGCAGTTTTCGTCAAAATCGATCTATTGTTACATATGTTCGTTTTGCAAGATTCCACTATCGTCGGTAACTTTTTCAGCACCACATTCAACGTTTTTTTACCGCAATGCACAAACCCTGTGCGTTTCTCGGGATTCACGTCAATTTTTAGATGTTTTTTAATCTTGTCGGGTTTCTTACGTAAAATATCGCGAACTTTATCAGCTTCAAACTATCAAAAATCATGCCATTTACGTTTTACCATGTTTAAAGTGTACTTACCGGTGGTAGACGCAATATTAAGTGGTTTTCCAAGTCGATACGTTCGATGGGGACGTAATTTTCTTCCATTTTTCGAGAGGAGGGTTGAAAATTTGAAAATCTAGTCGTACGAGACGTTTGATTCAGTGTAGCCAACTTAGAGATTTTTCCCCTAGTTCTGGGGTTTTTGCGACAACAGCCAAGGATACACTAGACAGGATAAAAAAGTATAAAAACGATAGCACACTCGATTTTTTGAACGACCAATCATAATTCGTTTAATTTGATCTTTGTGGTAAAACGAACACGGCTATTGGTGAGAAAAGATCACGTCACGAGAAAGCACTGCCCACTAGTTAACTATCCTGTTGAATGTATCTTAAAAGTTGTAAAACCCTATATTTAAAAATAAGGCAATTATCTATGTATTTAATGTTTTATTATCATTAAAATCTTGTGGTATATAAATTTCATCGAAAACCTGCCCATCTTTATTCAATTCAACCCATCTTTTTGTGATATTTATACTTAAAGCTTTCCTAAACACCATACAGTGAATGTATGGTAACTTTTCGTACTTAATTCTAGAAAATCCTAATTTTGAAAGAACATATCGCCAAGATTTAATAAGTTGAGCATTTGCACCCACATGCTTGGAATCTGGGGTTATTATCACCAAAATACCTTCAAAATTTAGTAAATCGTAAGCTTTTTGACAGCATTTTAATCTTAGATGTGGTGAAGGTAAGTATTCAAGAAGTAAACTAAAAACAATAACATCAAAATGTTTTTCATGTAAAGTCACTATTTCTGAGTTGTTCATAATTGTTTTTTCACTTAATTGTACATTGATAAAGTCACACTTATTTACACTATTGTTTGCTGGAGCGATATCTATAGCTAATACATCAAAAATATTAAAAACTTTGAAGGGGTTATAGCAACTTCCGACATCCAATAGTTTAAGGTTTTTTTTTGTCATAAAACTAAAAATAAACTAATTAATACATTATCCACATAATTCAGCATATAATTACAATAAATTCTCCTTAATACACTCATTTATTTTACTACAAACATCAATTTCCTTTAATCGTTGTCGCTGAAGTTCACCTTCATAAAAATACATTTTACAGTAATTATACGTCCAAATATTCCGCGATACAGCTTTTTCATTATTCTTATAGTTATTCTCCCAATGATTCACAGCCAAATCTTCCATAGCTCTAGCGTATTTGCTCAAATCACCCAAATTCGAGCAATGATTTTCCCAGGCCTTGTCAGGGCCCAATTTCTTCGCTTCATCGCGTAAATTTTGATGAATCGACTTTATGAAGTCCGAGAGGTCCGTATGCTCCTTAGTAGCCATTTGAAAGTGTAAAAACCACCTTGTTTAGTACAAACATAACCTCAACTCATGATACAACAAACCTAATGTCAGTGCGTAGTTCAAATATCGACAAAAAAAGTGGGGGGTAGTTCAAACGCCGCGACAATTCGAAACATTGAGGTTATGGGTGCAGTCGGCCCAGAGATAATCTAAAAATATGGCTCCTGTTAAAAATAGACATTTTGTGAAAACGAAACCGAAGTTTTTTAGCAAATACAAGAAGTACTTTACTTTTGATTTTTGTGAAAAGTTGCTGTTCGACCCGTCCTATCTGTATCCAGTATGTTTGGTGATTTTTGTCTGCGAGGTGTTGTTAAATATCTTCATAATAGAAAAGGTGAACTATACGGAAATAGATTGGATAGCTTATATGCAGGAGGTTGAAGGTTTTTTGAATGGGACGTGGGATTATCAATATTTAAAAGGTACGAGTGCAAATTTTACACCAATGTTGTAATTATGTATAATATGTTTTGTAGGTGATACAGGACCTTTGGTTTACCCTGCAGGTTTTGTTTACATATATTCAGGTCTTTACTACATTACATCATATGGGAAAAACATTCATTTGGCCCAATACATATTTTTAATGTTATATTTGGCCCAAATTGCTTTGTTCTACAGAATCCTAATCAAAACATTAAAAATCCCACCGTATGCTTTGATGTTGAGCACTATAACATCATACAGAATACATTCAATATTTGTATTAAGATTATTTAATGACCCCATAGCCGTCCTTCTGTTTTATGCCAGTCTAAACTTGTTCATTTCGAACAAATGGATTTTGGGGAGCATTTTTTACTCTCTCGCCGTCTCAGTTAAAATGAATATACTTTTATATGCGCCTTGTTTGTTGATAGCCTACTTAACCAACTTGAACATCATAAGAACCATATTGCATTTAATTATATGCGGTTTGATACAAATTTTAGTAGCGGTACCATTCTTATACACCAACTACTACACCTACTTGAAAGGCAGCTTTGATTTGGGTCGCGTTTTCGAACACAAATGGACTGTCAACTACAGATTCTTACCCCGAGAATACTTTGAAGACAAATACTTTCACATAGGACTCCTAGTTATCCATGTCGGCTTACTTATATTATTCACACCAAAATTAAAGCAATATTTATCGAGTTACGCCAAATTAAACCTCATAACCACCCATCTAAAAACGCAGTTAAGAAGGGAACAGAAAAAAAAACAGAAGAAAGATTCGAAATTAAACAAAGTCGAGCAAAAGTTTGTGGATAGCTTTGAAAAACAGCTCAGAACCAATGGGAACAAGCGAGAAACAATCGAGGATGTCATGGACGACAAAACCAAACTACAAAACAAGATGTCCAAGATTACACAACTCTTTGTTTTACCATTTTTCATTACCAACCTTATCGGTGTTGCATGTGCAAGATCATTGCATTACCAATTCTACTCCTGGTATTTTCACAGCCTATTATACCTAGTTTTTTGTTCGGGATATCGCAAACAAACAATGTTCCTCATTTTAGCGATATTGGAGTATTGCTGGAACGCCTATCCGAGCACCAATTTTTCAAGTGTTTTAATGCACATTTGCCATGTTTGTTTGATTATAGGTGTTTATAAGACAATGAACCAAAGTAAATCTGTGATTACACCTTAATTTTGTTTTATTTTACCTTTTTTTCGAATATTTATTTGCGTAGTTTGACATTTGATAATAATTGAGGTTATGTGTCAGTTTTTTTGTCTGATTTTCTGAAAATAATACAATATTTGTATTTTTATGTATGAAGGTCTTATTTAAGATCACAAAATATACATTTATTGTATTGTTTTCAGGAAATAGGACCTTAATTTCAAACATAACCTCAATTATTTGTAAGGGTTGCCAACAAAATAAAATTAGTTGGCAACACTGCGAATAAATGAACTACTGTCATTGACGGCAGAGATAAAGAAGGTCTGTCAATAATTTGGTTATTTTTGTAATTAAAAATGAGCGAAAATAACGAAATAACAGTCAATTTAAACGAAATATGCCGGTGTTGCTTGTCGAAGAAAGAAAATATGAAAAATCTATGCGCACAGGGCGAAGAAATTCAGGCCGTATTAGTGAAATTGTCTGCAATAACAAATTTGGAGGTTAGAATCTTGTTTCAATAAAAATGTAAATATTGAGGGTATTTCTTTGCAGATCACTTTAAATGAAACATTACCGTGTTTTCTGTGCGATTCTTGCGAGTTCAAGCTAGAAATAGCGGAGGATTTTAGGTTACTATGCAGAAAATCCAATGATTTTATTTTAAAGTGTTTATCGAGTGATAAGGTATGCTATTTTTAATTTTTAATACTTTTTTGTATTGTAACTGTATTCAAGCCTGTAGAAATTGATTTAGGTGCGGATAAAACGCACGTGGATACTGTAAATATTGAAATAGAGCCTGATAATGGCATTAAGAATAATAACATAAAAAATCCACGTGATAAAAGAAAATTAAAGCAATTCCCCAAGGATAAAGTCCTAGAAGCAATAATAGAAGTCAATAAAGAAAGTTTAAAGGACACAAAGTGTTTATTTTGTGGATATAAAAGTAAAAATATGAAAAATTTGTCGGTTCATATGACCAAAACACATAGGTAAAATTTACACTTATTATTAGGTGTATTAAGGTAATGATAAATTATTTATTTTTAGTGAACTTAAGAATGTATGGTGTAAATATTGTAACAAGCAATTTGAGGATTTAAAGTTGCATATCAAAGAGTTTCATTTTCAAAATAAGTTGATTTGTAAATTTTGTAACAAAAGTTTTACCATGTCTAGTCATTTAAAGGAACATTTACGATTTCATACAGGTATTAAAGTGTGTAAAGAAATATATGTATCACAAAATAACCAGTATTTTTTAGATATTCGTCAATTTTCTTGCAGTCTCTGTAACAAATTGTTTACAACAGCTAATAAATTAACGATGCATAAAAAAAGTCATGGTGTCATTTTTAGTTGCTCTGTTTGTCCTAAACAATTTCTAGAAGAAAATTTGTTGGTATTGCACGAAAAAGATTGCAAGGAAGTTGAGAAAGAATCCTGTGAAAAATGTAAACAAAAAGTCCAAAACTTGCAAGAACATGTTGAAAATTGCCTTGGGGATAAAATTGATGAAAATAAAAAGTATTTGTGTAATTATTGTGGAAAGTATTTTAAGTAAGTATATTTGGTTGCTGTACTTTTATAAGCCATTTCCCTGCCTCAAAATAGCCCTGTTATGAGTATTTTGTAAACCAAATTTAAAGATCATACGTAAAAAACCGTCTAAGTCAACATTTTAACATTTCAAGAAAATATTATTGATGAAAAAAAACTATTTTACCGTATTTTCATTTTTCCTCTAGACAGGCTGCATTCAGTTTTTTAAGAGTGGGAGAATAATTTTTAAAACTAACCACTTGTTAAAAATGAAAAAAAATGTATTTTTTTTATTTTGTCAAGATCTGGCAGACTCACGATTCACACTAGGATACATACTGGCTATTGCCCGTACAAATGCCAGTACTGCGAAAAATCTTTCAAAACCAAAACTCAACTGGTTCACCACGTGAGAACGCACACCAAAGAGAAGCCCCACGTGTGCAGTTTTTGCAACAAGGGTTTTTCGCAATCGTCCATTTTGAAAACCCACATGAAAATCCACACTGGTCGGACGGAAGTTTGTCTTTTATGCGAAAAACGATTTTGCCGCCCATCCGAGTTGAAGATACACATGAGAACCCACACAGGTACAGTCCATTCAGAAATAGAACATTTTTTAACATGACCGTCGCATACTTTTTTCATGTGATTTCACACATTTTTATATGCTCAAAATTAAAATAATCCCCATGTGAATTTATGTTGCTATTTTATCACTATAGACGGTCATGTTAATAGAAAAAATAAGAAGAACCTTAACTTACCTTTTCTATACCAAAATACAGGAACTGTAAATATATATATTTGGTGTACAATTTTTGACATTTTTAGGTGAGCGGCCGTATGTGTGCAAAATATGCGGGCAAGGTTTTATTCAGGCGGGAAATTTGAAGGATCATTTAACATTTCATACGGACGAAAGAAATTTTAGGTGTAATTTTTGCGAAAAATCTTTCAAGAAAAATTCTTCTCTTAAATGTCACGAAAAAACACATTTGGGTAAGTTAAAAACTTACTTGAAGGTGTATTTTTTACTATATTACTTTTTTAGGTGAAAACCCATATAAATGCGAATTTTGTCCGTTTTCTTGTAGGCATAAGCATAGTTTAAACCAGCACATTTCCAATATGCATGAGGATTATATGCATACATGCAATTTTTGCGATAAAAAATTTGGAATACTTCTGGATTTACAAATTCATATAAATAATTTTCATAATCATTATATATTAACCATTGAAAATGTACCTATTAATCAATAAATAAATTTTAAAATACTTACCAGATATTTTTGTCCGGGGTTTCACCGAACATAGCGCACTTACGACATACCACGCGATAAAGAATTTGGGCAAAAATCCAAGAAAACAATAAAATAAAAAATTTATAAATTAAATTTGTTTTCATTGGATTAATATATTATTAATGTATATTAATATTAATAAAATAAGTCATATTTTGTTTTACATTGGATTAATATATTATTAATGTATATTAATATTAATAAAATAAGTCATATTTTGTTTTACAGGACAACGGTAAAAAGTAAAAAATATATTTATAGGAAATTTAATTTCATACAAAAATAGTTGTATGCATTACTGCAATAAAATGTATACTTTAGAAGATATGGAGCATTAATAAATTTTACTATTAGTTTCATCAAAATTTGACATTTATCTTTTTGATTATGCATTTTATTGAATTAATGCACGAAATCTTAAATTAAATTTTCTATAAAAATCTTTTTTACTTTTTATCTAAACTTGACAGTTTTGCCGTAAAAGGCAATAAATACTATTTTTTATTAATAAAATACTTTGCTGAAGTATACCAGTTGAAAATATAGGTTGTATAAAATTTGTTGAAAGTACTTTTGAAGAGCATCTAATTATGGTCAAATCACACCTATGTAAACTGTAGTAGCTTAAAAAACCGCCAAACTACAGAAAAATGAAGAAAAGTCCTTAATTTTACATGTTATTTCAATGGGAATAGTATATTAAAGTACAAGTTGCAGAAGGCCACATATTCTCGCACGAATTCGAAATTTGGCCTCGAGCGACGAAGGAGCGAGTGGACGAACGAATGAGTGCGAGAATAGCCTTCTGCAACGTGTGATTTATACTATTTTCTCGATTTTAACTTTTATTTAGGTTTTTTTAAATGTTTTGTGGTCGTTTTTAGTTGGGGGATTTTTCTTGCAAAATGTCAGTTGGCAACACAAAATGACAGTTGCATGGACAGGTAGATTTATTTTTATTTACTATTTATTAATAATCTATCTGTATTTGTCAACTGGATAATAAGGTTTTGTGTAAGTATTGTATTATTTTTTAATGTTTTCTGATATTTTTGAACAATTGTGTTTACTTTTAGCAGTGAAAAATGTCACAGGAGGTTTTACAAGCAACACTGAACATTACAATAAAAGTTTATAACAATTGTGCTAGTGATTAATTTATAGTAGTTTTGTGTTTTGTGTACTGTGGGTATATAATATTTCCAATAAAATATAGTTTGATTGACCTGTCTGGCTCATTTATTTGTCAATATTTGTTATCCTGCACAAGTACAACTGAACTGCACTTTTTCACATTAAACTTAAAATTTTGCATTAAAATGCATTGTTGGAGCAAACTTAATATAACAAAACAATAATAAAGGCTTCATTTTCAATAAAAGTGTAGTTCAGGTTGCACTAGTGCAGGATAACAAACAAAGCTATTATAAATAATCCTAAAAGTAATGAATTTGAGGTTATTAAACAGTTTGACATTTTGGGGGTACCAATACTTAAAAACTAAATGTTACCAAAAATCGTTTAAGAATGAGCTTCATTCTTCAACGATTTTGCGTGCGAGAATATGACATTCTTACATAAAAATCGAGAATAGTATATTAAAGTACAAGTTGCAGAAGGCCACATATTCTCGCACGAATTCGAAATTTGGCCTCGAGCGACGAAGGAGCGAGTGGACGAACGAATGAGTGCGAGAATAGCCTTCTGCAACGTGTGATTTATACTATTTTCTCGATTTTAACTTTTATTTAGGTTTTTTTAATTGTTTTGTGGTCGTTGTTAGTTAGGGGATTTTTCTCGCAAAATGTCAGTTGGCAACACAAAATGACAATATTTGTTATCCTGCACAAGTACAACCTGAACTGCACTTTTACACATTAAACTTAAAATTTTGCATTAAAATGCATTGTTGGAGCAAACTTTATATTACAAAACAATAATAAAGGCTTCATTTTCAATAAAAGTAATGAATTTCAGGTTATTAATCAGTTTGACATTTTGGGGGTACCAATACTTAAAAACTAAATGTTACCAAAAATCGTTTAAGAATGAGCTTCATTCTTCAACGATTTTGCGTGCGAGAATATGACATTCTTACATAAAAATCGAGAAAACTTTTTTTTATTAGCTAAATTTTTTAAGTAACTTCATTTATACTTACTGGTATGGCGTTGGTATGTCATTTTCTGGACACCCAGTATTGCCAATGTCAAACTCTCTTCCCGTGTCTAAGATACCAACAATATTTTGATAGTCAAACGTGACAATTTAGGGCCGGTTTTTCAATCATAGTTTAAACTTGGTTCAGCATTTAAACTTGGTTCAAACAAAATATGCCGTTTTTCAATCAAAGTTCAAGCTTGAATTTGGTTTAAACTAAATCAAAAGATGAACCGTCACTGTTGGCCGTTTAAACGAAGTTCAACTTGACATAACCTAATTTTTCTCTGCTTTATTGTGTATTACGTTGTTTATTTCTTTTTTTGTGATCTGCTGTTATAATAAACCAATGGATATGTTTGAGGTAGTTAGTGAGGATGATGAGGAAATTGGTGAATTCATAAATAATATTCAACTTCGTGTGCACAGGCCACGGGTAAGTCCGAATCATTTTGCAAGGTGATAAATTTTTTGCCAGATTTCGATTTTCCAAAACTTTTGTATGTAGGATAGTGGATTTAATTAAACCAGTTATTGCAAATCCGACCAATAGGTTAGTTATAAAAATAATTACTGAATAGGTAATAGATTTTAGTAAAATTCATCACATGTAACAAAAAAACGACCAATTCATTTTATACTATAAAACGAAATACATACAAATAATTCCTCCATAAAAGAGGTAAAGTTAGCAGGACGATTTTTATCCATAATAAATAATTATTATTGTTCTTTAACAATAGTAAATTGTTTAAAGCATCCTTTCGCACAGATTAGAACTTTTTAAAACAGCACAGATAAACAAAACTCCAAAAGTAAACCCAAAATCCTTTTGTCAAAATGACAGTTTTAACTACTATTAATGTAGGCGTATAATACATTCGGTTGTACCAACTTAACGTTGACACCGCTGATCTAAGTTTAACAGAACTGCTGTTGAGTCGACATTGAAAAACTCATTTGACTGTGAACTGAGTTCATTAACTTATCGAAGTTCCCCTGAACCAAGGTTTAAACCCTAATTGAAAAACCGGCCCTTAGATGTCAAAGTTTGTAATACCAACATTCAATTATTGTATATTGTGCAACAAGTTTTATAAACGCCGTTATAAGTCTTCTTGAGAAGTTTACAAAACAAATTGCATACCATGGAAGTGTAAAAGTTGGAATGCCAAATTTTTTGAAACAAAATTAATCAATAATAATTATTAATTAATTAAAGTGACGCAAACGGTTTTAACCGCACTGTTACCCAATTTCAACCTAAAGCCAACTTCAGCGCGTTGATTTAGGATGGGGTGGGTGGTTACAAAAAATCCGGTATTTTTTTAAATAATTTTATAATAATACATCAATTTTTTATATCAATCTACACAGCATTGATTTTCATTCATACGCGCAAATGCAAAATACAATTTTTGTGAACAAAAAAAAACGGAGGCGATTTCCCGAAAACGACTGCGTTTCGGCGGCGGTCGCGGGAAATCGAAAAGCCACATGAATTCATAAATAACAAGAAATATTAAAATATTGGTGATGCTGACATTAAAACGCCGACAATAATAAAAGACGATTATTTCTGCCGTTTCAGCACAGGATTGTCCCGTGTTTTTATTTACTTATTGCTGCATGCAGACGCTCACCTTTTGTTTTGTTTGATTTAAGTACAACGAAAAATTACGAAAAATACTAAGGAATGATTTAAAAACAACATTGTACGGAATTATATGCGTATCGCTTGTGTATGCACAAAATATACACGCGGAGAAGAGAAGCGAATTTTTTTGGTCAACGTTTGATGATTTCGCTTTTTTTGTTGTTAAATAAATGCAGTGCTGCCTAAAATTAAAAAAAAAAAATGTAAACGGGGGGTTGACACTGGTAAATTTATTGGGGGGGGGGTAAAAGGAAAGTACAACAATTAAATACCTAAAGCATATCGTTTTTCTAGAAAAAAACACCCATAACAGGCTCAGACATGTCCACGCATTCGTTTCGGGCACGCAAAATTACAGATACAGAATATATATATATAATATGTATATATATAGTTACTGCTAATATTAATAATAATACAGTATGTACTTCGAAAACGAAACCTCGACTTTTTCGTGTTTTCATTTTAGACGCCCTCAGACAGAATACAAGTAGTAGAGAATAGAAGGTGAAAAAAAATAATTATAAAAAAAAAATACAAATGTCCGTATCGAGGGGGGCGTCTCGCGCTTTTGGGGCGGCCCCCCAGGGGGCGGGCACTACACAGCACTTATCATATATATAATACGAGTTCATTATTAATTAGTGATTTTTTTTCTCTCAAAAAAAAAACTTGGTTGTTAAAAAGAGAAATTGTTGTTCGCGCGGGGCCCTTAAAGTTATGACACGTCCTGGTCCTCCACGTCCTGGAGCTGCTCCTTGGGTTCGGCCTCGGCTGAAAATAAAACATAACCTCAATACCGGGTTGCCACTTTTCCTTTTCGTTTTTTTTCAAATGTCGCACAGACAGGTATATTTTAAGCTAAAACTTTGCTAAAACTCAATTTTGTTAATCTTTATTACTGGATCTAAGATTGCGTCTCAAAGCAACATTCATTAAAAAAAATTTAATGTAAAATTTTATTGGTTTAAAATATTTTTAACTATCATGTAATGAAAGACAAAATTTACCAACCAACAGTTCACTTCTGTATTAAACAATATTATTTTCAATCAATTTTTGCAACAATTTCCATCATTTTTTAATAAAAATAACTTTTTAAGTATAATTTATTTGGACAAAATTTTGTAAATCGTAAATAATTTTTTTATAAAATCATTTAGATTTTTTGGTATTAAAAAACATTAAAATAAAAACCATATAAAACATTTTCTACCAAAATAGTTTAAAAAGTTTTTTTTTTTTAATCTCAAAACAATTGATAATCAAAAAATATTTTTTCTACTCCCACCTTTAAAACGCCCTTTATCGTACATGTTCCCATGACACTAAGTGACCTTTTAAATTCACATTGACAAGTTGTGGCTTTATGGCGCTTTAGTCACGGGCTGAAGTTAGTTTTAAGTTAGTTGACAGTTGTCAAATGTCATACAATCTTTAAAATAAATTGCCTTTCTTGTAAAATAATACCAAATGTGACAATTATTTTATTATCTCAATACAAAAATACAAAAGTATTAAATAGTTTCTCAACGCCAATATTTGAAAAGTTTATATGAACATTGGCAGTAAACTATAACTTAAATTCGGCCACTGTAAATTGCTCATAAAACATTTTCTTTACTATCACTGTGAAAAACTGTCAATTTTTAAGAAATACATTTCGATTTATAACCTTGATAATCTGTGTTTATAAAATACAAAAATGTGACATTTTAAGATAATAATAAGTATTTGTCGTAGAAAAAGTATAGTATGCACCTCGTTTATAAACTTTTCTGTACACACATTAATTTAAGCACTCGCTCGCAAGCTCGCTCGTGCCTAAATTAAATTCGTGTATAAAATGGCGTTTATCAAACTTGATACATAATATACTATTAAATATACAATGCAAATGTAAAATTTTAAGTTTAAAATATTGCTTTTTAAAAATTGTAGTTTATAGTATATTAAGCATTAAGTTTTATAAACGCCATTTTAGTTACGAGTTTTATTAAGCACGAGCGAAGCTTGCAAGCGAGTGTTTAATAAAAACGAGTGTCTAGATAAGTTTATAAAACGAGTTACATAATATACAGTTGTATTCATTAAAAAAGCGTACAAGAATTAGAATGAGAGAAAACTATCAACATTATTGCGTAAAACCGGCTTTCCACTGACTTAAGTCACTATAACTGACAGTAGAAAATAAAAATGCCTCGTCAGTTTAAAAGGCTCAAATAGTATCAAGAATCGAAGAAGAATGGTCAATTCGTAACGTGGTATAATAGAAATAAAAAATCTATATTAAAAATTAATAATTTTTGTAATATTATTTAATTAACCTACGACGTCAATGCTCTTTATAACCTATAATAATTATTTTAATGACTTATGTCAGTGATAAGCCGGTTTTAAGCAATAATATTATTTTGACACGTTTTCTCTCATTCTAATTCTTGTACGCTTTTTTATTGAATACAACTGTACTATAAACTACAATTTTTAAAAAGCAATATTTTAAACTTAAAATTTTACATTTTTATCTACGACGACCACAAAGAAGAATTTAAATCCAATTTTATTTGTTAAACATTTGACATCTGTCAAATGTCAACGGAATTAATCTCACTTTTCTCTAATTTATAATAAAGCTAACTTTGACTAAAATGCCCACTATTACTAATTTCAGCCCGTGACTAAAACGCCATAAAGTCACAGCTCGTCAATGTAGGAGTAGATAAAATATTTTATTCTACAAAATTATTGATTTAACTTTGTAAAGTCATTTAAATGATAAGTCAATAAATTTTAATACATAAATTCTCACATTACATTTAAATGTTAGTTTTATTAAATTAGAGGGCTTTAAAAATATTTTCTTGAAACACCCTCGAACACGTAAACTGAGATATAAGTTGTATTAAGTATTTTTATCCAAAATTTCATAAAGAATAATAAAGGCGTTTTAGAGTTAGATTTTTGTACAGTGGTTCCAAAAATTATGGCCAAAACTGTATATTTGTATTGTATTACTTGCATGTAGTAGCTACTTTGTAATTTTTTTATAAATAAATTTTTGATCACTTGCATACCTCTAGAAATGTGTTTTAGTCATTTTTAAATATTTTTGGCCAACTTACAGGTCAAAATACCTGTCTGTGCGTCGATTACATAAAATACTCAATTTTCAGTGAAAAAAAATGCGAAAAGAAAAGTTTTAATAAGTAAAAAAGAAGAAACAGCTCTAGAGCTGCCTACGATTTTGTTAATGTTTACAAAGATTTCACTTTGATTTTGAAGGTGCAACAAAAAATATTTGTTCGTTTATTGTCCTCTCTAAAAATGAAATAGTCAAAATTCTACTATTTGAATTAGTACCAGCATTTTTTACCAATAAAATAGTCGTTTTCACTTTTAAATAGTTATTTTTTACTGCGTAAATAGTTAAAGTTTGACTAATTTAAGATTAGTCACCATATTTGACTATTTCTGACAGTTAAAAGTAACTAATTTCTTTAATCGTTTACGGCCAACAACAAAGTATTATTTGAATTAAATGCATATACCTCTCCATGGTTAAATGACCCATAAAACAAATAAATATGCAAAAAGTTTAGCTCAAAACAGCAACACAAATAATATATTAAACTTTAAAATATTATGAACAATATTTATTGACAAATAAAATTTATTTTTATAAGAGCTGCTGACAGCCGACTGGTTATGAGGTTAGGTTGACAAGCTTCTCAAGTGACAGACGTGAGTTCAATCCCAGGCTGGGTCAAAACTTTTTTTAAATTTAAATTTACCAATTTAACTATTTCATTCAGTAGAATTCGACTAATTATTAGTGACTGCTTTTTCGCTATGACAATTAGTCAAATATGACTTATAATTAGTTATATTTGACTAATTCATTTTAAGAGAGTCCGCACAAAGCAAAATAAATAAAAAATGGTCGAAGGCATAAAATTAGGAGGGGGAGACTCACCGTCCAGCTGCATGTCGCTCGTCCACAGCGTCAGGTTGTCCCTGAGCAGCTGCATGATGAGCGTGCTGTCCTTGTAGCTCTCCTCGCTGAGCGTGTCCAGCTCGGCGATGGCGTCGTCGAAGGCGGCCTTGGCCAGCCGGCACGCGCGATCCGGACTGTTGAGGATCTCGTAGTAGAACACGCTAAAGTTGAGGGCGAGGCCGAGGCGTATCGGGTGCGTGGGCGGCAGCTCGTTCATCGCGATGTCGCTCGCCGCCTTGTACGCGACCAGCGAGTGCTCGGCGGCGTCCTTGCGATCGTTGCCCGTCGCGAACTCGGCCAGGTATCGGTGGTAGTCGCCCTGCAACGTTTTGTGTTTTTTAATTCTAACCTCCAAATGCATACGATTTTATTTTTGTACAATAAACGTTTTGAAATGGCTAATATAATATAGGGTATTTCCATTGTAACGGGTGCGACACTGACACTGCATTTTTTTATGATAATAAAGTGTAAAAGTAAGGAGACACCTCAAAATTAACACATTAATTTACAAAAAACAATTTGATAGCTTTTGAAAGCTGTATATGACATGTCCAAGTATGGGATGATTCAACAAAACTGTCACTGTCATTCTCCATAGCCTATGGATGGACCATAGCAACCTTAGTTCTTCATACAGAAAAAATATTGGAAATTGCAATGTTTTTAAAAAAATCCATATTTTCCACAAAAATAAATATATCGAGGTGAACCAAAAACAAATAGATGTGACTTGATAAATAAAACTTAATTTAGAACAATATACGGTTTAGCCACTCTACAGAGTGTCTTAAACTTATGGTAAAAAACATATTTTTGTTTAAACCTGTATATTATAAAAGTACGTCTATTTTTTAGTAATTTTTTAAAATGTGAGCGATTTTCCATTAATTTATCTTTAATATTCTTTAATATTTGTTTAAATCCGAAATCAAATAAAAAAGTTATTTGCGATTGAAATTCATCGAAAATTTGTGTGGATCGATTATTTTGCCTCTGAATATATATATATATATATCAAGATACGTTAATATACAAAAATGGTATAAAAAATAAGATATTTAACTCAAACAAAATGTCAATAAAAACTTGTATAGAAAACCTTTTATGACGTTATAAATAGCGTAACGGGCGCGACCTTAGAAAATCGGTAAATGCGACCAAGTTGCCTTCTAAAGTTGATACTGAGAAATTTTGGATGAAGGCATATTTTAATATTTTATTTAATAGAATTAGTTTGATTGATTTATATATGGTTGTTAACTATTACTGTTATAGTTTAACTGCTATTTTTGGCGTTAATAAACATAATTATTATTATTAATTCAACAACAAAAAAAAACGATTCCTAATCCGTCAGACCTTTTTTGCTACTCCTGCTACTAAAAGATATGACTTTAGTCCATATTGTTGCAGATATGCAGTATTTCAGAAAAAGACTGAATACTTTTTTATTTAGTAAACAATTAAATAAAACTGTCATTCAAACTCAATGTATGGTCAAATAAATTTGTTTAGCAAATACTTTACTATGTTGCGGATATGTTACACTATGCATGATATACAGTATGTCTACTATAAGAGTTTTTTATAAGCGATGCATTTAAGGGTTAAGCCTCGATATAAATCAGACATTCAGACCAATTCACTAAAATGAGTCGTTAACGTTAGTCAACAGAATTAGTGACAAAAGTTTGGTCTGAATAGCTCATTGATTACTAGAGATGGGATTTTAGTGTTATTACCTACTTGTTATAACTTAAGATTTAATGGAATAAAATCGATTTTTAATGACAACTGGAAAACCATATTGTGATACTCATCTTTTTTGAAGAAAATTTAACAGGCACTTATCAATTTGACGTCAAAAAGTAGCATACTTAATATCTTCGACACCTTTTTTCGTTCAAAGGATAACAAGGGTGGGAAAGTCTTTTAGCGTTTTTTCGATCTGACTCACCCTTAATTAGTGCTTTTTCAGAATGAAAAGAGCGCGTCTTAATTAAAAAGAAAGTCAGAAAACTTAACCTGAAACCGACACGTTTGACCTATTTACCTCGGCAACCATTTTTATAAAATTTGCAAGCTAAAATTCCATCTCCATTGATAAAACAACTCAACAAAATGAAAAAAGACAAATATCCACATAGTTTGCTTTTGTAGCGGTGGTAATAATTTTGTATGAAAATTAATACTAAGAGGGTGTCCCAAATGTAACATGGGTTGCCTACCTACATTCGTAGGTAAATCCTATTTACCTCTTTAACAGCTGTTAAAGGTAAGAAAGGTCCATTATTATCCCGTTCTGCCTCAAAATAGCGTATTAAGGATGATACCAACTCTTGACTGCGACTATTTAACTGCTTCGGCATTTTAAATACAAAAACGGCAATGAAAACTTACAACGATATAAAATAACACAAACAACGAACAAAATAAACGAAACTATACACGAATTAATCATTTTATTAAGCACAACTTTATTTTAAACATGACAACATTGCAATTGCTGCCAACTAAAGTTATTTAAAATGCATTAAAATATTCAATTACAGACTTCAAAATTGCTTTTAGTTCAAGCAGTAACAACACTTTTAGGCAACCCAAAAATACGACTCCTAAAATTGAAAAGTCAGGGGATCTACGAAATAAACTGTGAAGAATGTGACGATAAATATGTTGGACCAACAAAACGATCCAATCAAAATCGAGCAAATTAGCTACGAAGAGGTGGTTGGACAGTTCAAACAAGAGTTTCCTGGGATTTCAATGAGATGATTGTACGAAATTTATGTAGCAACAACAAAAAAAGAACTCTACACCCCCACAAAACCACAACAACTCACCTTCATTTTGTAGTAGAAGACTTTGGATTCTCCCGTCGACGCGGACGGTATGAGATGCTTGTCGAGCACGTTGAGTATGTCGCTGCAAATGTCGCGCAGCTCCTTCTCCACCTGGCTGCGGTACTGGCGTATCATCTCGAGCTTGTCGTCGGTGCCCTTGTTCTCCTCCTTCTGCTCTATCGAGGATATGATGCGCCACGACGCCCTGCGCGCCCCGATCACGTTCTTGTACGCCACCGACAGCAGGTTGCGCTCCTCGACGGTCAGCTCCAAGTCGAGCTTGGCCACCTTCTTCATGGCCTCGACCATTTCTGCAAAAGAGAACAATTATCTATTACTTATATTAAATATTTGATAATCGGCCGGAACAGGTCCCCGACACTTTTTCATGTTAATTATTTCAATGTCATATTTTTACACATGCACATTTCCCAAAAGGGTAAAGGTTATTTCCATTGTAACGGGTGCGACACTAAAACTGCGTTTTTTATGATAATAAAGTATTTGTTCATATACAGTGTGTATTAAAACGAATAGATACACTTAAATAAAACAAGTGCCAAACCCCGCCCACTGTGGTAGGGATTGAATTTGTTTGCTTGCCGTATCATTGTTATCATTATTTTCGTTATTTTAGAATTATTTTTGTTTAAGAATTTATAGGTTTTATTTTTATCGAATTCGTTTGTTTTGTTTTAATGCATTTCTGCAAATAAAAACTAAGTATTGTTTAAAATCCATTAAATTCCAGTTAATGGCGAAAATGTATTTCTTAAAAACTATACACATTTCCCTACGACAGCGTCGGAGCTACTGAACAACAAACACAGTAAATCAAACTGCACGCCCTTGTATCTGGCTGCATGCCGCGCTGTTGCCATATGCTATTATTGTTTCCTAAAAGGGTTGTTTTTCTTATTTTTTAATATTAAAAGTAAGAAAATTAACTAAATCAAATTATTTTTGACATATTAATTTTGTTGTTTCAAACAAATAAAATTGAACTATTTATTAAATAATTATTATCGTTCTCTTCTGATTTAAAACAACCTGGCAACTATGGTTCGTAATTACGAATGGCTTAGTATAAACCACGCCCAATTAAAGTTGGTTTCTTTTTCTCTGATCATAATATAATTTGTCATCCTTGTCTCCAGCCTTACTTACTTGATTCTATACAGTCTGTATATCAAGATACGTTAATATAAAAAAAATAGTATGAAAAATAAGGTATTTAACTCAAACAAAATGTCAATAAAAACTTGTATAGAAAACCTTTTATAACGTCATGAATAGCGTAACGGGCGCGACCTTAGAAAATCGGCAAATGCAACCAAGTTGGCTTCTAAAGTTGATACTGTAAAATTTTTGATGAAAGCATATAGTAATAATTTTTTGTGCAAAACTTGAATAATAACCATAAACAAGCACGTATTTTAAATGCACAAAAATTGCATACTTTATTTTCTAAAATTTTCTCTATATGTAACGGGTGCGACATTTGAACATTTTATCAAGTATTGAAACTCTTTCGTATTTATTCTTAATGTTAATTTCTTAGCATCACAATGTACGAATATTTTAAGGTTATAAATTACGTCGCAATTAAACTATTTGACTTCAAATACAGGGTGTTTCTTTTAACTTGAGACAGCTCAATATCTCGAGAAATACGCATTTCACGGAAAAATGTCTTAAATAAAAGGTTAATGTGACTAAAGGGGACATTATTTGGTGCTACCGCTAGCCACCCCCTACCCCTCCTTAAGGGTGAAATGGGGGGTAACTTTGGAAAGTCAAATGGAATGACCCGATTTTTTTCACAGAGTTTGGTAGTACATAAAAAAATAAATAACTTTTATTTAAAACTTTTTTCAATTTATCAACAGATGGCGCTGTAATTCAAAATTTAAGAAAAATGAGTTTCCTTGTAAAATGTATTATTTGAAACGTTTGAAAAACAAAAATTAACATTAACAACAATAGTCGGCTATGAAAACAATTTATAACAAATGTTCGAAATGTCGTCATTCCATTTCAACACATTTTTGAATGCGGGTAATGAATTCTGGCACACAACGCGCCAACATGTCGGGCGGTATCGCCGCACAGGCGTTCCTGATCCGCTCCACCATGTCCTTTCAAGTTGTAGGAATTGCAGCGTAAACTTTTTCTTTCAAGTAACTGGAAGAAGTCTGGTGGCGTAAGATCAGGTGATCGAGCAGGCCAAATTACTGGACCACGTCTACCAATCCACCGCGGTGCACCGGCCATTGAACTCCGGATCCAACACATCTCGAGCAATTGCCGAATAATGTGCAGGACAACCATCTTGCTGGTACCACATGTTTTGGAGCCGTGCTAGTGGTACATCCCCCAGAAGGTCCGTCAGATCGTTTTCTATAAAATTCCGGTACTTTTCGCCATTTAATGCACCGTCAATAAAGAAGGGTCCGATAATCGGACTCCGATTAATCGTTCGCTTAAGGTACCGCACCAAACGTTTACCGACCAGGGACGCTGGTGCTCCACTTGGTGTCGAAATGGAACGACGACATTTTGAACATTTGTTATAAATTGTTTTCAGAGCCGACTATTGTTGATTTAATGTTAATTTTTGTTTTTCAAACGTTTCAAATAATACATTTTACAAGGAACCCCCTTTTTCTTAAATTTTGAATTACAGCGCCATCTGTTGATAAATTGAAAAAAACTTTAAAATAAAAGTTATTCATTTTTTTATGTACTACCAAAATCTTTGAAAAAAATCGGGTCATCCCTTTTGACTTTCCAAAGTTACCCCCCGTTTCACACTTAAGGAGGGGTAGGGGGTGGCTAACGGTAGCACCAAATAATGTCCCCTTTGGTCACATTAACCTTTTATTTAAGACATTTTTCCGTGAAATGCATATTTCTCGAGATATTGAGCTGTCTCAAGTTAAAAGAAACACCCTGTATAGTTGTTATTTTGTTAAATAACACATCTGATTTTTTTGTCAAGGTGGGGTAAGTTACATTAAAATCCCTTAACATAACCAAAGATAAATATTTTTAAATTTTTGAATGACAATATGAATATACAGAGTGTCATTTAACTTGAAACTTGGAAATATCTCAGATAGTATACATTTTACAAAAAAATGTTTAAAACAAAAATTAAATGATTCGAGGGGGGAAATCAATCAGTACTAAAATTGGTCCTCATACTCTCCTCCTTATAGGGGGAACGGGGTAACTTTTTTTGGAATAATTATCTTATTAAATTAAATCTGATTTTTTTAAGTACCCACAATTTTTTAACTAATATTTAAGTTTCCTTTGGTTTAAGTTTTATACATTATTTCATTCGGTGATAATTATCAATTGCGCACCATTGTCACTTTTTACCTGCCAGCATTAAATCTTTTAATTTAAAGGATTATTGTACTATTTTTAATAAAAATGCCTCATAAAAGGTAAAAAAAAAACATTATTTTGTCAATTAATTAATTTAATTGATTGATTAATATCTGTTGCAATAGGTGAACCCCAATTAATTATATGTTAAATTATAAATAGATAAATAAATATTATATTAATTAATTTCACTTGAACAATTAAATTAAACATTCTTGAACAAATAATGTAATAAACCAACATAGATATAGAGGTAATCAGCGACCACAAAAACCCTTGGAATTTCAAGAGATATTTTTGACTTTTACCTTATTCATAGCTTTTGTCATTGAATGTACATTTGGCTGTGTAACCAGGGTTATCAGAAAAGAAAAGTACGAAAAAATGTAATTTTTTCTTCCGCTACGCGGGCATTGCCGTCTCCCCGGACAGCGGCGGCGAGAAAGTAGGCTGGGGGAGCGGGCTATCGATTTTGGCGGCGCGCCGTCGTCGGCAAGTTTCGCAAGGTCGAGCGGCGGCATTTGGAAGAACATAAAAGCGCCCGCACAATGGGTCACATACGCAATTCTAGGCGCAGCGTAGACGTAGTATTTCATTATACGTCGTAATACCCTTTACTACAATTTATATTACTATTTGGGACAACTATCTTGTATACTATGATACTATGCATATTTAGTAATTTTTAAATATCCATGTATGTTAAACCTTAAGGTAAAATATTATTATTCTCAACCAATTTTGTTTTTAATTCTTATTATAATTAGATTTTTTCCATTACTAATAAGTATAGTAAATTTTAAAATATTATGTTGCCATTTTAAATATAAAATATTTTGAAAACGAATATTTTTATATGTTAACAAATAAAAATTGTAACATATTTATTATACTTTTTAATATACAAAAATGTTATGAGAAAGAATTGAACCTACACCTCGCCAAAGTTTTTTGTTTTGAGTGCGTTCCGTCAACTTCAAATACCGACAGACAGGTGTTTTGACCTATATTGGGTATCATCAGTGTCGACACGACACTGTCGAGCAACTTGTAGTAGTGGAACACACCCAAAACAAAGAAATACCTGAGCTTATATAACATGGTTGGTGAGCCAACAGAGGCGAGATGTAAGAACATCACGTGATCCACGCCGTCTAACGACGCGTCGCGACGTGGCCTTGCCGCAATCGGTACATACTATGCAACCAAGTAGGTTCAATTCTTTCTTATAAGTATTACCAGTAATGGGTCAAGAAAGTTTATTGAAGAAACTAAGGAAATTGAATGTTTAAAGTGTCATGAGTTACTACATTGTATATTATATTTAAATATATTGTTTATTTACCTTAAACATAAAAGTATCTTTATTTTTACTATATTTTTTATTAATTTGTAATATATTATAATATTAGATGTACACCTTACAAGTGATTAAATCATATAGTAAATATTACTATTTGTAGATAGTAAAATCAATTTACTATACGAACATATTAAAAAATAAAATATATATTATACATTTATGATTCACTAAAATTGTATAATAAAAAATAGTATTTTGTATTACAATCTTAATATTGTATTGACGAATATATAATATTGTTACCCTAAAAATTTGTTAAAGTAAATTTTACTATATTTTTTTAACTATCTAAAATTTACTATACATTTCTCTCCGTGTGTAACAAGAGAGGGAGAAAGGAGAGGGAAATTTACGAGCCCGTCGGTTGGGAAAATTTAGGCCGAATTTCTGGAGAGACAGGGTAAAAGGCAACAAGTCGACTCGATAAAAAAAATAACGAGAAAATCTAGCTATTGATTTTTTCTCCAACAAAACGAGGTCCTCTACCCCTCAGTACAAGACATAAATTAAATTGTGTGCAGGTGAAATCTCTTCTGGGGATCTATTTGTTTCTATTATCTTTATATCTTTATTCAAAGGATTGTTAGTAATTCACACCGCATTTCTGTAAATCAACAGGAAAAAGTATGAAACAATGTAAAGAAAAAAGTGGCTAATAAAACATCTTTTTTTCATTTGTACCACTACCTAAAATATTATTATTTCAAATTCAAAATCCTTTACATAGTTCTAGCGGAAATTGGTTAACGCTTTAACAAAAATCTATTAATGAGGAACAATACATCTAATGTAGCAGTATAAATGATAAAGGTAAGTAGTCTAATTGACAAACTGTATTCCATTGTAGGTATAGTAGCGGCCAAATCCAAAGCGATATAATGACGTCAGCATTACCAATTTTGAATTGTAAATTTCCTTTTTGTAACAATTTCAAAGTTCTAAAATGCAATTAATTTGGCGGAGATAATATACAGGTTTAAACAAAAAGATATTTTTTACCATAAGTTTCAGACACTCTGTAGAGTGGTAAAACCGTATATTGTTCTAAATTAAGTTTTATTTATCAAGTCACATCTATTTTTAACAGTTTTGTTTTTGGTTCGCCTCGATATATTTATTTTTGTGGAAAATATGGATTTTTAAAAAAACATTGCAATTTCCAATATTTTTCTGTATGAAGAACTAAGGTTGCTATGGTCCATCCATAGGCTATGGAGAATGACAGTGACAGTTTTGTTGAATCATCCCATACTTGGACATGTCATACACGGCTTTCAAAAGCTATTAAATTGTTTTTTGCAAATTAATGTTTAAATTTTGAGGTGTCTTCTTACTTTAATAAATGGATATGTCTCCGACTGATGTTGCCAGAGCCATTAATTTAATCCAAGATGGACGGTCACAGTATTACGTGGCAAGTGTTTTAAACGTCACAAGAAGTAAAGTACAAAGGGCAACATTAGTCGAAGACATTTTTAAAAGTAAGAAGACACCTCAAAATTAACAAATTAATTTACAAAAAACAATTTGATAGCTTTTGAAAGCTGTATATGACATGTCCAAGTATGGGATGATTCAACAAAACTGTCACTGTCATCCTCCATAGGCTATGGATGGACCATAGCAACCTTAGTTCTTCATACAGGAAAAATATTGGAAATTGCAATGCTTTTTCTTATATCCATATTTTCCACAAAAATTAATATATCAAGGTGAACCAAAAACAAAACTGTTAAAAATAGATGTGACTTGATAATTAAAACTTAATTTAGAACAATATACGGTTTTACCACTCTACAGAGTGTCTGAAATTTATGGTAAAAAACATATTTTTGTTGAAACCTGTATATTATAAAAGTACGTGTATTTTTTAGTAATTTTTAAAATGTGAGCGATTCTCCATTAATGTATCTACAATATTCTTTAGTATTTTTTTAAATTCGAAATCAGATAAAAAAGTTATTTGCGATTGAAATTCATCCAAAATTTGTGTGGATCGATTATGTCAATTTGACATTGTCAGAGTATTTAATTAAGGTCTTCAGCAGAATTATCAGTTTTTAAATACTAAAAATACTAAATCAAACTGGCATGTATTCCTTTAGTGAGTATTGTGATATGTATGGAGAATGCTTACCACATACCCACAAGTTAACCTTAAAATTGACATTTGACACTTGATTTGACATTTCGATGACATTACAAAAGAGTACAAAATGGCCGCCGTTAGAGTCAGTGCAGTGGGTTGCCTAACTTCGCGATTTTTACTATGTGGATTGTAACTAAACACCCCGTACCTAATTTCGATTATTTTTGTCACAACAAAACATTACGCATTGCATTCATCAAGAAAATTACATTTCGGTAAAAACAATAATTTCGTTAAATAAATCAAGAAGGCGACTTTTCAGCGTTCCCCCTGGGAGGCCACGAAACAAAACACGTACGAAAGAACGGAATAACAAAAATAAGGGAAAAAACAAACGACAATCTAATATGGCACGGTCACGCGACGACAAGCGAGCGCGGCAAGTGCGACTTTCAATTGTCGTCGGTGGGAACCTTAGACCTAAAAGTGTAGAGATGGAGCACAAAGAAATAATTATTTTTTAAAAGATTTATTGTTTTATTTGTACACTTCTATGAGTATTTTTTTATTTAAAAAATACTTGAAAATCTGTCAATTATTGCTCCATCTATACATTCTTTGGTCTATGGTAAGAATGCTATCTGCAACAATAAAACGACGCTTAATCGATACGAAATTTGCACGCAATTTCTTAATGATTTTTTATTTAAAATTATTTAAATTAAGTAGGTATAGTTAAATAAAAAAGCAAAACTTTATGGTAATATATCTAATCCAAAAATTTCGATAATGTTTGCACATATTTAATCAGGTCGCGTCACATGATTTTGTTTATTGCAATGTGTTGACAAAATTATTTATAATAAATAATGTTAATTTTAAAATTAGCTGCGTAAAATAACATGTTGCACTATGGGATAAAATGTATTAACGAATTTTTTTTGGAATTTAAAACTTTACCAAATCTATGACATTGGGTAAGCATTATCCGGTATAAAATTACCTGGTATCCAATTTACACAGATTAAAGCAGTGCTTCTTCTATTTCAGCTAGAAAAATATTTTGTGATTTTCATTTCCCGTATAAAGATTAATAATTTAAATTTTAAAAGCTGATTTTTATCAAAAATATTTTGAAAACAATTTGCTTTATCCATCTAACGAATTAGTTATCGTTCGTAATGACAATATTAAACCAAACTGATAACGATGCGTAATCTAAAAACATAAATCACCGCTGTAATAAAACATGTCCATATGTTGCGGATTGCAATAAAATTTAATATCGCTCGTGATATTCGCGATTTAACGGATTAATGACGATTAATTCACCATCGGTTTTTCGTTTTAAAACCTATCTAACTCAATGAACAACAGGTCACTTATCATGTCGTCACCTATTATAAATTGCTTAAATATTTAAAATATTAAAATATTTTTATTTTTGCAAAAAACACCCTGTATATTATAAAACCCTATTCTTGAATTGACATTGAATAAAGAATATTTGAAAAAAATAATTAATTAAAAAAAAAAAATAGTATTTGGTCATTTTTTTATATTCAAAAATACCTATCTAAAAGTTGTACATCTCGAAAATATCAAACAATTAAACTAACACTTAAATAACATTAAAAAACCAGTTCAGACATTTTTCGATTTTTGACAGATCAACTTTACGAAATTATATTAAAATGTGAATGAACTTTAATCCTAAAAATATAAAAATATTTGCGAAATCTTCAAAAATAAGCATCTTTGTATATTTGAGTTATGTAAATAAATAAATAACAGTATCAGAGACTAGTCTCTGGTATGTATCATTAAAAATTCATCCAAAAACGAAAACCAAAATTCTATCCGTAACAGTAAAAAATTTAACAGTAAAAATTAATTAATTAATTAATACAACAATTTTATATGTGGTTCTAAAGCCAACAAACAATACGTTTTTATTATCAACCAACACATTTTAAAATACGTTTACATTGACTTCGCATCTATTTTTAACAATTTTAATACAGAATTCCTTTTAACATGAGTCACAACTTTTTAAATTCCTCGAAGAAATTAAATCTTATCTTTAAAATTATATTTTTTGTTATACATTGTTTTTATTGTAGTTTGTAATACATATTTAAGAAAAAATATATCACCCTGTATATATAATTTTTTTAAATTTTCAGAACAATAAAATAAATAAAAAATATAAGCTGTGAAGAATTTTTAGTAGAAAGTAGAAAAAATTAAATGTTTTTGGATTTTGAATAGGTTTGATACATTCTAAAAGGTTAATTTAGAACATACAAAATATGTATAATATATATAAAATACAAAATAATGTTTAATTTATTGGTAATAATAGTAAATATATGGATTATACGTCAAATTTAAAGATGCTAAAACATAACCTAAAAAGTCGTGGGAAGCTTATTAGTTAGAAAACCGGTAAAAACAAATCAATTTAAATGTTAACCAATGGATATGCATAAAATACCGGTTTTTTAAATAAATTATTTGCAATTTTTTTCGTGGCATCTGCGATATGTTGGGTTTTGATGGTGGGTAACAATAAATTTTAATTTTGTTAGGCGTATCCTAAAAAAATTCAATCACCACTTCCTATCGGTAAAATCTAATAAATAGACAGGAAATACCTTATTTGTTATTACGCAATGAAATACATGAAAAGAATGTTAACGCCTAGGTATATAAATTTATTACACTGTACTTGTGTAGGAAGGTAAAAATTAAAATAAAAAAGCAGGTACTAAAATTTAATCTTATATGGACAGTTGCGTCTTCGCAAAATGCACAAAAAGTGGTCATATTGATTAGGTTTGGTGATTTTCTTAATATCGGGGAATGTTAAGTGTTTAAAGGGTTTAAAGTTAACATAGCCGATGATTCATTGGAATAAAATTCCGTGGCAAAATTTCGGCGTTAAATCGATAATTTCCACTGACATTTGCGGCATAAAAGAAACTACCCGGGATTCCTCAAATCCGGCGATTTCCACTCGCATTCTATACGTTTTGAGAGGTGCAAGAGGAATATTCCGGGCATCTGTCAAAATTGTCAATAATGGTAGCTGAGCGTCCGTAACCGCTGCCAAAAACCGATACGAGAAATACCGAAAAAAACGTACAGCAAGTAAAAAACTACACTCACCATCGTATCGTTCGGCTTGTTCGGCCAGTTTTGCCTTGTAGACGTTATCCTCTCGTTCAGACATTTTCGCGATGTTTCCGGATTAATTTTACACAACACTTTTAGCACAAACTGTTTTCCACTGTCGCGTACTGCCAATATGGCCGCGCCCGCCACAATAAATCCAACGGTGATTTACGATCGAGCTGCTCGTTTGCAATCGGGTCTGACGTCAATCATAGGCGGGATTTTCGAATTTCGAACCTTCTCCTGCCTGCAAAAAGGGAATTTATTAACGGTTTTTGGGTGTTTTTTGATGAATTTTTTTGAGTGATGTTTGACTTTCAATTTTTTATGTAAACATTATTCTTTTATTTTGCGGCAAGTTCGGAACTGTCAAAATTATACCCATTCAAAACTTCACTTTGGCTTTAATAAAAGTTAATCGTTAAATCAGCAGAATTATTACAATAAATAAAACGATACAACGAAATGTACAATATATTTTAATTTGCCAATAAACGTCAAGCCAAAAATTTGACGTTTTGAAGTTTTATAAAATATTTTAACAAAAATCCAACCTACCTTTTAAGTTTCACAATTTATTTTTCTGTGTCCAAAATCTTAACAATTTATGTTTTATTTGACTAATTTTGATATAATTTTAATCGTCAGAATGTTGGTATTTTGTTGTTGGCAGCCATTTAAAAGTGACAGTTTAGTTGTGTCAAAACCAAGAAGACCATATAAAGGAGGAGTAACTATAATAGAAGAGTTTTTATAGAATGTCTTCAAAATTTAATATATGATTTTGTGAGGCAAATTCAGACCTTCCATGTAAAATGAGTAATAGTAATATTTTTGAAGCATTTTAAAATTGTCATTTCAAATTTCGTGCTGCCAACTTAAGAACCAAAATATGTAAGTTTTAAACCTCAATTTTGCCTCTATAACAACAAATTAGCAGTTTATATTGTTACTTATTTACTTTTTACGTTGTTTTTAGTTTTTAATGATATTTTAATTTGCATTAAAGTAGTTATTTGTTAATTTAGAGCAACGTTTTATTTTTGCTACATTGGCACCGCTGAATTTGCGGTCTCGGCCTACTGTTATTTATTCATCAAACTCTTCAAGTTTATTCAAAAACCAAATGAATTTAATCTGACAGCTGTCAATTAGTTTTAACCTCACTTTTTTTTAAAATTGAACTGCAGGCTGTGGGCAAAATGCTATTTCATTCACTAGTGAGAGAAGTATACTTTATAAAGAAAAGCATTTTTTAGTTTTGATTGATTTTAGAGCGTCAAAATATGAAAAAACTTATTTTTGTCAACTTTGGATGAAAGATAGAAAAGAATGTTAAAATTCAAGCTTTAATTTTTATTTTTTTCGTCCGAGCAATAGAAAACGATTTTTTAATGAAAACACAGTTTGCATTAAATAATTTATGGAATTCTACTTAAAATGAGAAAAAGCATAAAATATTAGTTTTTAGGCCTTTAATCTTAAAAATACAAGTTTATTCAAAAATCACAATGAATTTAATCTGACAGCTGTCAAATATTTATAACCTCACTTTTTTAAAAAGTAAACTGCAGCCCGTGGGAGAAATGCTATTTCGCTCACTAGTGAGAGAAGTAAAATAAGCATTTTTTCGTTTTGACTGATTTTAGAGTGTCAAAATATGAAAAAACCTATTTTTGTCAACTTTGCATGGAAGATAAAAAAATGTTAAAATTCAATCTTTAATTTTTTCTTTTTCCGTCCGAGCAATAGAAAACGATTTTTTAATGAAAACACAGTTTGCATTAAAAAATTTATTAAATTCTACGTAAAATGAGAAAAAGCATAAAATATTAGTTTTTAGGCCTTAAATCTTAAAAAATACAAGTTTATTCTAAAATCACAATGAATTTAATCTGACAGCTGTCAAATATTTTTAACCTCACTTTTTTAAAAATTAAACTGCAGCCCGTTGGCGAAATGCTATTTCGCTCACTAGTGAGAGAAGTAAAATAAGCATTTTTTCGTTTTGACTGATTTTAGAGCGTCAAAATATGAAAAAACTTAATTTTGTCAACTTTAGATAGAAGCCCGTGGGCGAAATTCTATTTCACTCACTAGTGAGAGAAGTAAAGTAAAGCATTTTTTAGTTTTGACTGATTTTAGAGCGTCAAAAAAACTTGTTTTTGTTAACTTTAGATGAAAGTTAAAAAACAATTTTAAAATTCAAGCTTCAATTTTTTCTTTTTTCGTCCGATCAATAGAAAAAGATTTTTTAATGAAAACACAGTTTGCATTAAAAAATTTATTGAATTCTACGTAAAATGAGAAAAAGCATAATATATTACTTTTTTATGCTTTTTTATCCACCTATACAAACAAAATAAAATACAAACAACTGCAATGTATATTTATTTACATTATCACATTTCTCGGAAAGCTTATATACAAGGGTGAACAATATTAATTAATTTGACATTCGGAACAACATTTTTGATTGCACACCAAAAATACACAAGTTTCTCCAACGATGCTGTACTTCGCCCTGTGTGATATTATTGACTTATTATTTACATTAGGATTTAAAATAAACGTTTCCACTAGTATATACACGGTTTAAAAAATAATCCGGATAATTTTAAGACTTCTCCCGCCAACCTGTCACCAAAACCTGCCGTTAGGAATAAAAGAGAGTTTTAGGTTAAGCCTCGCTTAAAATATATCGGGGCACATCGACCAATCCTGCTTCTCCTTGCTCTCCCAGTAATTCCCCTTGTACACGTGGATCACCGTCCCGGTCTCCTCGTTTTTTTTCTGCTCGAACCACAGAGGTTGGTACGGCTCTATGTGATTCCCTAAAAAATTATTATATTTGATGAATTTCAATCGCAAATAACTTTTTTATTTGATGTCGGATTTAAACGAATATTAAAGAATATTGTAGATAAATTAATGGACAATCGCTCACATTTTAAAAAAGTACTAAAAAATAGACGTACGTTTATAATATACAGGTTTAAACAAAAAGATGTTTTATACCATAAGTTTAAGACACTCTGTAGAGTGGCAAAACCGTATATTGTTCTAAATTAAGTTTTAATTATCAAGTCACATCTATTTTTAACAGTTTTGTTTTTGGTTCACCTTGATATATTTATTTTTGTGGAAAATATGAATTTTTTAAAAAAACATTGCAATTTCCAATATTTTTCTGTATGAAGAACTAAGGTTGCTGTGGTCCATCCATATGGAGAATGAGTGACAGTTTTGTTGAATCATCCCATACTTGGACATGTCATACACGGCTTTCAAAAGCTATCAAATTGTTTTTTGCAAACATCAACATCAGTCGGAGACATTTTTTAAAGTAAGAAGACACCTCAAAATTAACACATTAATTTACAAAAAACAATTTGATAGCTTTTTTAAAGCTGTATATGACATGTCCAAGTATGGGAAGATTCAACAAAACTGTCACTGTCATCCTCCATAGGCTATGGATGGACCATAGCAACCTTAGTTCTTCATACAGGAAAAATATTGGAAATTGCAATGTTTTTTTAAAAATCCATATTTTCCACAAAAATAAATATATCAAGGTGAACCAAAAACAAAACTGTTAAAATAGATGTGACTTGATAATTAAAACTTAATTTAGAACAATATACGGTTTTGCCACTCTACAGAGTGTCTTAAACTTATGGTAAAAAACATCTTTTTGTTTAAACCTGTATATTATAAACGTACGTGTATTTTTTAGTAATTTTTAAAATGTGAGCGATTCTCCATTAATGTATCTACAATATTCTTTAATATTTGTTTAAATATGAAATCAAATAAAAAAGTTATTTGCGATTGAAATTCATCGACAATTTGTGTGGATCGATTATTTTGCCTGTGAGTGTAGTTTTGTGGAATTTACCTGTTTTGGCTGCAGCTTCGGTTTCAGCTTCCCTCGCTCTTCTAACGGCCCTTTGTTTTTCTTCCAGTCTTATTTTTTCCGTGTTTGACTGGTCCCACCTACCCTCTTCCATGAGCCGCTGATCCGGCCTGTGTCTGGAGTCAGTTGGGGCAACACCTAGATATTAAAATAATAATAATCCTTTTTATACCTAAATTCTAATAATTTAGGGATTTAAAGAACTATTTATATCACAGACCTTTGTAGGTCTGTGATTTATATAAACAACCAAAACGGTTATAAAACCCAAGTGAAAAAGTAAAAACTCATTAAAAATAAAAACGTTTTTTTTTTAAATTTTCTGAGGTGTTTTGACGTTTTAGAGTATTCTTCGAGTTCTAATTGATCGATTTGACCAAACAAGCACTTAAATCAAAGGTAATTGAGCCCTCTACAACTTTTTCTTGTATAGTTTTCTTATCGGCTCAGTAGAAAAGATAATTCCATGAATAAATGGCGAAGTTATGAATTTTTCAGTGGAAGAGCAAAATTCAATTTTTCGACAATTTTTACGTTTTATCTTCATTTTATTGAATTATATAAAATTAAATATTGAACATTGATTTTTATTTAAAACATTAAATAATGAAATTAAATTATATATTGAAAAACGTTCTCCGTGCTCATCACTTACGTCGCATAGATTGTGCGTGTTATTTACGCACTCGGACACTATAAATTTAAATTTTGAATAATGTTCTCGGTGAAAAAAGTACTCAAAAAATTCCAATCATGCACTTTATTTAGGTTTTCATTAAAGAATAAACATATTACAAAATAAAAGAAAAAAAATAAAATAAAAATCGTCAAAAAGCTGAATTTTGGTCTTCCACTAAAAAATTCATAACTTCGCCATCTTTCCATGTATTTTTATCAACATTAGCTTAATTTTTTTGTAAAAATGTCAGCTTCACGAAAAAAAATTCAAACTGGAGTTATCTGTTTGATTTAAACCTTTCCCAGGACGATATGTAAATTTTCGACCTCAATTTTTGTCATAAAAACGAATTTTTTAAGTTATTAAAATCGCTAGCGTCAAAACACTTATCCGATATCAAAAGTATGTAAAAGAAAGTTTTAGAGGGCTCAAATACCTTCAATTTAAGGGCTTGTTTGACCAAACACCACCGAAAATTAAAAAAAAACAATTGAAAATTCATATTTCAAAAACGCTTCCATAAAAAAGAATTGATTGTGATTTTCGTGTTTATTTTGTCAAAATACATGGGAAAATTATAATGGGATATGGTGGGCAGAATTTTTTTTCGATTTTTTAAACTAGTGTAGTTAATCATACTTGACAAAAAGTTTTGCGCAAAAATGTAATAAATAAAATAAATATTATATTTTCTTTTTAACCGTGTTTATTAAGACTCATTATGTATGATTTACTATATTTTATTGGAAAAAATAAAGTTTTTTATTTTCTGAATGCGTTTTAAGATTTTTCCTAAATCTTTACCTACGAAGTACAGGGACAAATAAATATACCCAACGAAAAAAAAATTACGAATTTTTCAAAAAATGTTTTTTTAAACATTCATAACTTTTTAAAAAATGACTAAATGGGACGTTTTTTTTTATTCTTTAATTTTGAATGTACCTTTCAGAAAAAAATACAAACCAATTTTTCAATGTCAAGTTCTATAACATTTTTCACTTTAAAAAAAACATTTTAATAATTTTTTTTTATATTTATTCTCCGATTAAACTTTTGTTTGGTTGTGTAAAAAAATTTAAAAAAATTCTGTGAAATATTTAGTGGGGTAGAAAAATATAAAAAAAATAATGCGTGGAACGACCCATATAAATTAACAACTGAACTAAAGTGTAATTTAAAAAACATTTAGTTAAAAAAAAATTAGTAGAAGTTGTTTGTAAGAGATTATAAAATCCATATTAATATAACAATAATTATTATTAAATTCTTAATTAAGTTTAATAATATTTTTTATGGATTTAAATAAATATTCATATAAACAACCAAAACGGTTATAAAACCCACGTGAAAATGTAAAAAACGCATTAAAAAATAAAAACTCTCATTTTTCAATGAAAATATAGTTAATCATCCTTGACAAGTCTTAGTTAACACAGGTAACAAAAATATTTATTCGCGATATAAATGTATTGAATTATTTCCGCAAAACCGTACTTTTTCACTGGACAAAAAGTTTTGCGCAAAAAATTTAATAAATAAAATAAATATTTTTTTCTGTTTAACCGTGTTTTATTGGAAAAATAAAGGTTTTTATTTTCTTAATGCGTTTTTAGATTTTTTCCTAAACAAATAAAGGAAAAAAGTTACGAATTTTTCAAAAAATGTAATTTTTCAGTCCCACATAACTTTTCTAAAAATTGACTAAATGGGACGTTTTTTTTTAATTTTTTGTTTTTGAATGTGCTACATTTCATGACATAACCTACCTTCTTCCGGTTCGTTTAATTGGGCGGCCAGCACAGTGAAGTTGTACCACTTATCGCTATCGGGTGGAACAGGCCTTCTTTTCCAAATTAGCTCCGACGTGTCCGTTTCGTATATCGAAGTGGTGCTCGTATTTTTAGTGTTTCCGATTACCTAAAACCGCATTTTAAACGTGAAACTTGACTTTCCTACTACTTCCTCAAAAAAACAAAAAAATTGTGTTCAAAGTTTGTTGTTTTGCTGTTAACTTGGAAAGTTTTGATTTTATAGAAAGAACTTGACTTTCCTACTACTTCCTCAAAAAAACAAAAAAATTGTGTTCAAAGTTTGTTGTTTTGCTGTTAACTTGGAAAGTTTTGATTTTATAGAAAGAAGTAAATAAAGTTCCTTTTTTTATCTGGACTGCGGCAACGTTTCAAATTTAGAGATTTGGTTGGTAAATACGGAACCAAAATTGCTTGCACTGCTTAGTAGAAAATAATGTGTGATTTAATATTCGTAAAACCAAAAACGTTACTTTTTTACTCGAAAAATGGCGTAATGGTTTTCGTCCGATGTCGATACCTTTTTTTGTTAAATCACCGTTAAATGGGGTAGTTAAATTTTTTCTGACCTATACTTTTTATGGTTTTATTCAAGGCGTTTTGTAATATTAAACATTTCTGTGAAATCAGAATTTCAATTGAGTTTACCGTTTTCGAGATATTTACAAAAAATATAAATTTTTATGACGTCACAAACCTCGCCATGTGACCAACATTCTAAGATTTCTATTGGTTGAAAATTACCCTGTTGTCAAGTTGTCTTGTTAATGATTTCATTCGGTTATGTCAGAAAATACCCGAAGAGGTTATGTACAAATACTGTCACTGTCAGTTGAGTGAAAGATGGTCACCAAATTCATTAAGTACCTATCTTCCTTATTACGAGGTATCATATTACTGTTTGATATTTTAGAGTCCAAGATATATCTAAAAGAATATAAAGAAATAGGCATTATACTAATGAAATGCATTTACGACAAAATATGATTATAATTATAGGTACTTTCCTTATTTGTTTAAAAGCTCCAATGTTCAATGTAATCAACCATTTCACAAGATTCCTCTGCTTTGGAGTCCGTTATTAATAAATCACTTATCTAATATCAATTACAAATAACATAACAATAACATTGATTTTCAATGATCTAAATTTAAAAAAAACATAATCCGAAAAAAAAGAAACGTCAAAAAATCAATTCTTCTTCTTCTTCTCAACTAAAATTATAGATCAAGTGGTTTTAAAACTAAAATATTATAACGTGGCGCCATCTATCGTAAGAATCTTAAACTAAACACACTGGCAACCATGGAAAAAGCTGGCAACGTTGTCAATAGCCTAGTGACGTAATTAGGAGATTTTTTTTTGTAAATATCTCGAAAACGGTAAAGTCAATTGAAATTCCGATTTCACAGAAATGTTTAAAATTACAAAACGCCTTGAATAAAACCATAAAAAGTATAGGTAAAATTTAACTACCCCATTTCTGCGGTGGACGTTAAAAATGGCTTCGCTTACCTTGGCAATTTCGACCTGGTCGTCCCAAGTGCCGTTGATCACCCATTGGACGCGCTCTTTTTCGTCCAGCACCACACCTTTAACCCGACGCTGGGTGTCGCGGCTGAAATACGAGTACGGTATGTATTTCAGCACGCACTTGATCTTCTGACCGTCGCCACCTTGACCGAGAATCTCCATGTCACCTAAGATGGAAAAAACAATCTAAAGACTAAAAATAATTTATAATGACCTTTATCCTACCAAAAAGTACGCCACTGATGTACTATGCTCCACACCTCAAAGTCCCACCACGTGACCACGTACGGAACGCAGTCTTTTGAAAATTTGGCATTTAAGGCTTTTCAGGTTATGTATCTGTCAAAAAATAGTCAATAAAAGAAATAATATTTGTAGTGTTACCGCTTATGTTTAAGCGTTAAAAGTTAATAAATCTTTATAGTATCACAATAACAATGGTTGGTTTATGAATTTAGGAATATAAATACTGCATTTAATGAAATTCCAAAGTGTAAGTTATATTTTTGTGCATTGGGTCTACATTTCTTGATAAAATAGTTTTAACTAAACAGCATTTATTTAAAAAAAATCTAACATCTCTATTATGAAATAAGAATATCTGTATCAAAGGTAGGTTAATGTATTAGAACAAAAAATATCTAATTTTGTATTTTAAGGTTAGAAAAATCTATTTTGACCAAAATAAATAAGTGGATTATTTGGAAGTGTGTTAATATGGTCATAAATAAATATAGGTATACTAAATAATTGTTGAATATGGTTCAAATTAAATTGAAACTTTTATACTTCTAACGACAAAACTTGTGCATGCCTCTCTGCATACCTACTTTAAGTTAGATTATAAGAAAACAAACAGTTTTTAGAGAAACTTGCAATTTGAAAATATTTAATACTCCCATGACATGTGATTTATTAAAATATTAAAGCTATAATGATTTTTTGATGTAGATCAAATTCAGTCGAAGTTTTTTAACTATTTGTATTGACAAAACTTTATGTAGGTACACTTTAAGCTGGAAAAGAAAAACTACCACATTTTTAAATACCATATTATACAGTCTTTTAAATAATCCAAAATACTTATTTATTTTGGCCAAAATAAATGTTTCTAACCTTAAAATTACAAAATTAGTTGATATTTTTGTTATAATATATTAACCTACCTTTAAAACAGATATTCTTATTCCATAATAGAGAAGCTAGATTTTTTTAAATAAATGATGTTTAGTTAAAATTATTTTATGGAGAAAACCAGATATTTGGACCAAATGCACAAAAATATTACTTATTTGGCACCATACACTTTAGAATTTCATTAAATGCAGTATTTATATTTTTAAATTCTTAAACCATCCATTGTTATTGTAATGTTATAAATATTTATACATTTTTAACGCCTAAACATAATATTATTTCTTTCGTTGACTATACTTTGACAGATACATAACCTGAAAAGCCTTAAATGCCAAATTTTCAAAAGACTGCGTTCCGTACGTGGTCACATGGTGGGACTTTAAGGTGTGGAGCATAGTACTAGGAACTTTAGGCTAATCTGGTTGCCTAATTTAATTTATTATTTTTTGGTTGGTAACGACCAGCGTTTCCAGATTCTGTCATAAAAATTGCCAGATTTTGTTTAAGTTTGGCCTAATTACAAAAATGACAAAATCAATAATGCAAATTGTTAATTTGGCGTTTTATGAATTGTTGATTATATTATTATATTGCAATGGTAAATTCAAACAAAATCTGGCAACTTATGACATAATCCGATGAAAAAAATTAATTTCGTGGTTACAGTTTTTAAAATATGTACTGAATTTTCTAATCATTGCTTAAGCTAATAGCTGGATGAGCAAATAGATACAGAAAGTTATTAGAGCTTTTGTATTTATTGAGTTTTTATTTATTTTTTGCAAGAAAAATGTTTAGCAGTTTTTGCAGCCGAATATTTAGAGACGTAACAAACAATATTTTACAGATTTAATATTTTTAAATTACTTACCGTGTTGGTCGACCCAGAGTTTCCCTACGATAATATTGTGAACGGTCGTGGTAACTTTTCTCCACGAGAATTTGTTTCCCGTATTGGTAAACTCCAAATGGGCCATCCCCAATGGAATAATCTAATGGGAGAATAAAAACAAGCAACGTATAAATTACTATTATTTTATTATTAAAAAAAATAATAGCGATTTACCTGTAAATATTTTCCCCTAAATTTGCTAGTCATGGTAAACTCTTGGTAACACTTCCAACCGCGACCATCGCAGTGCTGTGCAAGCATTGGGGGATGATGGGAGACCTAGTTTGCAAAAGGTTATTTAAAAGTTACACACTTTTAAAGTTTAAATTCGGCCACGATGGTAATTTGATAAAAAAAACCTAGTCTTCTCATTTAACGGACAAAAAATTTCAAGTGTGATTTTCGAGTTTAGTCAGCCAAACCACACAAGGAAATCCTAGTGAGACATGGTGGGCAAAAGGCTCTTATTTTTATGAAAGTGAACAATTTCGAATATAAAGTTAACCAAACAAATCAGGTAGTTACAAGGTTAGCACCTACAGCACTTCCTAATTTTTATACCGCTTGGATTGCATATAGTAAACTGGGCCAAAAAATCTATTTAAACTATTTTTTTGTTAGTAAAGTATATCGAAAATATTGTTTGTGGTGACAATAAAAATTAACAATAATATTAATATGAAGAGGTCTATCATCGAAATTTTTTTTTTTTTTTCATGAGCGAGTTTTTGTTTCAGAACTACCAAAGCATTGAGTTCAACAAAATTTACTTTTTTTGGGGAAATTGAATGCTCAACAAAAAAAGGTTTAGATGAAATTTTTAAAAATTGGTATAATGGTTTCACAATTTGATCTGATAAATAATAGTCGATTTTTTTGGCCCAGTAAATATTGCTGAATTCGTTAAGTTGTACAAGTAGCCTCAAGTTGAACCACTAATCGTCTAAAGATACTGAAAGCTTTAAATGCGATGTTTTCTTTTGAGTTTTCGAGCACCACGTAATTAATTTTAAGACCACGTCCGTCAAATGAAAAGACCGCAGTCGTTTGTTTCGGTACCTGCTCGCTGACGAGCCTCCACCCGAAATCGTCCGTACGGTCGCACTCGTACGTCTCCCCTAGCAACGGATTGAAAGGTTTTGCGGAACGCACGCTAGTGGTCGAGTAGGCGGATATCGTGAAGGCTGCCACGTGCGCCATCTGCTCGCAAAAATCGGTACAACTGAAAAGAAAACGCGAATTCGTAAACTGAACCGAGAGTGATCGAAAAAGTTTTCGTCCCAGACCATCAGAATAGTAAATGTGGTAAATGTGTCTTGTTTGAAAATTTCTACCATCACACAGTGGGCTAGAGAGCGACCCAAGTAAGTGTTTTATTTCGACAAAATTTAGGGAATTTTGAATTCTTTAATATCTGTAAATAATGAATCACCTTCAAATCTATTGAATTTCTATCAGTCAAAGTTTAAGAATTATAATTACTTGCTTTGTCTCGGTAAATTGCGCGTAAGGTATTGCTTCTCTTACAATGTTTATTACTAATTTATTCTTACTTTTTGACTATAATACGCTAAAGAAGTATCGGGTTTAAGCAACGTTTTATAAAAGTTCAGTTATAATTTTGTAAATTATTCAATAAAATTATAGATCTTAATTTTGCAATGACACAAATATTCTTTTGCTGTTAAAGCAATTGGTGGTAAAAAGTTTTTTTTATTAAAATTTCATCAATTATACCAAACAAAAAATAAACATTAACTAAGAATTACTTAAACAAAGCAAACTGTGCATCGCCATGAAAAATGATGATTGTAAAAAACTAAAATTTGTATAATCATCCTGATTTATGAAGACTGCAGATTTTTCAAACAGTAGATAGAATACAATATTTAGGTGTAGAGGTAATCAGCGACCACAAAAACTATAACACATATAATTCCGACGAAATCGATCAGTTTTTCTTCAAATGTTTTTTTTTTAATTTTCAAAAAACCCTTGTATACACTCACAGGCAAAATAATCGATCCACACAAATTTTCGATGAATTTCAATCGCAAATAACTTTTTTATTTCATGTCGGATTTAAACGAATATTAAAGAATATTGTAGATAAATTAATGGACAATCGCTCACATTTTTAAAAAATCCATATTTTCCACAAAAATAAATATATCGAGGTGAACCAAAAACAAAATTGTTAAAATTAGATGTGAGTTGATAAATAAAACTTAGTTTAGAACAATATACGGTTTTGCCACTCTACAGAGTGTCTTAAACTTATGGTAAAAAACATCTTTTTGTTTAAACCTGTATGTTATAAACGTACGTGTATTTTTTAGTAATTTTTTAAAATGTGAGCGATTGTCCATTAATTTGTCTACGATATTCTTTAATATTCGTTTAAATCCGACATCAAATAAAAAAGTTATTTGCGATTGAAATTCATCGAAAATTTGCGTGGATCGATTATTTTGCCTGTGAGTGTATATTAGGGTGATTCATTTCCGCAAAGTTTTTGTTTTTTTCGGTGCTCAAGCAAAATATTAATCTGCATATAGGAAAAAACATTCTCACCAAGTTTGGGCTCTTAATATTAATTTTAAGCACTTAATATTTAAATTTAAAGTTTTACCGTTTAAAATGCATGTAAAAAATATATATATTTTTTCAAATTTCTAATGCTTACCCACCTTTGACAATATTGCAAATCGGTTTAATACACCTTATGGGGAATTTCACGCTCTTTAAAATTGCTTTTGAGTTTTTTTTGTAACTCGCATTGGTTCACCAGTAGGAGTCGTCAAAGGACAGTTTTTGAAAAAAATCGTTTTTTTTTATTTTTTCGAGCAAATCGCCAAAAGTAGTGAGAAAAAAGGGCTGATTCATAAAAAAAAAGTTATCCAACCAATATTTAATGAATTTACTACCATTTTTATAACTGAAAACGTAAGAAATTGATAAATACCAACCCATAATGTTATTTAGATTGATTTTTTCTATTTATTATCATTATATTTTCCTACACTAAGAAGTTTTTTAAAATTATTATGATTTCTCACTCATAATGAATATGAAAACAACACATAAATTCATAAAAAAACAACAAAACTTTAATCGAAATATACAGAAGGTTATGTAACATATTTCAAATTTCGCTTCAAAAAATTAAATAATCTTCATTTATATTTTTTTGCTATATGACAGAAATGTTGAAAAATTGCAAAATCCACGTTACAATTTTCTTATTGTTTTTTTATGAATTTATCTGTTGTTTTTATATTCATTATAAGTGAGAAATCATAATAATTTTAAAAAAGTTCTTAGTGTAGGGAAATATAATGATAATAAATAGAAAAAATCAATCGAAATAACATTATGAGTTGGTAATTATCAATTTCTTACGTTTTCAGTTATAAAAATGGCTGTAAATTCATTAAATATTGGTTGGATAATTTTTTTTTATGATTCAGCCCTTTTTTCTCCCTACTTTTTGCGGTTTGTTAGAAACAATTTAAAAAAAAAAAAACGATTTTTTTTTTAAACTGTCCTTAGACGACTCCTACTGGTGAACCAATGCGAGTTACAAAAAAAAACTCAAAAGCAATTTTAAAGAGCGTGAAATTCCCCATAAGGTGTATTAAACCGATTTGCAATATTGTCAAAGGTGGGTAAGCATTAGAAATTTGAAAAAATATATATATTTTTTACATGCATTTTAAACGGTAAAACTTTAAATTTAAATAGTAAGTGCTTAAAATTAATATTAAGAGCTCAAACTTGTTGAGATTTTTTTTTTCTATATGCAGATTAATATTTTGCTTGAGCACCGAAGAAAACAAAAACTTTGCGGAAATTAATCACCCTAGTGTATATGTCCGGGTTTTTGTGATTTTCAACGTCAAAATTATCGAAACGACTTACTTGGCCGCCTTGTCCAGTATGTCCGAGTACTCGAAGTCTTCGACGATGCGCTGGAGCATGGAGAGAGGCTCGTTGAAATTGACCGGCATCGGTATCTTACTTAGATCCTTGCCGATGCAGTTCTTCATGATGCTCCACAAGTTGAGCGGGTAGTTCGGCTTGTCGGGCACGCGCTGCCGCCGCTGCCTGCCGCCCCCAGCGCCGCCGCCCGCCGCCTCCGCGTTCTGGCCGCTGCTGCCCGAACTCGCCGCGTGCTTGCTGGTCACGACGACAACCTAAAGAAAACAAAGTTCAAGCGTTCAAGCCGGTTGTCGACAAAATTCGCAGAATTTTTGATAACTTTATACAGGGTGTTATGTAATTAATGTTATATATTAAAATGGGTTGTTCCTTAGGGTCCATAAAGAAGCACCTGAAACTTTTTTTTCTAAATTCCAAAGTCTAAAAATAATTTATAATAACCTTTATCCTACCAAAAAGTACGACACTGATCGACTAGGAACTTTAGGTTAATCTGGTGGATTTATTATGTTATGGTTGGTAACCACAATGTTTCCAAAATCTCTCAAAAAAGTTGACAAACATTGTTTAAATTTAGCTTAATTACAAAAATGACAAAATTAACAATGCAAATTGTCAATTTGGCGTTTTTATTAATTGTTGGTTATTTCATTTTTCTACTGAAGGTAAATTCAAACAAAATCTGCCAACTTTTATGACAGAATCTAGTGCATTTCTTTTAAATTTTTACGTTATGTTTTCAAATTGTAAATATCTTAACTAAGGGAAGTGCTTTTGGATTTATTTACACAAATTAAATGTTTAAAGTTTAACCTGTGAACTGGTCCCAATTTCATCTAAATAAACAGAGAAAAAAACTGATGAAAAAATTAATTTTGTGGTTATGGATTTCAAATTTCAAAGGTACTAAATTTTCTAATCATTGCTTAAGCTAATAGCTGGATCAGTAAATAAATACAGAAGGGTATTAGAGCTTTAAGGGCATAAAACTTTTGTATTTATTGAGTTTTTATTTATTTTTTGCAAGAAAAATTTTTAGTAACAATTTTTTACATCTGGCAACGCATAGCTATGTACTCACAAAATACAGGTGTGCAGAGATAAACAAGTGTGTAACCAGTGGCGTATCACAAAAAATATAAAAAACTTCTAATGCATATTTTTTCTTTTTCTTTGGAAAAATGTTTTTTTAAATATTTTTCCTTTATTCCTTATGTCAAAAGGTATTCAGTATTTTAATATATAACATTAATTACATAACACCCTGTATACAGCCCGTTCAGAGTAAAACCGAATATAGGGAAACGTTTTGGGCGTGGCCTCGCCTCCCTCAAACGCGCGTCACAGTAGCTGTGTGATAAACGACATGACGAAAGGTCGAGCAGGCAAGACGACCTTAAAAATTAAATGATAATAATGCAAACAATCTCATTAGCGATGCAGGCTATTTGCTTAGCTACTGTGTCGCGCGTTGGAGGGAGGCGAGGCCACGCCCAAAACGTTTTCCTACATTCGCTTTTACTCTGAACGGGCTGTATGTATGGCACGCCGTTTTAAAAATTAATAAATAAAAAGTTTTGTTTTGAATTTGTAAAGAGTGATAAAATAAATGTTTAATCCAAAAATTACCACAAATTTTTTTTTAAATGTAGGGCAAACCACATAGTTATTGGAAATATTATTTATTTAAAATTTATATACGTTTACTTAAAAATAAGAATATTTGAATTTTTAATAATAGTTTTATAAAAACATGCAAAAAAGTACAGTAATTGGACATTTTATATAGTAATTGGACACATGTACCATAGTTATTGGACATACAATTTTTATATTAACCTATCAACTTTACATCAAATAACATAAATTGATAAATAGTTTTTAAAGATAAATAATAGCAGTTGTATAATTAAGGTTTAGGCACAAAAAATTAGTTATATTCATTGTTTTTCAAATATACAAATCAAAATTATAATAAATTTGATATTAAAATGATAAACCAGTTACCTACTATACCGGCTTTGAAGTTTTGACAGATTCAAAAAGTTTAAAAAAAGACCTTTATCTATTTTGGTTTCATAATGACTTCATTATAACACCGCTTTTGGTTCTTTAATGAGGTACTTTATTCCACCCAAAATTTTGATTTTATAGGTTGGCTACTAGTAAAATAAAATATGGAATACCTATAGGTTATAATATTTTTATGATTTGTTTTCTAGTACTTACGAGACTTTTCGTGCAATAAATTTTGTTTAATGCCTGGTTTATGCAGACTTAAAACTTAAGACCTAAGACTTAACATTTAACAATTAAGAAGTTAAAAGTTAGGTTATTTCATTGATTTCCTTTAAGGTCGTTTATGCACCATTTAAGACTTAAGACTTAACATTTAAGAACTAGGAAAAATGACCTTGAAAGATAATAAACTTTTATCTTTCTTAAGTCTTAATTTTTAATTCTTAAATGAAATCGCATTTGCGCAAGCGTCAACTAGGGAATTTTAAATTAAACTGTTTCTTTTTCTATGGTTGTTGTAACTGAAAATTTAAAAATTCGTGTTTCATGTTTTTCTTGAAATTACTGTGCTAAAATGATAGATCGTTTGGACCCATTTTAGATTAAACTAGTAAACACAGATTATAAAAAACGTTGATAAACAAAAATATACGCATTCGCAAAACACAACGGTAAAATTTCAATACTAATTGGCATTTTAATGTTGGTAGTACCAACTTGATACCACGTGATATTTTTATCGATTTTGATTGGTTACTCCTTAAGTTTTAAGTCTTAAGATAAATGCTGCATGAACGCCACAATTTTCGCTTAATTTTTAATTCTTAAGTCTTAAATGTTAAGTTTTAAGTCTTAAGTCTGCATAAACCCACCATAACACCAAAGAAAATCCTTTTTTCTTCTTTAACAGCCGCTTATTGTAAATACTTATTGTAAATTAACGACGCCATAGCGAAAGAATGTGATAATGTTTGAAAGGTTAATGACCTTTCAAACTTCAAACTGAGATACCAACTATGTAAAGTAAAATTCGACCAAATTAAATATAAGGTATAAAATTAATTTGTTTTATGAAATGTTTGCAAAATAGATAAAATAGCATAAATACTATATATAAATAAATAAATACTATATATATACTATTAAAATGTAGAAAAAGAATAGATGTTGACATAGATTACTTGTAAAATTAGTTTTGTATTTGTTACAATGTTATTTTTTATTAGTTAGTGTAAATAACTATTTTTAATTAAAATAAAGATTTAGGCATACCATTTGTTTAAATTTATTATAATTTACATTATAAAATTGTGACGGTACAAAATGGTTTGACAATACAAAAAACTTAAATGTCAAAAACTGCTTGGTTTCATTTCTCTGTTTAAAATTATATAAGCGTTACTATTCTTATGTAGTCGTAGAGAAAATAATGTCTGAAACACGTTTGGAATAGCATATTCCACTCTCGTAAATATTTAAAATACATGAATGACTACTCAAACATAATTTTACATTTTAAATTATCATTTTATATTCGTTTACTCGCATCTACTAGGTTTAAACTCATACGGCAGTGTAGTAGCTATTCGATGGCTAGACCGTGCGGCATTCAAATATGAAAAACTTCCCTTCTACATGTCGGGCCCACTCTAAATTTTTTTTTATTCAAAGGTAACATAATAAACTTGGATTTTATGCTATTTAAAAAAATATTAAAAAATACACATTGTTTCAAAAAATGCAAAATTTTGCAAAATTTCAAAAAAAAATTGCAATTTTTATTTTTTTGCAAAAACAGTATAGCCCATTGAAAAGTACGGAAAAAATCATTTAAGGTGGTTAAATTGAAATATTTAATAAAGAGATGAACAGAAGTTATGAATTTTTAAATAAAAAGCGATTTCACCAAAAAGTAAAAAATCGATAAATTTCAATAATCCATAACTCTTGAATGAACAATCCTAGAGCAAAAAAAATTTATGCTATGATTCTTCGTTATAAGAACAACAAATAAGTAAAGTTTAAACAAAATCGGTGACAAAACTTTTTACACCTGGTACACTGGGTAAATTTTGCCCCATATGTATTAACAAATAAATAAAAATAAGTTTAAGTGAATAAATAATCAAAATTGTGCTGTGGTTATTCAATTGCATAAAATATAAACAATACAAGTACCATTTTTTATTTTTTCACTGTTGGGAAACCTAAAAATTTAAACTATTCCAACAGCACTTCAAATGAATATTTATAAGAGAAACTAAAACGTGGATATCGCTAATTTTACCCAACAAACCATAAAATTATTCAAATGATAACGTTTGTTGTAATGGCTTGCACAACAATAAAAATACACTCTTATCAATTAATAGTAATGATGACTTCATATCCACAGTAATTGATAAAATATAGTATAGTATGTTGTAAGCAGTTTAAATGTGTTAAAAAGTATTTTTGGTCAATAGGAAACAAGATAAAACAATTCAAAACTTAAAAAAGTTGGAAATAAAAATGTCGGTTTTTGTGATATTTTAATGATAAAATTTTGATTTTTATGTAAAAAAAATATATATGGAAGAAATTAAATTTTTTAGACTTACTTGTTTGGTAGCTTGGGTATCTTCTGTTTCGCTACTGCTATCCGAACTGTTTCTTCTATGGGTTGTGCCCGTAGGTATGTTCAATGTAAAACCATCAGTTTGAGTGTTTGGTGTTCCCCCACCCTCAGCTATAGCATCGTAAAACTCATTTTCATCCTCCTCCTCATTTTCACTGGCACTGACTGAAAAAAAAAATTAGAGAAACGATTTTTTATAGTATCCACAAAATTGCGCACAAAATATATCCTCCGACTCTGTATCTAGCTTGGTATCTCCAGATTTATCAGCAATTTTGTACAATGTCACAATAAATTTGGAATAAGTCACTCAAAAAAAATATTAAGGTTATGTTGCTTTAAAATTCAAGGCAAAAGGGATTTTTAAAACAATTAACCTTAAAATATGTGGTTGCAAACACTGAAATTTGTTTAATTATTCGTCTTCACTTGTACTATGCTCCACACCTCAAAGTCCCACCACGTGACCACGTACGGAACGCAGTCTTTTGAAAATTTGGCATTTAAGGCTTTTCAGGTTATGTATCTGTCAAAGTATAGTCAACGAAAGAAATAATATTATGTTTAAGCGTTAAAAGTTAATAAATCTTTACAGTATCACAATTACAATGGTTGGTTTAAGAATTTAGCAATATAAATACTGCATTTAATGAAATTCCAAAGTGTAAGGTGCACTATAAGTGATATTTTTGTGCATTGGGTCTACATTTCTCCATAAAATAGTTTTAACTAAACAGCATTTATTAAAAAAAATCTAACTTCTCTATTATGAAATAAGAATATCTATATCAAAGGTAGGTTAATGTTTAAGAACAAAATTTTGTATTTTAAGGTTAGAAAAATCTATTTTGACCAAATTATATAAGTGGATTATTTGAAAGAGTGTGTTAATATGGTCATAAATAAATATAGGTATACTAAATAATTGTTGAATATGGTTCAAATTAAATTGAAGCTTTTATACTACTAATGACAAAACTTGTGCATACCTCTTGGCATACCTACTTTAAGTTAGATTATAAGAAAACAAACAATTTTTAGAGAAACTTGCAATGTGAAAATATTTAATACTCCCATGACATGTGATTTATTAAAATTTTTAAAGTTATAATGATTTTTTGATGTAGATCAAATTCAGTCGAAGCTTTTTAACTATTTGTATTGACAAAACTTTATGTAGGTACACTTTAAGCTGGATAAGAAAAACTACCACATTTTTAAATAACATATTATATAGTCTTTTAAATAATCCAAAATACTTATTTATTTTGGTCAAAATAAATTTTTCTAACCTTAAAATTACAAAATTAGATGATATTTTTGTTATAATATATTAACCTACCTTTAAAACAGATATTCTTATTCCATAACAGAGAAGCTAGATTTTTTTTGTATGTACTCATTTTTAACGCCTAAATATAATATTATTTCTTTTGTTGACTATACTTTGACAGATACATAACCTGAAAAGCCTTAAATTTTCAAAATACTGCGTTCCGTACGTGGTCACGTGGTGGGACTTTGAGGTGTGGAGCATAGTACATATTCATTATTAGGTTGTCACTTGACCGAGAGAAATTTCAAGGTTATGTTGTGAAAACTAGGGTTAACAGTCACTGTGACAGTTGCAAACATTTTTTGGTGGACTGTTGTCAATTTTAATTTTTCCAAAAAAATATGACAAATCAATAAAAATTACTAAATTGAATTGTCACCTGTACAAAATTCAGTTCAATTGTTTGCCAGCAAGTGCTAGAAAAATGGATTTCGAATTTCAAACTGGAGATATACGAGGCAAGTCAAATAACAATAAAAACATACACATAACCATAGTTTTTCAGCAATTATTAAAATCGGGAAAGTATTGCCAACACTTTTGGTCACCTTAACGAAAAAAATTACTAATTTAGTTCCGGCAATAGATACGGATATTTCTATAATTAAAACTACATTGATAACACAACAATACTATTTCCGATATTTCTATATTAAATTTTTAAACAATTGTTGTATTTCAGCACTGATCACTTCAGGGCTCCCACGGTTAAATTACAAGTTTTATTTAGGAATTTAGGAGGTTTTTTTGGAGAATTTTAGGAGAAAAAAGTATGCAAATGAATTTATTTAATTAAATAAAAACAACTCTACACTATACATAAAAAATAAGAACAAAGTAAGTAATTCTCTTTAACAAAAATATAAATAAATATCACTTCTTTTGTACAAATAGGTTATATTGACTAGTTTTTTTTAGCCAAATCGCTCGACGAGTTTTTTTTAATAAAATGAAAAGTGAGGTAAAATTACTACTTTTGTATATATATGGTATATACACAAGTAGAAATTAAAAAAAAGCGTCGATATGGCTAAAAAAGTAGGCCAAAGTTTAATGATGTTATATTTATATTTTGAAAAAAACAGTTTAGTTAATAACTAACAATAATTGTTATGTTATTGTTACTAAAAAATCTCATAATAGAAAAAATATAAAGTGCATGATGCAGTAAAACATTCTTTAGATTGTTTACTATTTTAGCTATCATTTAAAAAAAAAAAATCCTTTTGTTTGATATACAACACGGTATATTTTTGTCTAAAATTAACGAAATATGGCTAAAAATGAAAATTTTGTATAAGTCTAGAAGCTACTACATGGATTTTGTTTTATGGTATATTTTGTTGTTTTTTAAGAAAAATGTAAGTTGTGATACCTATATCATTTTAAAAAGAATTACTAGAACCCAAAAATAAATATTTTTTAAATTACTTTTTAAAAAAGAATTTTTTTAGCACAACTACCTTAATTAAACGCAGTCAAGTTGGCCTACTTATATTTAATTTTTAGGAGTTTTAGGAGATTGATGGCAATTTTAGGAGAATTTTAGGAGTTTTTAAGATTTAAGCCAAATTTTAGGAATTTTATGAATTTTAGGAGGTGTGGGAGCCCTGTCACTTACATGTAGAATTACTATCGCCTTTTTTACTTGATTTTTTTAATTTTATCATCGCAATCACTGCAAAATCGCTAGATTTTATAAACAATAACCCCCAAACGTCAACTGGACATGACTGAAACAGCTGTTGCCGAGTAGTTTGAATGTGCCATCGAAACCAACGACCTAACAAGCTGTAGAATTTGTTCGATTTTGTTGGAATTATAAGTCAAGGACTCGACGTGTTGATAAAACAAGCCGGGTTATTGAGTTTGCGATTTAAAAACAACGCCTTTTAAAAGTATATATCGTAAATAAAGTAAAATGAAACGAAAGTTTTCGATGGTAGTTCAAACGCGCATCCAAGTGGGAGTGGCCAAGGAAATTTGCGTGTACACTGAGATAAATTAATTTTGATCCGAAAATTTGAAAAAAAGTGTCAAAGAATGTGGGGTCAAATTTTTTTTTTAGAATAATTTACAATAAAGAATATTCTGTCAATAATAAATATTAACACCAATATCTTTGTAAATCAAGTATTTTTTATCTTCTGACATTTTAAAAAAGTGTATACGGCCATTCCAAGCCCATGGACAGGACACATCAGAAACATGTCTAAATATATTCTTGTTACTTCCTTAAGTTTACTTATTTTTTCTACGAGTATTTATGAGAAGTATTAGCCAAATTTAGCTAATACTTCTCATAAATACTCGTAGAAAAAATAAGTAAACTTAAGGTAGTAACAAGAATATATTTAGACATGTTTCTGATGTGTCCTGTCCATGGGCTTGGAATGGCCGTATAATAATAATAAAGTGAAATAAAAAATATATTTATTTTTTGTGCGATTTTAACCGGATTTGTTTTAAAGTGTAGATATTGATAAACTATTTTTGGAGCAAAAAACGCCAATTTTTTCACAAAATACGTCAGTTTTTTAGATTAAATTTTTAAGAAGTCATATTGGCGATTTAAAAAATCTATGCACGGCACTGGATTCACCACCCCTTAAAACGAGCCTATACTAAATTTTATTGAAATTTTTTAAGTAGAAACAACATATTTACAAAAATTTATTTTGTCAAGTTATCCATGAAAAAAACATTGAAATAAAATAAAACTGTTTTTTTCATGGATAAACTTGACAATAAATTTTTGTAATAGTTATTATTGTGCAATTTTAATTTGGCTACAATATACAGGGTGTTATATTAGAATGGGCCAAAAAAATCATTTTTTTTTAAGTATATCGAAAATATGGTTTGGGGTGACAACAAAATTATTGTGAAAGTTTGAGTCCATAATATTAATATTAAGAGGTCTATCATCGCAATTTTAATTTTTTTTCCTCAGCAAGTTTTTGTCTCAGAACTCCCAAACCATTGAGTTTAACAAAATTGACTTGAATATATTTTTTTAAGAAAATTAAATTCTCTACAAAAAAGGTTTAAGTGAAATTTTACGTCAGATGAACCGTTTCCTTAAAATCAGGCCTTAAAAATTGGTATAGTTTTACATTTTGATCTTTTAAATTGGAATTTTGTAATTCATTTAAAAATCAGTACCCATAAAAAACCGATAAGTTTTCTTATGGGAAATCAAATGCCTTACAAAAAAAGCCTCTCAACATTTTTGGCTAAATTCACTTAATCAAAAGTTATTCAAGGTTAATATTTCGTTTTGACTTCAAATTTAACCTTGAAAAACTTTTGATGGAGTGAATTTAGCCAAAAATGATAAAAGACTTTTTTGTAGAGCATTCGATTTCCCATAAGAATATTTATGGGTTTTTTTCCGGGTACTGATTTTTACATGAATTACAAAATTCCAAAGTTAAAAGATCAAATTGTAAAACTATACCAATTTTTAAGGCATGATTGTAAGAAAACGGTTCATCTGACGGGAAATTCTAATTTAACCTTTTTGGTAGAGCATTCAATTTTCTTCAAAAAATATTCCCAAGTCAATTTTGTTAAACTCAATGGTTTGGGAGGTCTGCGACAAAAACTCGCTCAGGAAAAAAAAATATTAAAATTGCGATGATAGACCTCTTAATATTAATATATATAATAATTTATAATAACCTTTATCCTACCAAAAAGTACGCCACTGATCGACTAGGAACTTAAGGCTAATCTGGTGGCCCAATTTAATTTATTATGTTATGGTTGGTAACGACCAGCGTTTCCAGATTCTGTCAAAAAAGTTGCCAGATTTTGTTTAAACTTGATTGTGTCATTTTTGTAATGAAGGCAAATTCAAACAAAATCTGGCAACTTATGACAGAATCTAGTGCATTTCTTTCAAATTTTAGGTTATGGGCCCAAATTGTAAATATCTTAACTAAGTGCTTTTGGATTTATTTGTTTTTTATTTTTTTAGGAAAAAAATATATACGGGGTGTATATATTTTTTTTCCTGAAAAAATAAAAATCTAAATGCGTTTTGGCAATCTGCCGAAATGTAAAGGAAATGAAAAGGTATTATTATTATAATTATTATTATAAAAATGTGTGAACTTACTGGCAGGCCTGTGTGTATGCGCGTTTGCCGCTTGCTCCAGTTTGGAATGCTGCGTTGCCAGTGTTTCGACCATGTCTTGCAATCGTTGCCTTTGTTCGCGTTCGTGTTGCAGCAACCTCACCCATTTGTGTCCGTGCGTTTGGGCGGTTTTTAAATAATCCCCGCAAGCCTAGAAATAATATATTTTAATGGGGTAGTTAAATTTTTTCTGACCTATCCTTTTTATGGTTTTATTCAAGGCGTTTTGTAATTTTAAACATTTCTGTGAAATCGGAATTTCAATTGAGTTTACCGTTTTCGAGATATTTACAAAAAAAATCTCCTAATTACGTCACTAGGCTATTGACAACGTTGCCAGCTATTTCTATGGTTGCCAGTGTGTTTAGTTTAAGATTCTTACGATAGATGGCGCCACGTTATAATATTTTAGTTTTAAAACCACTTGATCTATAATTTTAGTTGGGAAGAAGAAGAAGAATTGATTTTTTGACGTTTCTTTTTTTCGGGTTATGTTTTTTTTAAACTTAGATTATTGAAAATCAATGTTATTGTTATGTTATTTGTAATTGATATTAGATAAGTGATTTATTAATAACGGACTCCAAAGCAGAGGAATCTTGTGGAATGGTTGTTTACATTGAACATTGGAGCTTTTAAACAAATAAAGTAAGTACCTATAATTATAATCATATTTTGTCGTAAATGCATTTCATTAGTATAATGCCTAGTTCTTTATATTCTTTTAGATATATCTTGGACTTTATTTTGCCACTTTTTTCTATGAAATATATTAAACTTTGCTTTAGACAGTTATTAGGTACCTATTTATTACATTTTATTAGGTTTCACACGGTGTTTCAATGTGTAAACCTATCAATAAAACTTTTAATTTCAGAATTTTCTTTAACCTCCTCTTCTTCTTTCACTCAACTGACAGTGTACATAACCTCTTTGGGTATTTTCTGACATAACCGAATGAAATCATTAACAAGACAACTTGACAAAAGGGTAATTTTCAAATAATAGAAATCTTAGAATGTTGGTCACATGGCGAGGTTTGTGACGTCATAAAAATTTATATTTTTTGTAAATATCTCGAAAACGGTAAACTCAATTGAAATTCCGATTTCACAGAAATGTTTAAAATTACAAAACGCCTTGAATAAAACCATAAAAAGTATAGGTCAGAAAAAATTTAACTACCCCATTATAAAAAAAAATATGAAAATTCAATAAGTTGTAGGTTAGGAAATTACTTTGAATTAATCTGGAATTCCCCCAATTTTCTTTAAGAAAGTATCTAAGTTACTTTAAAAAGTATTTTAGTTATTTAAATGTATCTTAGTTACTTTACTTTTTTATTTACAAGTTACAAGATACTTTTCCAAAGTAACCAAGTTGAAGATACTTTCTGTCCAATATAGAAAGTATCTAAAAGTAAACACTCACGTTTATCATGGCGTTGGTGGAGATGCGGAAGAGGGTAGCCCGCTCGCAGACCTCCTTGACCTTGCCCTGGATGGCGTCCGGGTCGGCGTTGGTCTCCATCTCGCCCAGCGGCTTCACCAGGCACTTCCAGTGCTTGCCGATGAGTTCGCTGCACGTCTGCAGGTCGTTGAGCTGCGCCTCGAGCTTGCGCACCACGCCCGACCAGTCCTCGACGCCGCCCGGACCGTCCTCGGCCTCGTCGTCGTCCTCCTCCGATTCCATGTTTCTTCTGGAAATCGCATACACACTACATTCATTGCGTGTATAAATAGTACAAATTATAAGTACTATTCTAACCATAAAATCGCAATGCAGTAAAAAAATACAGCATAACAATGGGCTTTTCCCAATTTTGTACCAGACCCACAATATCGATACCTTGGTAAATGATCATTTAGTAAATCAATTATTTTTGAGTATGACAAACATAATAAACAAATAAAAAACATGTAGTATGGTAAACCTAGAGATGTAAAAAACAGTTTCTTTGTTTTTTTCAAATCCGCTACAATAAAGCATATTCTGTCAATGAATAGGTATATCACAATCCACACAACACACACTAAAAATACAATAAATCAGTGCAACCCTGCACAGTTTAACGGCGGACATTTTTGTTGTTAAACTGCAGTGTTGCAGTGATTTTTAGTATTTTTAGCATGAAATAGAACAGACCTTCTTGTGTGGATTGTGGAATATATTACATTTTTCATTATTGAAAATTTTGACCGAGACTAAAAAATCTGATTTCTTATTATTTGGTAGTTTCCACATAAGAAACCAATAGCAATGTTAAAGTTCTACACTAATAGAAAAAATTAAAGGATTTAAAAAATTTCCAAATTTTTGCGATTTTTCGGATAGCTGTATCTTCGTTAAAAATGGTCGTATTGGAGCCGTAAAAAAAGCAATTTGAAGTTTCTAGTTTTGATATTTTTAGATGAAAAACGTGCAACGCTCAATCCTAACGAATACCGTTATTAAAAAAATTATTATTTTTGGTTCTGACTTAACCACCAATGAATAAATGTTCTAAAAGAATTTGCTATTGTTTGGTAGCTTTTTGAACCATTTGAAAAAAACAATGAAAAAAAAACTGAAAAAAAAATTAATTTCATTTTTAGATTTTATATAACACTGCACATAGAACTGTCACTGTCACTGTCAAAAGCGAATAAAATACCCGTTTTTGGTATTTTACCGTTGAGTGGCGCCACTAGCGATGCTTCTTTAACGTAACATTGACATTATTTTTTTTTTTGTTATTTCAACCTGAAATGTATTTATAACAAAAAAACTGCTACAAAGAATCCTGTGTAAATAAACAAATATGAAAACCATGGAAACACCTTAGATATAAAAAATGTATCATTATACTACTCACATGGCTTTAGCTTTGGCCAACTCCAAAGCGGTGACCCAGGACTGCCTCTCGAACTCTGATGCGGCCCTGATGTGAAAAGTTTGGGTACCTCCGTTGGAAATGACGAAGGTGCTGGCATCTACCGTGTAAATTAGGGCGCCGTGCAGAGAAATGCTGCCGCGACACGTGTGCGCCATTTCCGCTTGGTTTCTAAAACAATACAAAATACTTTAGGCGATGGAAAATATTTTCGTTCCTACAAAAATAGACGCAAATTAAATCGAAGAAAGGATAAGTTTAACGCGCGACGTTTGAAATAAAATTTAATAATAACTAAGTTGTATTTTTTTTTCAGAACATAAAAGGTACTAGTGACAAAACTTGTGTTTGTAACGCGCAAAATAACAATGCCTAATTAAAACATTTTCTATTAATTTTTGTTATTTTAGGTTCTTATTTATGAATATAGTTTTATGTCATTTTTGTAATGAAGGTAAATTCAAACAAAATCTGGCAACTACGACAGAATCTAGTGCATTTCTTTCAAATTTAAGGTTATGGGCCCAAATTATAAATATCTTAACTAACTGCTTTTGGATTTATTTACACAAATTGAATGTTTAAAGTTTAACCTGTAAACTTGTCCTAATTTCATCTGAGTAAACAGAAAGAAAAAAACCGATGAAAAAATTAATTTCGTGGTTATGGAGTTTTTAAAATAGGTACTAAATTTTCTAATCATTGCATAAGCTAATAGCTGGATGAGTAAATAAATACAGAAGGGTATTAGAGCTTTAATGGCAAAAGGAATTCAGTATTTTAATGTATTACATTTTTTTTAGTATATTTTATTATGTCAAGTAAATATTTTTATTACAATTAGGTAACCTTGTTGCTCACCGAGCAATGCTCAGGTCCATAGTTCAAATTTAATTGGCACAAATGTTAAATTGCAGTCTTTAATAAAATGCATAAGGGTCATTCCATAAACAAAATCGCACAATCTTTGAAAATATTAACTTAACAGAATTTTTTTTAAATGTCCGTCATTTTGTAGCTAATCTGCCCCAACCCATGGCATTGTACAATACATGTTTTTGCTTTCTCAAAGTCCACACAGAATTTACAAATGTTATTCGCGTATAATAACGTATGTATTTTTAATTTTATTGCCTCTATTAATCGATTTTCCAACTGTGCCAAGAAAATATTTAGAATTCGTGGCTGCATTTTAATACAGGAATAAATACCTGTCTGTGAGAACATTAAAAATATGTAAATATATACAGAGTGAGTCATTTAACTTAAGACTTTGAAATATCTTTAGTTATAAATAATAATTATTATTGAGGTATAAAGAAACTGAGATAATTTAAAGTTTCATAATAAATAACTCACACCCTGTATAAATGTGTGTTGATACGAATCAATTTGGTAAAAACTCAAAAAGCAAAACAAATCGAGAAGAAATACCGCAGTACACAAAAAAAAAACAACAAAAATTAAAACATAAAACAGCAGTGCAGGGCCATATTACTGGACATCCCTGTATCTTACGTGTCTTGAGATTTTTCTACTCACCCCTGTCTGAATTTTCTTCTTCTTCTAATCGACAACGTGCCCACGCTACCGGAATTTTCGGCCCTGCACATGAAGTGAAAAAAATCGATTTAATATTTTTGATGGTTCAATGCACAGGTCGCGATATGTACGGTGATTTTTTTTTTAATACTGTCGTGGTCAAAATAATTGGACTGAACATCGTAAATTATTTTGTGATTGGGAAAAAGTAAGGTTAAAACCACCTGATAGTTGTCAAATGTCAAATAAAGTTAGGTTAAAAAGTTATATAAAAATTCTATCTCAATATTTTACTAAACGCCGTTTTAGTCTACTATAGTCATACTATACATTCTCTACGAAAAATTCTAGATAGTATAAAAAATAATAAATTTCTCAAATCTATGCAAAAATATATTGCTGTACATGTTTGAACCGCCCTGTACATTAAACTATTCATTTTCAATTATTAAAAAATTACAAACAGGGTTTCACATGATATTGTAAATATTAAAAAAATTATTTGATTAATAGGTTGTTATTTTATTAATTAATAATAATAATTAAAGGCTAAGATGGGGAGGGATGCCCAGCAGAAAGGAATAAATGGCCTACAACATAAAACAACAAAAATACCCATACACCAGCACTACTGCCAACCTCAAACAAATAAATAACTACAACAATAAATAGCAAATATGATAGATGAGCATGCAGAATATTTGACAATTTATTAAAAAGTTTTAAGCCTAAATATTTCGAAATAATTAAAAACTGCCCCCAAATATCCTAATACAGTAAAATAATATTTAAACCATAATAAAATACTCTAACAAGCCAACTAATTTTAATTAACATGGAAAACCCATTAATAAGTTCCATAGTGTCATTGAGGATCAAACATCAATTTTATTAATTTTGACCTTCAAGATTGACAAATATAATTATTATAAAGTTTTAAGAAACTGCGTCAAAAATAGCAAGACACTAATATTTCTATAAAAATAAAATATTTCCCTTTATAGCCTAGTCTCTAGACTAGAAAATTTTCCAATAGGATTTTATTTAATTACGTTATTTTTTTAATAAATCGTGTCAAAAAATAAATTTAAGGTGGTAATTAGTAATCACTAATTACCAACAACGCAAATGTTAAAAAAACATGCAAAACTTTATAAAAACAAACAATTAACAGTCATAAAGTATTGCATATTTTTTTAATTTTTTATGATAATAAATTTGGAATATTTAATTTTATAGTTTTAGAGAAAACAGGACGTTAATTAAACTTAAAAGTTGAAATTTTATGTTTTTTTTCTTCCATTATTTAATACACTTGTGTATAGTTACTTAATGCACTCCAGCATCAAATTGGAAAAAAGTGAGGTTAAACCCGTCTGAAAGATGTCCGACAGTTGTCAAATAAAATGTCGAATAAAATTGACTTTAAATTCTTCGTCGTAGATAAAGCAATGTTTTATATAATAAAAACAAGAAATGTAACTTTTAAAATCATTTTTGGGGGGTATATTTTGAAAAAATATATATACCAACAGCAAACAACTGAACAATATGAGATAAATAATGAAATAATAGAAACACAGATTAAACAAATCTATTCATAAATGAATCATCTTGTAACTAGTAAACATGTTTTCGAGGGCACTTTTATGTTTCTAACAGTAACGAAAATTAAGAAATTATTTAAAGTATGTTTTCGTTCAAACACATTAGCCTCTTTTATCTAGGTATGCACATTAGTTTTGCTAATGATAACAATGATAATTATTACTTTATTAAACATATCTAACACCGTATGCCAGCATGTAAAAATTCTAATAATAAACTACACAAGCGGCGTTTAAATGATAAACAAAGTTCACGGAACATAAGACAAAGTTAACAAAATATTTGCGCTTACCTGTAATACGACAGATGACCGTTCTGTAAAACAAACCACCTTCTTTGATATCCTTTCAAATAATTAGTCCATTTGAATAGCCAGCCCTTCATAGCGGGCTCATTTTGAGTCGAGCTGGACTTTTGCGACGTGTTATCACCCATTTTTAACTGCACAAAACGCGTTTCCAATACGATTCACTCTCAAATTTAACTATGCGACCATATTGCTTTTCTACGAGTGACGTAATTGGACGAGTTGTCAAATTTGCCAAAACACAACCGGCAGCGCCACCATTCCGAACTAAAGCTCCTATAGACGTGGAAAAGTGTAGAATGAGTTCTAATGACAAAACAAAGATAGATAGCTACTTATTATTAATACTTACTATAAGTATTTAATCAAGGTAAAAAATACAACAAAAAAAATAGTAAAAAATGTATTTAAAAAAGTTACAAATCATCATAACCGCAACTAAAATCTAAAATCTCATCGTTTGTCAAAAATCGCACGTCGCTCTGAGAGTTGCCTAACTTCCTGCGGTCCCCGCAGTTATACCAACCGTATTTCTTACCAACTGCCAGTAATATAACCAAAACGAAACTACACAGAGCCACACTTGCTACAATAAGGACGGTATTCGAATGTGTTTGTGGTTTTTCGACTTGTAAAGTTTTTTTTTCTGTGAAATGGTTAAACGTCCCTTTTACTTTGGTTCCCATTTCTTCTACATAGTCGTATTTGTCGAATACGTCGTTACCTCTCTCTGGTACGTAACTGTAATCAGTCTCTTTTATTTTTTTCACTTGGGGTATAAAAGGTTTTATAACTTTTTTCGTTGTAACAGGTTTTTTAGTTTTTGTCGTTGTTTTGATAAATTTTTTTGCAGTACTGGGCGTAATTTTAGTAGTAGTTGTAGTAGGCTTTGACTTAACTGTCATTTTAGTGGTAGGTGGCGTTGTTTTCGCGGGAGCAGGTTGGGTGTGTTCGATTATTTTAGGGGTGGGCTCATCTACAATAAATATAGGCTTCTTTGGTACAGATTTTGGTAGTGGTGGTATAGTGGTTGTGGTTGTTTTTCTGTATGTTACTGAACTATTCTGTGGTGGCTTTTTGGTTGACTTTGGAATAATTTCAGTTGTAAAGTGGACTTCGTTTGACATGTCGGTTGTTGTGTACTCTTCTGTTGTTGTCTCTGAAATTAAAAAACACATACATTATCAGAGCACACACCAAATAAACAATAAACAAATTACTTACCCATAAGACAATGATCAATGTAATCAGGACAACACCTGTTGTTATCCAGGCAATTCTCATCGCAATCGCAAGAAATGATGTCGTATTCGTTATTGCTAGAAACCATTCCGCAATGATTCTCGCAACTTTCCACCCTTACTGTTTCAGTGCCGTAAGAAATTTCGCTAAAAATTACTATTAATGATTCACCTCAAATTTAATAAACAAGTCTCTTACGTCGTAGAGGTACTAACAATTTCCTCTCGTTGGCAGTTTTCTATTATTTTCACGTCATCGATGGCTATATCGCTTATGTAGGATCTACCTCTGATACCTTCAATGATAATCTTAAAAGAATAAACACAAATATGTTAAATTTAAAATAAGAAAATAGCCCCAATAAAAGATAACAAGATGAAAGGATGAAAAGATAAAATGATAAAGAGAAGAACGGATAAAAGAATGAAAGGATGAAAGAATGGAATAATGAATGAAAGAATAAAAGGATAGAATGAAATGATGAAATAATGAAAGGATAAAAAGATAAAACTTTCATCTTTTCACCCTTTCATCATGATCAAGAATAAAAAAATTGAAGAATAAAAGGATAGGAGGAAATGATGAAAGAATGAAAAGATGAAAGAATATAATAATGAAAGGATGAAAGAATGAAAGAATAAAAGGAAAGGTTAAAAATGTGAAAAAATAGAAGAAATTGATGCAAGAAAGAAAGGATGAAAAGATACAAGGAAGAAACTTTCATCCTTTTATCATCATGAAAGAATGAAAGAAAAGGTTGAAAAGATGAAAGAATGAAAATATAAAAAGATAAAAGGATGAAAGGATGAAAGTTTAATCTTTAAAGAATAAAAAAATGAAAGAATAAAAGAATGAACGAATGAAAGAAAGAAATAATGAAATAATGTAAAAACTAATTAATGAAATAATAAAATAATAAAATAATGAAATATTAAAATAATGAAATGATGAAATAATGAAATAATGAAATAATGAAATAATGAAATAATGAAATAATGAAATAATGAAATAATGAAATAATGAAATAATGAAATAATGAAATAATGAAATAATGAAATAATGAAATAATGAAATAATGAAATAATGAAATAATGAAATAATGAAATAATGAAATAATGAAATAATGAAATAATGAAATAATGAAATAATGAAATAATGAAATAATGAAATAATGAAATAATGAAATAATGAAATAATGAAATAATGAAATATAGAAATAATGAAATAATGAAATAATGAAATAATGAAATAATGAAATAATGAAATAATGAAATAATGAAATAATGAAATAATGAAATAATGAAATAATGAAATAATGAAATAATGAAATAATGAAATAATGAAATAATGAAATAATTAAATAATTAAATAATTAAATAATTAAATAATTAAATAATGAAATAATGAAATAATAAAATAATGAAATAATGAAATAATGAAATATTGAAATATTAAAATAATGAAATACTATACTATTTCAGAAATAGTGAAATAATGAAATAATAAAATAATAATGATATAATAAAATTATGAAAGGAAAAGGTTGAAAAGATAAAAGGATGGAAGGAAATGATGCAAAGATAAAAGGATGAAAAAATGAAAGAACGAAGTTAATATTTAGAAACACCACTTACCTGATAGTCTTGTTCAATTGGCCCCAAAAAGTGAAGGGATCTGAACCAGTGGCTGCCCTGGTTGCCTTTCAGGTCAAAAATCATCTTGCTTTCCAACAGGTTCCAGCTCTCGTTCATTTTCTTCAAGTAGACCCTCAGGGTTCCCGTCGTGGCGCCGTACATGTGGTAGTAGAACTCAAAACAAGTATCGGTCGCGGTTTTTTGATAGAACGGCGAAATGAGACGGGCCGTGTCGTTTTCTCTTCTCGAGGAGGATTCGATGTACATGTAATAGCCTACGGAGTAAATACGTATTATATAATATTGAATTCAAAAGAAGTTGCACGGAGAGAAAAGTATAATGCTGATTACCATAATTATAATACCCTTTACTATAATTTATATTACTATTTGGGACAACTATCTTGTATATTGCCAGATACTATGCATATTTAGTAATTTTTAAATATCCATGTATGTTTAACCTTAAGGTAAAATATTATTATTCTCAACCAATTTTGTTTTTAATTCTTATTATAATTAGATTTTTTCCAATACTAAAAAGTATAGTAAATTTTAAAATATTATGTTTCCATTTTAAATATAAAATATTTTAAAATCGAATATTTTTATAAGTTTACAATTAAAAATTGTAACATATTTATTGTACTTTTTAATGTACAAAAATGTTATGAGAAAGAATTGAACCTACACCTCGCCAAAGTTTTTTGTTTTGAGTGCGTTCCATCAACTTCAAATACCGACAGACAGGTGTTTTGACCTATATTGGGTATCATCAGTGTCGACACGACCCTGTCGAGCAACTTGTAGTAGTGGAACACACCCAAAACAAAGAAATACCTGAGCTTATATAACATGGTTGGTAAGCCAACAGAGGCGAGATGTAAGAACATCACGTGATCCACACCATCTAACGACGCGTCGCGACGTGGCCTTTGCCGCAATCGGTACATACTGTGCAACCAAGTAGGTTTAATTCTTGCTTATAAGTATTACAAGTAATGGGTCAAGAAAGTTTATTGAAAAAACTAAGAAAATTGAATGTTTAAAATGTCATGAGTTACTATATTGTATATTATATTTAAATATATTGTTTATTTACCTTAAACACAAAAGTATCTTTATTTTTACTATATTTTTTATTAATGTGTACACATCTAATATTATGATATATTACATGTAATATATCATAATATTAGATGTACACCTTACATTTGATTAAATCATATAGTAAATATAACTATTTGTAGATAGTAAAATCAATTTACTATACAAACATATTAAAAATTAAAATATATATTATACATTTATGATTTAGTAATATTGGTGTTTTAATCTTTACTAATATTGTATAATAAAAAATAGTATTTTGTATTACAATCTTAATATTTTATTGACGAATATATAATATTGTTACCTTAAAAATTCGTTAAAGTAAATTTTACTATATTTTTTTATAATCTTAAATTTACTATACATTTCTCTCCGTGTGGAAAGTTTTAGACTTTACCCCCTTCTCCTGCCCCTTTGGTGTGGTCATATTCGGGCCCAGTTCCTATGGTTCCACTTGGGGTGTTATAGTTCATCCTCCTCCAATCGAAGTCGTGGTTTAGGTCATGCTGCCATCCGCAGATGTCTTCAGACTCAAAATTGCACGATAGAGGCGGAGTCGTGTGTGATACTAAAATATACATATTCCCTAAGGTTTCACCCAAAGTATATGGGTGAATCTCACGAAATGTCCCCCGATGGTGTTAAAAGTCTAAAACCTATCCTCCGTGACTGTTACTTTTTCTAGGTTAACCTATATGTTTTCAAATATCTGAGGTAGTAAAAGCATAATAAAAATATCAGTTCATCAAGTAAATTAAACACATCCAAAGCAATCGAATCAAATACAAAATATTATTAAAAATTAAAAGAAATAATTTTTATAACCATTTATGTAGGTGTTACAAAAATTGATTCTATCCTCCGTGAATCTGTGTTTGCTTTCAATTTTATGCAACGGATGGCGCTTTAATCATTTTAAATAAGCAAAAACCTCTGTTTACGACATTACAGATGCATGTGATTCCTGAAGGTCACTTAGAATTTACATGCACATGAGAGTGTTGCTGTTTTATAATTCAAAAGTTTAAGTTCATTAATTTGCTATTTAAAAACCTATCTACCGTGAAGTGTAATATCTCTTTTTTTTATAAATATTTTATGTATGTTCAATTGTATTTTTAAAAAATATTAATGTGTCAAAAGATACAATAACTTATTTCAAATATACAATGGGATGTTTAAAAAAACATACGAAATCCTAACCTCCGTGAAGCTCCAATATTCAAAATGTATGATTTCTTAAAATTCTTCCATAAGTGCAGAACCACTTATGTTATGTTATTACTAGACCTGGTGGCTTCCCAAAAACCCCATTCTAGACCAACAGTGAAACAACCAAAAATAAAAAATAATCATTTTCACTTGGGGGACATCTCAATATATTCACCCATATATATATATATATGCTTGAGATAACTTACCGAAGCATCTTGGAATTCCATTTTGCCAGTGGGTCCCATTGCAATACACTTGATTATTTCCATTCAAAGTATACCCCTGTTTGCAGTAAAAATTTAAAACTGCCCCACCCATGGTCGGAAATATCAGCAAATTATTCAGTTCGGTTTTGTTTAACGCTCTACATGTGTTTTCTGTAAAACATTAGTTTTATAATGGTCATATAAGGTTACTGTAAACTCTATGTACATAATTAGGTTATACAATTGTTTCTACAAACATTTTATATAACCTTTAGTAACCGTTACCAGTAGGTTTATAAAGGAGTTTTATAAAGTTTGCGGTTACCTGTTTTATAAAACTATTGTGCCTTTAATTTTTTTAAATAAAAAGTGTGAATTATTAATTATTTATGTGCTTAATAAACTACCTTAGGTTATATAAAATTACCATGAGCAATATAAGAGCTCAAGGTTGATACATTCTTGAATTGTATTACAAAAACAACTTAATTGACCAAACTAAGGTAAAAATGTCACTACTTTAATGAAAACTAAAATAGGTACCGATAACCTTCATAAACTCCCCAAATAAGCTCTTTAAAGGGTATATAAGAGTGATATAAATATTTATGTAACCGCTATAAGAACAAAACAGTTTATTGGGATGTAAACCTAACTTACTAACGCAAACAGGAACGCTGTCCAAATCCCAATGTCCCCTCGTGCAAGTCGCATATTTATCCCCCATTAATTGAAACCCTGGGTTGCAAAGAAACCTGACAAACCTTTGTCGTTGCCTGTACTTTGCTCTTCCATTTATTAACCGGTATCTGTTGCATCCTGGTTCTGATCCACTCCTTAAACCTTAAAAAAATAATTCAGGTATTGTATGCTCTAAAATATGCCTTAGAGCATACAATATGTGGACCCCTTGAGGTAATTTTAATGTCGCTGATTAAATTATGCATGATTCTTACCATATCCATAGTTCGTTTTATAACCAGGCACTAAACCGTTACCATTATTATTTAGTCCTAGTACTACTACTAGTATAATATTTATACTGGCACCAAATATTAGCACTTCAAACACGTTCATTATTTTAATAAATAAATTTACAATTAATTTTTTCGCTAATTATCAGCCACTCTTCTCCAAGACTGGCGTGTTTTAATATCTTCAAAAACGGAAGTCCAGAAATTATTGTAGTAGGCGTTAGGTTTTATCTTTTGAATAATTAGATATTATTGGATGCTGGTCACTCATGGACAAAGATAAAAAAGCATTGTGGTTGTAACCATGGTTATTTGTGCATTTGTTTAATAAATTATGTGAAAAAATCCAAAAATAACTAAATAATACTAAAGGTAGGATTTTTATTTTATTTTTAAAATGAAAAAAATTGTTTTTAATGTAATTATTAATTATTAAAACTTTGTTAACATAATTTTATTAAAAAATTCTACATGTGGGTTAATGTGACAGTATCTATGGTTACCATTTAACCTGTCATTGTTTAATAGCATATTATGTATCAAGTTTGATAAACGCCATTTTATATAGAAAAGTTTATAAACGAGGTGCATACATTTTTTACGACAAATACTTATTATTATCTTAAAATGATTTAAATCAAAAATTTGTATAGAGCGCCATCTATGAAACAATAGGGGAATCTGTGTGTCACCGTCAAATGTCACATTTTTAAATTTTATAAACACAGATTATAAAGGTTATAAATCGAAATGTATTTCTTGAAAATTGACAGTTTTTCACAGTGAAAGTAAAGAAAATATTTTATGAGCACTTTTCAGTGGAATTTAAGTTATAGTTTACTGCCGGCGAAATTAAAAGGTCAGTACAATGTTCATATAAACTTTTCAAAATTGACGTTGATAAACTATTTAATACTTTTGTATTTTTGTATTGAGATAATAAAATAATTTCTACATTTAGTATTATTTTACAAGAAAGGCAATTTATTTTAACGATTGTATGACATTTGACAACTGTCAACTAACTTAAAACTAACTTCAGCCCGTGACTAAAAACCTGTTGCTAACTTCAGCCCGTGACTAAAGCGCCATAAAGCCACAACTTTTAAATGTGCATTTATGAGTAGAAAAAACTAATTAAAATATTTGTCCTGTTTAAAATAACAAAGTTAAAGACATTTCCGGTAAAACAGGAAGCATTATTTTGTTAAAAATAAATTAGAAAAAAAATCTAAATCGAATAATTTTCGCTATTAAAATTTTAAATCGATGTCTTTCGCGATTCCCTAGAAACTATAGTAAACGTACGTAAAACACCCTGTATATTAAACGTCATTTATGTGTTATGCTATACTTAATTATTAATAAAAGATACAACAATATTTGTATAAAAACGACAAAATGTACTAAACTAAACATTTATGAATACTGCTACTGCTAATTCAAAACTGATCCTGGCCACAGAAACATCATTTGCATAAAAAAGTTAATATATCAAATAATAGTCAAATATCAATACTTTAACGTGTTATACTCAAATTTATAAAACAAAGTTTCTTCTTTGATTATTTATCCTTTAAAAATTGTAAAATTTTAAATTAAATTATCACCAGCGCCCCCTGTACAACATTTTTCCATGGATAATTGTCATTAGTAAGATCTACATGTTGTCCAAATTTCAAATCGATACGTTTTGAAATAAAAAAGTTATTAAAAAAATGAAATTTCTTCATTTTTAATTAACATACAAAATTAATTTACTTGCAAAGCCTTCTTCACGAAAACCACTTCAATTCCGCTACCGACCGACAGGTGGCGCCACCAATGGCGCCACAGGTATATTTTTATTACCATACCACACGTCTAAAAATAACTCCGCTCTTCAGATGTTTACCTAAGCCCGAACCTTAAATGTCTCTATAAATTTTAGTTCCCGATTTTCTTTAATTTTCCGGTATCGCGTTGGTTTTTTTTTTAAATTAATTAATTTGTGATAAATCAGCAACATGCCCGTGTTCCACACCAAAACAATCGAGTCTATTTTGGACCCAGTTGCCCAACAAGTGAGTAAATAGTTTTGATTTGCTATAATTTGGTTTAAAAATCGTTTTTATGCATTTTTGATTGTTTCATCAAGGAAGCTGAGAAACAGTTGCGCGACACTCGTCATTATTTTTAGTATTATTATTTTTGTCTGAGTAGGCGTGGTGCGCTATTGTTGACATTCAATAAATTCGGAGATTCTTCATATTAGTAAAACATCTCGATAAATATTATTAACACATGCTTTTAATAAATCCACTATAATTAACGTTACAAATGTCAGCTGTTTAACTAATAGGTATTTAGTTAATCAGGCCAAATAAGGTTATGTTCTATATTATGAATCAAAGCCCACTGATATGTTAATTAATGTGAAAGAAATTTTTCGTTTTACACCTACTTTTGTTGTCATTGAAAAATAATAACAGTTTTTTTTCCTTTTGCAGTCATTGCGGTGTTATTTTATAGGAAAATCCAATATTTATTCATGTTATTTATGCTAATTAAGTGGTGAACCCAAAATTTGCAAGAAATTAGATATACTGATTATTTTATAAAAATTAATTGATAAAGATTTCCGGATTACTCATAACATTTTTGAAATACCAAGATTAATATTGTAAATTTGATACCTATAGTTTGTCATTTTTTTAAGTAACAATATTTTTCTAAATGTTTTTTCTTTTGGTGTTGTTTATTTTCCATTATTATTTATTATTCCTGTGCCAGTTCCACAAATAAATTATTATTTTCCGAAAACAGTGATAAAATGGCATTTTATTATTTTTTCAACCTTTATGTCCTTAAATAAAATGTTTGCTTAGATAGGCATATGTCTCATGGTATTTTTATCTTTTTATAGGTAAATAAAACAAATTAAAAGAAATTGACAAATTGCAATGCATTTTATTTAGAATTTTACTGTACCTATAAAAACAAAATTGGCAAAAATTATTGTGGCCTTTAGAGTTCATAAACAAAATTTGATAAGGATCTGCCAACCTTAAAAAATATTGTTTTTTTAAGATTTTGTTGCATAAAAATACCATACTAATTAAAACATTAAAATATTATATTTTATTAATATTTACATTATTTGATCCCACACAAAGTTTTATTTCTATCGATTTGTAAATATAAAAAATCCTAATGAGAACAAATGACTGTGTTGACCTATATTTCTGTAAAAATGGGACTTTTTTATTGGATTGCTGAGGTCGCTGTTTTGTCGACAAAAGGTCACTTATGCAGTAAATTCCTCTTGAAATATCCACTTTTAATTATTAAATACATAGAGATAACTGGAGACAATATAAGTCGCGAGTAATTTATTTTACTGTTTTGATTGGATTAGTTTTATTATTTTGAGCGATTGAAATTAAATTATGACGTTATACAGGGTGGTCAAAAGGGAACCTTTAACTATTTGACAATCAAAAGTTTAAATAGTAACTTTACTACCCGCTATATTTCTTCTAAAGAACATGCTTAAAAGACAAAGCATGATCCTAAGAATATTCTTACTGGCCTATAGGCAGGTTCTTAGAAGGTGCAAAGTTTTAGTGATAAAAATTAGTCTACTCTAAACATGCTTAGAATGTTAAGAAAGTAATTGCTATAGAAAGTTCATTTAGGAATATTCCTGTTAAGCATATTTAGTTCAGTTACCTACCTACATATATAATAGTAAAATATACCATAAACTACGTCCCAGACTGCAATGAAGGTTCGAAAATATTCCAGGAATATTCCCTATCGCCTAGGAATAATTCGCTTCATTCTAGGAATATTCATTGGGAATATTCCTAGAATGATCCTCTAAAACTTCCAAGCATCATCTAAGAACATTCCCAGAGAATATTCCTCGGGAATATTCCTAGAATGATCCTCTAAAACTTCCAGGCACAATCTAAGAACATTCCCAGTGAATGTTTTTTATATTTAAAAAACAATAAATTGGTTATATTTTATATTTGAATTATCGTTAAGGCTTAAACTGTACAATTTCTACCCCAATTATATATAGATAGGACAATATGCATCTTTAAGATTTAAAAAAAATGCAGATAGAACACTATAATTCTCAGGTGACGTTATGTCTACTGACAAGATTATAGTGTTTAGTTATAGGTATAAACCACAGAGATTTGTTCAGAGCTGGATGCGGTATAAAGAGTCTACATTGTAGACTCTACAATAAAGGAAAAAATTAAAACTGGCGCGTTGAGTTCATCGGTAACTATCGGTTCTGTCCGAGATGAATCGAAGACGACCGATGCTCTTATTGGCCGGCGCCATTAATTCGCAGTCTCAGAATTTTCACTGTGTATGAAGCAGAGATAAACGTAAGAACGACGATTTTACGATTGAAAAAGGTAATTAATTGGTTTTAAACATTTTTTACGTATTGACTAGTACAAATATGTTGTGTTAAAGACTGCAACACAACATATTGGTACTTGCAGTAGTATTTATTGTTCTCCATGTACCTAAGGACAGCGCCATTAATTCGTTGTTTGGATTTTGTTTTAACCACGTTTTAGCATCGGTTAGTTCAAATGAATGAAAATGGTTCTTTTCACTCCCTATGACATTTCTTTGGGCAAAAAATGTAATATTTTTTGTGTTACTGATACAGCAAGGTTTATTTTTAAGTTTAAAACTGTGTTTTATATAATACCAACACCTTTTCTATATTTGGGCATTAATTAACCTTAATTGCTATTGCTCTTTTTTGTGTTTGTTTCGTTATATACCTACCGTACCTTCATTTGTAAGCTATTCATAGGGAAAATACATTGTAGGTGGAAGTCGAAGTCAGCGCGAACTTTTTCGCTTCGCGCTGACTTCTATAGTATACTTGTCTGGTCCACATAAAATGTAGGTATTTTATTTCCACCTTCTTAGCATAGAAAAAGAATATAAGAAGGGCGACAACTAGATGGCAATTTGGTTAACAAAGGCACAACGCAGGCTCGATGCCGCTATGTAAATTATTTATTTATTAATATGTCTTTTATAAAAAATATTTTTGAAAGAATATTGTTTTTTTAAATAAAATGGTTTTGTCACAATTTTGCAGCTCTGTTATTATTAATAGTATACTCCACAAATCAAAGTCCCACCATGTGACTGATAATTGTATAAGGAATTTTTACAGGAACTATGCTCCACCACGTGACTGATAAAAATAATTAAGGTTAATTTTCTGTCAGTGTCAAGCTTATTTTATCCTATTTCCTAAATGCAATGCAATATATGAACTTTTTGTGTATAAAGGTCTTAATTTAGAACACAAAAAATACATATATTGTATTATTTTTAGAAAATAAGACGAAATTAGCTTGATAGGTTCTGACAAAAAATTAACCTTAATTATTTTTATCAAAGTCACGTGCAGTGCTGCCAGAGCAGATGGTCGGATAATCCGTATATATTCGTGGAAAGGGTGGGGGGAAGCCTCGAAAAATCCGTAAAAATCCGTTTTTGTCTAAATTTCGAAAAATTTCTATAAGGGGGATTTTCGTGACAAAACATACCTTTCGTCAAAGAAAATCCGAAACATCTCAGAATTTTTCGGGGGAGTTTCAGAAGTTTGAACCTCTTCGTCAGTGATATAATTCTCGTCACTTTCCATTTTTCACAAAATAAAGTATTTTATATACAGATTCGGATATATAATAAACATTGACTTTGAGATCAAAATATTGCCACAATGCAGTTCAATGCACTGAACTGGAGTCAGTATTGGTTAGTCGTTACTATTGGTGGCATTGCGCCGCTTATATATTGGCAGCAATAACAACGTGTTATAAAACCTTAACAAATGATATGAAACTATCGTTCTCTTTGTCACACTCAATGAAAAAGCATATGTTTCGCATATACTCGGCGTTTAAGAACCCTATATTAAGAACACATCCTTTTTCAATCCGCTTTCTTTTTCTGTCTAACGTAGTAAAAATTAAGAGGAATAGAAGCGTGACAAAGATGATCAAAAAACGGGGCAAAAATGATGTTTTTTTAGTATTAGTATGAAGCTATCTTAAAAATCCGTAAAAATCCGTATTTGATGAAAATCCGTTCAAAATCCGTTTCCAATTTCTCTAGACCTGGAAAATCCGTAAAAAACGGATAAATCCGTTCATCTGGCAGCACTGGTCACGTGGTGGAGCATAATTCCTGTAAAAATTCCTTAAACCGGCGTAAGGAATATTCCCAAAACGTTCCTGGGATAAGGGCTGGGAATAATCCCCAAATTATATCAAGGAATATTCCCAGAATAATCCTCGAGTCTTCTGCAGGCAGATACATGGAATATTCTTTTTATGATGCCTGGGTTATTCAAAAAGCGGACATTTGATTATGCCAGGAATATTCCTGGGAATATTCTGGGACGATTGGAATATTCCTGGGAATATTCCTGACATGTGCAGGGAATGTGATTTTACGGTCTGGGGTAGGTATATACCTATACTTAAGTACCTAATTAGTAATTAGTATTAAATATTAAGTAAAAAACACAATCCAAAATATTTTTTTTTATAGTTATTTGTCAAATTAAAACAATATTCGATAACAAAAATACTTTTACTATAGGTATTTTATTTTATGTTAAAAATAAATATTTATTAATTTGTATAACGATTTGATACAATACAAATACATTTAACTGTCATATTATGACAGTGAGGCGTATTTGTCGTCTCCTGGAGAATTTTACGAATGTAGAATACAACATATTAGAACGTGGGTATCTGACATATTTGGAAATATTCTTAAAAGCTTCCTAGAAGCTCCATAAGAAACCTTCTAAGAACATTCCAAAAACGTATTCTTAAAATGTTCTTAGGATGCTTTTTAGGAAGGTTTTAAGAAGCTTTTAAGAATCTAATTGCATCATTAAAAGGGTATCTATTGAATGTTTTAAAAGTCTCTAAGAACATTCTTAGCAATAAGGGAAGGTTCTAAGATTATTCCATTATTCCGGGTCATATCTTCTTAGAAGATTCTTAAAATCGAATTTTGCTATCAGGGTAGTAGCGCCACCACTCGGCTGTTATCATCGTAACAAAAGTACAACTTTTAATAATCAGCTGTCAAACGCTTATGTAACAAAACGAGTTAGTTATCATTAGTTAATTCTGCACCAACAAATGTACTTACCGAATTGGATTCTTTGGCAAAACATGAAAATGCAACGATTTAGTTCTTGAATTTTATTTACAATTAAGATAAAATACACGCACTAACGTATTTATAAAAGCATTTATAAGCGTTGAGTTTCTTAATCAATGATATAAGGAATAATCAATCGAAATCGAGTACTAAACCAGTTTTTTAGTTTTTTCCTTGCAACGTAAAACTTTTTTAGGTTTCAAAACTAGTAATCCTTCACGAAGAAGCAGAAGATGGCATCCCCATGCCAGATTTGGAGTTTCCTGTCAAATCAGTCAGCAATGCAGTTAGAAACCTCGTTAAGGTAAAGTAAAAAAAAAATTCTTGTGAAATATAAAATATTTTTTTTTATTACCACCCTTAGGTTGGCAGAGAGACCATCAACAGCAGTAACGACCCAATCTTACGACAAGACATGCCATCGGCTTTACATCGCGTTGAAAACTCCTCAAAATTACTTGAAGAAGCGAGTCAAATGCTTAAATCCGATCCTTACTCTTCCCCGGCAAGAAACAGGTTAATAGAAGGCAGCGGTGGAATTTTACAGGTAAAATGTTGCTACCTGCTTTTCGACCCTTAAAATCGCTATTTCTCAGATTTTACATTTGGCGAAAAAAAACACCCAAACAATGTTGATTTGGCGTCGATTTTGAAAATAGAATGACTCATTACAACGAAAAAATCGTCAAATCCCGAAATAAATAACCACCTGTACCTGACAGCTAAAATTAGCACCAATTACATAAAAAAAAAATAATTGCCTTTAACTTGGCAACAGAACAATTTTATTTATAGAACCGTAGCTATTGTTTATAAAATCATAGAAACAGAGGAAATTGCTATAAAATTTAAAAGCGCTTATTTATAGATTTTGAGTCAGAAAAATGCATTTTAATTTTAATTAAAGTAGTAATTATTACCAAAAACAAATCGAACAAAATTGATTTTTTTCATTACAGCGCCATCTATTAATTTAAAAATTTCTTTTAGATGTTATTAATACCTTTTAAAACCTCTAAACCAAAAAACCTTCGCTACTTATCAAAAGTTTGAGTTACTCCTGGCCTCTTTTTGCCTCTCTGTTGGAGAAGGGGCCCTTCCACACCGCCTGTGTTGACCTTAAAGGCTGGTCAATGCAGAGTTCAAAAAATGGTTATCCCTCACTTCACTTCACTGTTAGGGCTAGTTCAGCATGAAACTAATATTTTTAGAATTTGTGGATTTTAAGTTCATTTAATATAATAAATATCACCAATGATTTTTAAAATAATTGTTCAACAAAACCTTAGTTTACGATCTGCGGCTTTTAGGTTATAAAACTAAGAAACTGTCCAAAAACATTTATCGCCGTTCAGAAAGATTCAAGGTCAAGCCTTTAAACATATGATAAACGGAATACCTTTACAAAAAAAATTGTTTGGATTTAGTTCAACTGACTTTTTTCTTTTAGCTAACTTGGTCAAATATGCCAGAATGATGAATAATGTGCATAAAAATAAATAAAAAAATAATCAAATTTTTAACATGACCGTCGCATATTTTTTTTCATGTGATTTCACACATTTTTATTTGCTCAAAAACGTCCTACGGTCATGTGAAGAAAACGTCGGGACAGCGTTTAGGTATTATTTTTATTGTAAACATTAATAATTAATATATAAGAAAATTTTATAACACAAAAACCGAACATTAGTTCAATATCATTTTCTTTGGCTCCTTAAAAGTTAAATTAAATTTTTAGATCGCAAATATTGGATTTTGCTCGAGGGATATACGACGGTCATGTAAAACGAAAATTAAAAAATAAATTCATAGGATGTTGAGCTTTTGGTATTAAAAATCGATAAAAATATGCTTTTCTAGTAAAATGTAAAATAAATGATGGCTAATATAAAGATTTTTAATTAATAGAAATCGAGTACTAAACCAAAGTTTTTCAGTTTTTACTTGAAACGCGAAACACAAACAATATGCGCGATTTAGTTGAAACTTTGCGAACAAAATTTGTCGAGTAAGACATCTAACTTCCTCTCTTTTGTGAAAAATAATGTTTTCTAGACCCTCTATGTTTCTTGCTAATTTCTAACTCTCGATGTCTCTCAGGCCACCTCAGCCCTGCTCCTATGTTTCGACGAATCGGAAGTTCGAAAAATCATCCAGGAGTGCCACAGGGTTCTCGACTACCTCGCCGTGGCGGAAGTGATCGAGACGCTCGACGAACTCGTGCAGTTCTTGAAAGACCTCAGCCCCTGTCTCAGCAAGGTATCGCGAGAAGTGAGCGCTAGAGAGAAAGAGTTGACGCATCAAGTCCACTCGGAAATCCTCGTAAGGTGCCTCGATCAAGTGAAAACTTTGGCGCCCATCTTGATCTGCTCGATGAAGATCTATATCCACATCAGGTCGCAGAACGGGAAGGGTTTGGACGAGGCGGCCGAGAACAGAAACTACTTGACTCAGAGAATGACGGATGAGATCAACGAGATAATTCGAGTTTTGCAACTCACTAGCTACGACGAGGAACAATCTGACTTGGACAACTTGACCGTTTTGAAGAAGCTTCAGAACGCCATACAAAACAGAATCAACACTGCCATGGACTGGCTGATGGACCCCACTGCCGTTAGAGGCGGCGTGGGGGAGAAATCCCTCTGGCAAATCATAGATACCGCTAAAAAGGTGGCCGACAGATGCCTTCCTCAAGACGCCAACACCATAAGAAAACTTTGCTCTGATCTTTCCACCATGGTTGAAGCTTTGGGAGAGCTTAGGCAAGAGGGTAAAGGCGCCACCCCACAGGCGGAATCTTTGGCGAGGAGCATCAGAGATAAACTCGGGCATCTGCAGCAAGCAGTCATGAATGCTGTTGTTAATGTGGATAAAGCAGGACTGCAACAAACGGCTCACACCGTTCAAGGAAGATTGGAACAAGCTAGGAAGTGGTTGTCCAATCCTGGACAGGATGATAAGGGTTTGGGGCAGAGGGCTATAAGCGCCATAGTGGCCGAAGGACGTAGGGTAAGTACCTACATTACTTTCTTAGAATCCTTTTATTGCCTTTAATGTATGATGGAAAAAATGGTGGTCATACGCCTTTAAAAGCAGTATCTCCTGCATTAGGGATTAATCAAACCTATTTATTTTATTAAAACCAAAAAAGTATGACATAAAACCAACAGGCAGTTGCCACTGCTTGTATTGCCATCGAGACAAATTGTTCTTGAGAAGCTAGCACACAGGAGTATAATAAAGCAGATTAAAGTATTAGCTGTTAAAAGATAATAAAAGAATAGAAGAATGGAATAATGAAATATGATAAAAGCATGATACAAAAATGATGAAAGAATGATAAAAAAATAAAAGTATAAAAGAATTATAAAAGATTGATGAAAGAACGATGGAAGAATGATGAAAGAATAGAAGAATGAAAGAATGGGACAATGAAAGAATAAAAGATTGATGAAAGCATAATGAAAGAATTATGAAAGAACTATGGACAAATGATGAAAGAATAATTAAAAAATTATGAAAGAATGATGAAAAAATGTAATAATGAAATAATGATGAATGAATGATAAAAGAAGGAAAGAATGAAATAATAAAAGAATGATGAAAAAATAAAAAAATTAAATAATAAGAGAATGAAATAATGTAATAATAAAAGAATGATGAAAGAATAAAATATTGGAAAAATGAAAGGATGGGCGAATGAAAGAATGAAAAAGGATAAAAAGAAATGTAAAAATGGAAGGATGAAAGAATGATAAAAGCATCATAAAAAAATAAAATAATGTAATAATAAAAGAATGGAAGAATGAAATAATGATAAAAGATTGATGGAAGAATAGAATAATGAAATAATGATAAAAGAATGATGGAAGAATAGAATAATGAAAGAATAAAAGATTGATGAAAGCATAATGAAATAACTATGGACAAAGGATGAAAGAATGAATAAAGAATAATGAACAAATTATGAAAGAATAAAATAATGATAAAAGAGTTACATATGAAAGAATGATAAAAAATAAAAGTATAAAATAATGATCAAATAATGTAATAATGAAATAACGATCAATGAATTATAAAAGAATGATGAAAAAATAAAAAAAATAAATAATAAGAGAATGAAATAATGTAATAATAAAAGAATGATGAAAGATTAATGAAAGAATGATGGAAGAATAAAATAATGGAAAAATGAAACGATAAACGAATGAAAGAATTAATGAATGAAAAAGGATGAAAAGAAATGTATAAATGGAAGAATGATAAAAAGATTATGAAAGAATGATAAAAGATTGAAAGAATGATAAAAAGATGATGGAAGAATAGAATAATGAAAGAATGATAAACGATTGATGAAAGAATAATAAAAAGATGATGAAATGATTATGAAAGAATGATGGAAGAATAGAATAATGAAAGAATAAAAGATTGATGAAAGCATAATGAAAGAATGATCAAATAATGTAATAATGAAATAACGATGAATGAATTATAAAAGAATGAAAGAATGATGAAAAAATAAAAAAAATAAATAATAAGAGAATGAAATAATGTAATAATAAAAGAATGATGAAAGATTAATGAAAGAATGATGGAAGAATAAAATAATGGAAAAATGAAACGATAAACGAATGAAAGAATTAATGAATGAAAAAGGATGAAAAGAAATGTAAAAATGGAAGAATGATAAAAAGATTATGAAAGAATGATAAAAGATTGAAAGAATGATAAAAAGATGATGGAAGAATAGAATAATGAAAGAATGATAAACGATTGATGAAAGATTAATAAAAAGATGATGAAAGGATTATGAAAGAATGATGGAAGAATAGAATAATGAAAGAATAAAAGATTGATGAAAGCATAATGAAAGAATGATAAAAAATAAAAGAATTAAATAATGAAAGAATGATCAAATAATGTAATAACGATGAATGAATTATAAAAGAATGAAAGAATAATGAAAAAATAAATAATAAGAGAATGAAATAATGTAATAATGATGAAAAAATGATGGAAGAATAAAATAATGGAAAAATGAAAGGATGGACGAATGAAAGAATTAATGAATGAAAAAGGATGAAAAGAAATGTAAAAATGGAAGAATGAAATAATGATAAAAGATTGATGAAAGAATGATAAAAAGATGCTGAAACAATTATGAAAGAATATAATAATGAAAGAATGGGAGAATGAAATAATAAAAGTTTGATGAAAGCATAATGAAATAATAATAAAAGAACTATGGACAAAGGATGAAAGAATGATTAAAGAATAATGAACAAATTATGAAAGAATGAAAAAATGAAATAATGATCAAATAATGGAATAATGAAATAAAAATCAATGAATGATAAAAGAATGGAAGAATAATGAAAGAATAAAATAATGGAAAAATGAAAGGATGGACAAATGAAAGAATTAATGAATGAAAAGGATGAAAAGAAATGTAAAAATGGAAGGATGAAATGATAAAAGCATCATAAAAGAATAAAATAATGTAATAATAAAAGAATGATAGAAGAATGGAAGAATGCAAGAATATAATAATGATAAAAGAATAAAATAATGTAATAATAAAAGAATGAACGAATGGACGAAAAAGGATAAAAGCATAATGAAAGAATAGTAAAGAAAGTATGAACAATGTATTGCCAACGAGACAAACTGCTCTTGAAAATCTAGCAAACAGAAGTATAATAAAGCAGATTTAAGTATTAGCTGTAAAAAGTACTTACAGCACAAGCAAATATTCCTAGGACAGTTTCCTCCGGAAATTTGGTTTTACCTGCTTCCATAAAACACACCTTTTAAGAACCCTCAAAACCAATACACTGCCACAAAGCTAAACAGGCCTTAAGGGTATCTCAAACCCAAACATCCTTTCAAAGATGTGTTTAGGTTGCAGACGGCCTCCCGGGAGTGCAGAAGGCGGAAATCCTGCAGCTTTGCGACGAAGTCGACGCTCTCAAACGCCAACTGGCCGACCTGTGCGCTCAGGGCAAAGGTAACACGCCGGAGGCGCACGAGATCGCGCGGAAGCTGTCGCAGAAGCTGCACGAACTGAAGGAGAAGATCAACCAGGCGGTGGTGAACAGGGTGGTGGAGGATTTCATCGACATCGTCACCCCTCTGAAGCAGTTCACCGAGGCTGTCTTGGCTCCCGAAGGTAATAATAATAATAATAGTTTATTAATCCACATTTATCACATTTACAGGACATAGGACAAGTCAGACATGAAAACGCCGTAACCAACAATTTTGAGATTTTTGTTTTACGGCATTTTCTAATAGAACAATTCATCCTGCGTCTATCCCCGGTACTCAAAAAACCGTATATATATGGATACGGTTTTTTGAGTACCGGGGATAGACGCAGGATGAATTGTTCTAGTAGAAAATGCCGTAAAACAAAAATCTCAAAATTGTTGGTTACGGCGTTTTCATTAAGCACGGCAGATATATACAGGGTGTTATGTAATTAATGTTATATATTAAAATACTGAATACCTTTTGACATAAGGAATAAAGGAAAAATATTTAAAAAAACATTTTTCCAAAGATAAAGAAAAAATATGCATTAGAAGTTTTTTATATTTTTTGTGATACGCCACTGGTGACACACTTGTTTATCTCTGCACACCTGTATTTTGTGAGTACATAGATACCAACCAACAAAGTAGCTATGCGTTGCCAGATGTAAAAAATTGTTACTAAAAATTTTTCTTGCAAAAAATAAATAAAAAGTCAATAAATACAAAAGTTTTATGCCCTTAAAGCTCTAATACCCTTCTGTATTTATTTACTGATCCAGCTATTAGCTTAAGCAATGATTAGAAAATTTAGTACCTTTGAAATTTGAAATCCATAACCACAAAATTAATTTTTTCAACAGTTTTTTCTCTGTTTACTCAGATGAAATTGGGACCAGTTCACAGGTTAAACTTTAAATTTGTTAAATAAATCCAAACGCACTTCCCTTAGTTAAGATATTTACAATTTGAAAACATAACCTAAAATTTAAAAGAAATGCACTAGATTCTGTCATAAAAGTTGGCAGATTTTGTTTGAATTTACCTTCAGTACAAAAATGAAATAACCAACAATTAATAAAAACGCCAAATTGACAATTTGCATTGTTAATATTGTCATTTTTGTAATTAAGCTAAACTTAAACAATGTTTGTCAACTTTTTTGAGAGATTTTGGAAACACTGTTACCAACCATAACCAGTGATGCCAGATCTTTAGCGCTGAATATCCGTATTTGACCTAGTAGTATGGTGGGGATTAAGGAAAAAAATCCGTATAATTCCGTATTTCGTATTTTACACTTATTACGTAAATTTTTTATCAATAATTAGACTAATTTAGGGGAAATTTAATTTCCATGTTGATGATTTATTTTTTAGAATATAAAACGTAGTATAATTTAATTTTTAAGTCTTGAGCAAGAAGGCAATTCTTTTAATTATTTTTTTCTACTCCTATTATATGGAATATAACCGTTCTAATATCACTTTTTAATGTTAATCGTTCTTTAACGTTAATTTTTTAATATTTCCGAAACACTTGAAGATAGGTATAGGACATTGTACAGGGTGATCCCCTATAATGTCGCCCCCCTTTAACTTTTTTATTTTAAGTGTCCCAAAAAATTAAAAGTGTGGTTATGTAGGAACTAAAAAATACTTTTTTTCTACGTATAAAGAAAATTGGAAAATTGATCAGTATACAGGGAAAAACAAAAAGTTAATTTTTTTTCAATGGATCACCCTATATATGAATTTATTTTTCGATTCCTTGTAAAATTCTAAGCATATTTCATATATCATACCATATACCTAAATTCAACCGTTTCTGAAATATTTAAATTATTTTTAAGATAATAAGTTGAAATAGTTTGTCTTTCTCTGTCTGAGTACGCCATTTTTACTTATTTAACAACACTTATTGACATAATGTCACTATAGTAATTTATTTTCAATAAAAATTTTGGTATACTGAGGCTTCTTGATTTCTAACACTTTAAAAAAACATTTAATAATGACATTTCGAATGCGAATATTTCAGAAACGGTTGAATTTAGGTATATGGTTTGTATATAAATTATGCTCAGAATTTTACAAGGAATCGAAAAATAAATTCAAATATAGGGTGATCCATTTTTTAGTTCCTACATAACCACACTTTTAAATTTTTTGGGACACTTAAAATAAAAAAGTTAAAGGGGGGCGACATTATAGGGGATCACCCTGTACATGAAATATGTCTATAATTTTCTGAAGAATCCAAAAATTGAATAAAATACAGGGTGTTCCATTTGAAATTTGAAAGTAGGTATTGGCCACTGATATATGAGACACCCTGTACAAAAAGATTTTATTGAAAAAAGTGCGCAACTAAAAATACTAATCGACGTGTCCGAGCATTTTTAGGAACATGCCCCCATTTATGTATTATCGAATTTATTCCATTTGGCTGATACACACTGTATTACAGAATGAATTATTCTATCGGATGACGGAATAAACACTGGTGGCGACATCTCTGTGTTTAATATCTAACAAATTTTAGATAAATCAAACTTCACTTTTTGCTAATTAAATTATTTTTTATGGTACACGTTTGGAATTGCATATTCCGCTCGAGTGAAAACGAAGGCGAGTTTGACGAGTTCACGTATTCCAAACTTGTTACAGAATATACTATTCTCGCCTTTTTTATATAGAAAATGTGAGAAAAAGAAGTTAAGAAATATTTTTCTTCTTCTATTTGTTCATACTCCAGTTAAATAGTTTTAAATTTTAGAGAAAGAAATGCAGTACCCAAATTAATTAATTAATTAATTTACAGATAACTGTATTTAGTTCAGTCTTGTGGATAAGTAAAACCGGAAAAAAAAGTTTTTTAACCTAAAAATATTCGGGGAAAAATCACCCCAAAGAACGAAAGGCTGTAACTACAGAGTTGGCGATAATTTAGGTATAAAATTTGGATTTGTTATAAATCCGTATAAAATCCGTATTGCCCCCAAAATCCGTATAAAAATCCGTATATTTTCCCAATACACTCGAAATTCCGTAGAATACGGAAAAATCCGTATATCTGGCATCACTGTCTATGTGCGATTTCCAGTTCAGCGTTTGATCTATTTCTAGTCCAAGAAATTTGTGGGATATAACTTGCCTTATGGATAAATTGTTATATCTAACCAACATACTATGGTCCGTGTTTGACCTCAATGAAAATTTTATAAAAGCAGTTTTTTCAGAATTTATTAATAATGCATTACCACTAAACCAGGTACGCCGAACAGGGATCAGAATTTCTCGGACAAGGCTAAGAACTTGCAGCACTTCTCCGACAGGGCCGTGAAAACTGCGAGGATGGTGGCGGCGGGCGGGAGCGGCGGTAACAAGAAGCTTGCGGAAGCGCTTCAGAGCGCCTCCCACCAGGTGGAGAGCTTGACTCCGCAGCTGATTTCCGCCGGTAGCATCAGGTTGAACTACCCGACTTCCAAAGCTGCCGACGAGCATTTCGAGAATCTTCGTCAGCAATACGCCGACACGATCACCAAGATGAGGAACTTGTGCGATGAGGCCACCGATTCTGCAGATTTCATTAAGGCGTCTGGTAAGTTATTTTTTTCATATACGAGCCCTAACCACATAATGTTCGGACACTTCATAATTTATACAGACATTTTTTTCGTGAATACTATCTCAAAATTATTAGAAGTTATGAAAAATTCAGCTTATTTTGGCATATACCCCTCGAAGCGATTTTTATTTTTAAAAAGTTTACCTTTTATTTTTAGCTTTTAAAAAAGGCTAACTTTTTAACTTTTTTTTGCATGAGTAAAAAAAGTTATAAATGGGCCCATTAAAAAGAACATAAAATATTATACAAACCCTGAAAATTTGGTAAAAATTGTATAAATAATAAGAAAGTTATAGCGATATATATATCTGCAAAATCTCCCGTTTCCTAAGAAAATTGCAAAAACTCTTTAAAAATAGCATTTTTAAATTACTTATACTTTTTTATAACTTATTTATTTTTTACCAAATTTTCAGGGTTTGTATAATATGTTATGCTCTTTTTAATGGGTCCATTTATAACTTTTTTTACTCATACAAAAAAAAGTTAAAAAGTTAGCCTTTTTTTAAAAGCTAAAAATAAAAGGTAAACTTTTTAAAAATAAAAATCGCTTCGAGGGGTATATGCCAAAATAAGCTGAATTTTTCATAACTTCTAATAATTTTGAGATAGTATTCACGAAAAAAATTTCTGTATAAATTATGAAGTGTCCGAACATTATGTGGTTAGGGCTCGTATAATGGTCCACTTTAACACTTGTATGTAGATATTAAAGTAAACACTAAACATTTTTTAAATCCGGATAAAGATAACGGGGATACAAAGGTTTATGTAAAATAAAGGAAGATAGATAAAAAAATTATTTGAAAAACGTAAATAGAAAAAATAAAGAATGAAAGAATGATAAAAGCTTTATAAAAGAATGATGAAAGAATAAGATAATTATTCTCTCATTCCCTCACTTTCTTATTCTTTCATCATTCGTCCATTATTTTTAATTCCTTCATTCATTCATTCTTTGATTCTCTGAGGTCTTCTTTTTTCCTTTTTTTATTCTCTTATAAAAGAATAATGAACAAATGATGAAATAATAAGAGAATTATTCTCTCATTCCCTCAATTTCTTATTCTTTCATCATTCGTTCATTATGTTTTCATTCTTTCATTATTTTTAATTTCTTCATTCATTCATTCTTTGATTCTCTGAGGTCTTTCTTTTTCAAATTCTCTTATAAAAGAATGATGAAATATTAATACACGAATGATGAAAGAATAAAAGAATGAGAAAATGAAAGAATGAAATAAGGGAAAAATGAGAGAATTAAGAGAATATTTCTTTCATTTTCCTTTTATCATTATTTCATTATTTTATTTTTTTATTATTCTTTCAAAATTCTTTTGAAGAATGATAAAAAAATTAAAGAATGATAAAAGCTTTATAAAAGAAAGATGAAAGAATAAGATAATTATTCTCTCATTCCCTCACTTTCTTATTCTTTCATCATTCGTTTAATATTTTTTCATTGTTTGTTCATCATTCTTTCATTATTTTTAATTCCTTCATTCATTCATTCTTTGATTCTCTGAGGTCTTCCTTCTTTCTTTTTCTTATTTTCTTATAAAATAATGATGAAGAATAAAAGAATGAGAAAATGAAATAAGGAACAAATGAGAGATTAAGAGAATTTTTCTTTCATTTATTCGGTATAATGTAATAATAAAAGAATGATGAAAGAATGATAAAAGGATGATGAAAAAATGATAAAAGAATATTGAAAGAATAAAAAAGGGGAAGAATAATTCTCTTAATCTCTTATTCTCTCATTTTTTCCTTATTTCATTCTTTCATTTTCTCATTATTTCATTCTTTCGTCATTCGTTCATTAATATTTCATCATTCTTTTATAAGATAATAAGAAAAAGAAAGATGAGGACCTCAGAGAATCAAAAAATGAATAAATGAAGAAATTAAAAATAATGAACGAATGATGAAAGAATAAGAAAGTGAGGGAATGAGAGAATAATTCTCTTATTCTTCCTTCATTCGATCATTATTATTTCATCATTCTTTTATAAGAGAATGAGACAAAGAAAGAATAAAGATGATAATGTAATAATAAAAGAATGATAAACGGATGATGAAAAAATGATGAAAGAATAATTCACTTAATCTCTCATTTTTTCGTTATTTCATTCTTTCATTTTCTCATTCTTTTACTCTTTCATCATTCGTTCATTATTATTTCAGCATTCTTTTATAAGAGAATGAGAGAAAGAAATAAGACCTCAGAGAATCAAAGAATGGTGAACGAGTGATAAAAGAATAAGAAAGTAAAGGAATGAAAGAATAATTCCCTTATTCTCTCATTAATTCCTTATTTTATTCTATTATTTTCTCATTCTTTTATTGTTTGTTTATTATTATTTCATCATTCTTTAATAAGAGAATAGGAGAAAGGAACACCTTAGAGAATAAAACAATGAACCAATGGAGGAATTAAAAATGATTAAAGAATAATGAACGAATGAGAAAGAGGAGGAATGAGAGATTAATTATCTCATTCTTTCCTTTATTTATTCTTTTATTTTATCATTATCTCATTCTTTCATTTTTTCATCATTCGTTCATTATTATTTCATAATTCTTTTATAAGAGAATGAGAGAAAGAAAGAATGAACGAATGAAGGAATTAAAGAATTAAAAGGGAAAATGATGGAAGAATTTATAAAAAAAATATATAAAAAACAAGAAAACAATACCAAAGAAAAAATTGACAAAACTGTGTCTCTACAGAGGAACAAATGAAGAAACACTCCTTCCTCTGCGAAGAAGCCATCAAGAACAAGCAACCGCAAAAGATGGTGGACAACACGTCCGCCATCGCCAGGTTGGCCAACCGCGTGCTCCTAGTGGCAAAACAAGAGAGCGACAACTCCGAAGACCCGAATTTCATTGACCAACTCAACAGGGCCTCCGACGGCTTACAAGACAGTAAGCACAAAAAAAAGTTGGGGGATTTTTTGGTAACTTTTCGTGTTGCAGGCGTACCACCTATGGTGCAGGACGCCAAATCCGTGGCCGTCAATCCTTCAGACCACAACGCTGTTTCAAGATGGAGGGATTCTAACAAAGCAGTAAAGCCTGAATTATAGATTGCCTTCCTTCCTTCCTCCCGTAGTCGTGCCCGTACGATTTGTGCGTCTTGTAAAAAGTCAATTTATAGTTTTATGTGTAAAATTCCATAACCATGCGCGATTACACCTAAAATGGTTGACATTTGTTTTTGTTTATATTCTGCGTTTTACCCATTGTGTGTAAATATGAAAGATAATCATTTATATATTAGTGCAGTGATCACAATTTTAATTGCCCAGGCAGCTTGTTGTATACTGCCCAACTATGGAGAAAGGCAGTAACTGCTAAACAAGAAATTTTTGGGAAATTAGCATAAACCACATTTTTATAAAAAGCAGTAGGTATTTAACTGATTTATTTAACTTAAAAGATAGTTTACTGCATTTCTTTGTTGAATTAAGATACAAAATGTCCATAGCTTTATCATAGCACAAGAAAACGCATTTGTAGTTACTGCCTTTCTCCATAGTAGGGCAGTATAATAAAAAAAAAACAACGAACAAAACGTTGGAAGACTCGCCCACTTTACCAAGACCGGGAAACTACGGGGTTTTACAAAGCAACGTTTCTAAAAATGAAAGACATTGATCATAAACAATATCTAAATATCCTATTTGGAGACACAAATTATTTAATAAACTCTTAGAATAAACTGAACACCTATCTTAAATAATACTAAACAATCATGTATTTTAAATATTTTGTGCTTACGCGCTGTCACCCTACAGCGCATGTCCATAACAAGCACTGTAATTGGTCATGTCAAAGACCTTTACGGTGAAAGATAAAACTTAAAAATTTCTACGGGAGGAAGGAATGCCGTCCTTACGGTACGGGAATCTATAAATGGCACTACGATTTAAATAAACATTTTTGACGTAATTGTCACCATTAACATTGCCCGTTATTAATTTTAATTTAACTTAACAATTATTGATACTTTAAAATATTAAAATAACTTCAAAATATAATTTTGTTAAGAAAATATTTTATTCTTTGATTTTTTTTATTACTATAATTGCAAAATATTATCACAAAGTATTAAAAATTCCTACACGGGTAATGTTAATGGTGACAATTACGTAATGTTCATCTTCTACGGGAGGAAGGAAGGCAATCTATAATTCAGGCTTAAGATTGACTTTGTTACGACTTTATGGAAATTTTAACCGGATTTTTTTAGCTACTAAACGCCGTCGGTCAGGTTAGAAAGGCCGTGCAAGTCAACCCTGACCTTCCACCGTTGCCGGACTTCAACAATCTTCATCTGGGTAAGTGCAGCCAACGTGGGAGTATAAAATCACCAATACTAAATACCACCAAGTCACTTGTAATAATATTATGGAGGATTTGTTGTCCTAACAGTGTAGATATTTACTAATTAAACACAATTAATTTCAGAAACGGTCCCTCAACAACATTTCATTGAAAAAGGTACAAAGGTTTACTACCAAACTTAATTATAATATCCCTGAAAAAATGCGATTTAAAACGATAACAGAATTCGGCAACTATATGTTATTTATACAATATTAATGTTAAAATAAAATACTAAGGGCCCCTAAAGTGTACCATGCGGCACACCCAATATCGTTATAAATCGCATTTTTTTTTTTTCGATTCTCTTTTAACAATATTAATGTTAATATATACACAGTGTGTCGCAAAAACGTAGTGTAACACGCTTTTAAACGCATTAAAAACCTTATAGTTGGAGATCAGTTGAGAAACACTCCCAATCCAGGTCAGGATTCCGGATTTTTAAGCCCGACCAATCACGAGCCCGGCCGAGTCAGTCCTTTGCCGAAATGGGCGAGAGGTATAACAATTAAATAATTTTTGGGGTTTTAATTTGGAGGGTTTGATTTTTACGAAATTTTGTTAAATTATAGGGGATAATTCTGAGCTACTTTATCAAGAGTTGTTAGCTAGTAACAACTTGGAAAATATAGGTAATTAAAAAAAAATATTTTTTTTTTTGATAAGGCTGGAGGCATGGTTGGGAGACTGCAGACATGATTGTTTAGAGATTTTTGTACCATTGTTGTACCATTTTATCATTTACGGTGGGTTATTTTACAGATATTCATTCGTTTACTAATTCTTCTAATTGTTTACCTAGAATGGCAGGTTTAGACATATTTTTATCTGTAAAGTAACACGTTTTATTTCTAACAAACTAACTTGGGTTTCATCGAAAAAAAAAAGTCACAATACACTAAAGAAGTATCGCTAGTAGCGCCACCACTCGGCTGTTATCACAGTAACAAAAGTATGACTTTTAATAATCAAACGCTGTTGAGTTTTTACCGGTTTTCCAATATTCAGTGTTAATCTGAATGAAGAAAAAAATTGCATACAGTCTCTGTAAATATAAATTGTACCTATTAGATACAATAAATACACATTTTAGTAGTGATTAACGTGAAAAGTGTAAACATTTCAATTCAGTAAAAATCGTCAAACAAATAAGTCGTCTAAATTTAAACAGCATTTGGCATTATTAAAAGCGTTGATTAAGAAAGTCTCCACTCAACGGTAACATACCATTATATTATGTATTATATATAATATTATGTTGCCATGAATTCGTAGGTAGGTATATTTTGTGGTTTAAAATGCAGTTGTCAGAGTTTTTTAGAGAACTCAAATATAAAAATGGTTGATTTTAAGGTTATGTTTGTGCAAAAATTATTTTTTACTAATTTATTTAAAATTTCCAAACTTAAATATAAATTATATTAGGTAAAGTTATCATTAATTAATTCTGCACCAACAAATGTATTTACCGAATTGGATCCTTTGGCAAAACATGAAAATGCAACGATTTAGTTCTTGAATTTTATTTACAATTAAAAACGCAATAATTCACCATGATCCTTTAGAAAAAATACACACACTAACGTAACTATATAAGCATTTAAGCGTTGAGTTTCTTAATCAATGATATAAAGAATAACCAATCGAAATCGAGTATTAAACCAGTTTTTTTCCTTGCAACGTAAAACACAAATAACGGGCGCGATTTAGCTGTGCAATTGAACAAAATTTGTCGAGTAAGAATTCTCTTTCGTGAAAAAACTACCTATTTATTTAAAAATGATGTCCAGTTCGTATGCTTTAAATGTATTGTTGACAATTCTTAAATTCACGCAATGCTTTTGAAGTCCACCAGATGGCGCGCGCGTTGCGAAAACCCGATACTTCTTTAGCGTATATGTATTAGGCTGTTATCAAACTGTCAAATGTCTATTTTAAGGTAAAGTTCTTAGAACTAAGTATTTTAAAAGTCGAATGAGGACTATTGCGCTACCCAGTATGTCCAAATACAGTAAAAACATATATCTAATACTCCTATTTTGATAGCGCAGTTCCAGTATCAAGTATCAAGTATTAGATATATGGTAAAAACTTATTTTACTTAAGTAGCAGTGTAGTGTAGCCTTCGCTAGATGTCGCTTTGCATGTTATATCACGTTGTATGGCTTTAAATGTTTAATGTTCATATACCTATGTTTAGTTAATTAACACTTAACACTAACACTTATCAACAATTATTTATTAATGCAAACAAGGATTCAGTTTCATACCGGAATATATTCTTGAAGATGGTAATTTGAATATCTGCTTTAACGATATAAGTGGGTCATTTTTAAGAAACACCCGCTTTCAAGAAAATTAAGATCAAAATTTTTTTTTGCTTAAATTGACTTGGTTGGATTTTTATAAATGTTTAGAGTTTTGTTTACTTACATTTAAGACGGGCAGTGCACTTTTTATTTTATTTTGAAATAAAATGTACTTAGTTCACAAACTTTTGACTCCAATTTTTTATTTTATTTTTTATTAAAAATTTATGCTTTTTTTAAATATTTATGTTCGTTAAGTTACTTTTTAAAAGAAACCATTCCGATTCTTTGTTAAAAAAACAATACCATTAATATTTTCTTTTATTCACTGTATTAGTGAGTTAAACTCTAATTTATAAACACGTATTACCAAGTGATAGTGTATAAAAATCATTTTAAGTATTTTTTTTAACAAAAACTAAAAAAGTAACGCAATAGACATTGGTATCACAACGGACTGGGGGTACACAAAGGACTTAATCAGATAACGTAAAAAAGAAACTATATAGGGTGGTACGATTTTAGAGTAATGCATAAACAAAATCCCTTGTAGTGGTGCTCACTTGCAGAATAACAACTTAGATTTCTAAATTGTAGACACCCTTTTTCTTTGACTATAAGCTGGTGAAGGTCCCTTTTAGTAATTTTCCCTTGGATGTAATCTATATCGTGAGTTATAATCACAAATAATTTAAAATTGGTTTATCATAAACTACTTTTAATGAAAGCGACGGTAAATATCCACTTCCATGTCGAACAATTCTATTGCGTTACCCTAAATTCCATTGCGTTACCATAAGGTAACATAGTGGACTCGGTAACGCAGTGGACAAAGTTTTGTGAAACCATATTTAAAAAATAATAATAAGACATTACAGTCATTAATTACTCTCAATGAGGTTTGGTGCCCTAAAATAAACCTAATCATGAAAAATGGTATTTTTTCTTACCTTATTTTTATATATATTTTTGAGTAACTTAGCGGACAAACAATTATTACATTCGCGTTACCCGCACCTGTTTCAACCGATATCTTCTTCCTGTTTGAATAAATAAATTCAGCTGGTTAATGTGTACGTCCGAACATCATTTGATGATCACGTGAGTGCCAAAAATGTTGCCATATATATGTTTTTTTTTAATATTCTATCGGTAACGCGACGGACGTAACGCAACGGAAAAAATGTCTGGGACATGAGTCAAATTTAAAAAAAGTAGATTAAAATTAATTAATTTATATATAAATTGTTTACTGTATTAACTAAGGATGTTATGGATTGCTATAAAGCAACACAAAGTTCTGGTTATTCAATATTTAAAAAAAACATGTATGTAAGTTTTATACAACGCTAATGGGACATGCGAAAATGTGTGTTCCACAAGTTTCAAAATTAAAAAAAAAATATTCTGAAATAACTAAACAAACATTTTCTGAAAGAGTTTACTAAGGGCTTGTTAGGCTTTCACTTGGTTTTTAAATCAATGAGATCCGATAATTTTGAACAAAGTTATTGGAATTCAAACTTACGGACCGCGGAAGGCGGGTGTTTTTTGAAAACGACCCAAGTAATTATTTAGTAATTATTATGGTAAATGTGGTTTTAGATCAAGCACCGCCGCGCCCACCTCTACCGCACGAAGGTGGCGCCCCCATGCGGCCACCACCCCCACCGGAAACCGACGACGAAGACGACGTCTTCAAGACTGCGCCGTTGCCAAGTCAACCCATCATGGTAAGTTTTACCGGGTGTTCTGACATTAAATACAAAAAAACATTTTATCTCCACGCGGTCTATAATTTAAACTTTATTGTTGTCAACATTAATTTTTCATTATTGTAAAATTAAATATGAATAATAAAACAAAAAGTGAGGTTAGGCAACCAGAAAACTCACGATTCTTTTTCTACGATTTAAATTATCTTTAAGTTTTAATTTGCTTTAAGTTTTCAGTGAAATTAAATGTTAAACACAGCTTAAACATTCCAAACTACCTATTTTTTTTAAATAAAAATCCAAACAAATTGAAATTAGATACCTACCTATTTATTAAACAATTAATTGAATTCAATGTAATAGCAAAAATCCATTTCTACTTAAATCATGTTGCTAGGTATGGTCAAACTATTACTGCTTCTAAAAGCAATAATTATTACAGCCACACAAATTTTTTTTTTTGTTTTGATCTGGGGGTCTGACCATATTTCTTTTATGTTTTTGGGGTCGCTGAATCCGAATCCAAGGTCTATTTAACCCCATCACATCAGGATTTTGACATAACCTCAAAAAATCTATAATTTAAGCTATTAAACGCATATAACCCTAAAAATTAAGTTGTTGTCTAAAAACCCAAGCTCCTAAACCCTATAAGCCTAAAACTCACTTAACTCCATAACCCCATGACCCACTTAACCCCATCATCTATTTAAACATATAATCCTTAGGATGAAATTGTGATCTGAAAACCCAAGCTATTAAACCCAATAACCATTTTAACCCCATCCCATAAACCACTTAAACCCATAACCTTGTAACCCATTTAACCCCATCAACATCAATTCCAACAGTTACGTATGTCAGACATTTAGCTTTGAAGAGACTAAAGTTATGCGGTTATTAAAATAACGTACATATTAAATTAAATATCTGACAAACGTGGTTGATATACATTGAGTTATGAGGTTAAATGGGTTATAGGGTTATGGAGTTATGTGAGTTATAAAGTTGTGATATTTAAGAGCTTGGATTTTTATATTAAAACCACATTCTCAGGGTTATATATAGTAATAGCTTATATGATGGGTTTTTTAAGGTTATGGCAAAATCCTGATGTGATGGGGTTAAATAGACCTCGGATTCGGATTCAGCGACCCCAAAAATATATAGAAAATCTGGTCAGGCCCCCAGGTCAGAACACAATTTTTTTTTTTGTGTGGCTGTGTAATTATTGTACATTTAATGTAATCTTTAGCTAATAAATAAATGAGATTCGAAAAAGTGAGGTTAGGCCGCTTTGATGTTGAATTAAATTGACCTATATAAAGTGCTTTGAAGATAAAATGTCGTATGCCATTCGGCCAAGAAGTGCCTTTTTGTGCTTCGCTCAATTGTAGGCTTCCGCTACGCGTCGGCCTTCAAACCTTGAGCTTAGCACAAAAAGCCTTACTTCTTAACCTAATGACATAAATAACTATTTTTAGGTTGCCGCGCATAATTTACACAGAGAGGTGCGTCAGTGGTCCGCCAAAGACAACGACTTGATCGCGGCTGCGCAAAGGATGGCCAAGTTGATGGCCAGACTGTCCGAATTGGTGCACAACGACGACAAAAGTAAGTTTCGACATAAAGTTCTTTTTTTTACAGTAACCTTAAATGACCATTATAAAACCAGTAAACTAAATTGCGATTTTATAAAACCTTGTTAAACTCTTATATAACCTTTATATAATTTATCGGTAACAAAAGTAGTACAAGTAATTAGTAATTAGTATTAAACACTAAGTAAAAAACACAACCCAAAATATTTTTTTATAGTTATTTGTCAAATTAAAACAATATTCGATAACAAAAATACTTTTACTATAGGTATTTTATTTTATGTTAAAAATAAATATTTATTAATTTGCATACCGATTTATTATTTCCGAATTAACATTTTTATGTATAATAATCCTGACTATCTTCAACTTCAATCTAATCTGACTTATCCCACTAAATTTTCCAATTTTACTTTTTATGAAATAATGTCATACAACTTATGGTTTAGAGGTCAAATTGTTTATTTAATATTTTTAAATAAATATATATTAATATGTCGCAAAATTTTTTAAGGGGACGACAAATACATTTCACTGTCATATTATGACAGTGAGGCGTATTTGTCGTCTCCTGAAGAATTTTACGAATGTAGAATACAACATATTAGAACGTGGGTATCTGCCATATTCGGAAATATTCTCAAAAGCTTCCTAGAAGCTCCATAAGAAACCTTCTAAGAACATTCCAAAAACGTATTCTTAAAATGTTCTTAGGATGCTTTTTAGGAAGGTTTTAAGAAGCTTTTAAGAATCTAATTGCATCATTGAAAGGGTATCTATTGAATGTTTTAAAAGTCCCTAAGAACATTCTTAGCAATAAGGGAAGGTTCTAAGAATATTCCACAATCTCATTTCGTTTGAACCTTCAGATTCCAAGCGGGAACTGATCGCCACCGCCAAGGCTATTGCCGACGCCAGTGCTGACGTCACACGCATCGCAAAACAATTGGCCAGGGAATGTACCGACAAAAGGATTAGGACCAACTTGCTTCAAGTTTGCGAAAGAATCCCAACCATAGCTACGCAACTGAAGATTTTAAGCACAGTCAAGGCCACCATGTTGGGACAACAAGGTAAGATTTTTTTTTAACTGTTAGAGAAAATAATAGTCAACCCCATGTTGCGGAAATTAACGCTGTAAATTTGCTTTCTTTGCTTGCTAAAAGAGAAAGGAATACCCAAAAAAGGTAAGTTAGATGATGGTTGATTACGTTGTTCTGTACGCAGGTTATCCGAAAACATATTGACTTTGACTTTAAAAAAAATTGTTTAGATTTTAACGTGTTATATTTTTTTCATAAGGGGGGACCAAGGTGAAATTTTTTCTGAAAATATAAAAAATTTTTTTTCTGAAAAACATGAAAAAAAAAGTTGCAAAAATAATTTTTCCTTACTAATTCGAGCACGCTGATTCCAAAAAATCAAACCGCACTTTCGTATCTCTTCGCGTTTGGAAGTTACACTCGAAAAGTTTATGATCAAAATTAGTAAACTAAATTGTCCCCAGCGCCCTTGGTATGTTAAAATCTAAGAAAAAATAATACGTGGATTTATTGCCATTGATAAGGTCCACATTTTATCTTAATTTCAAATCGATACGTTTTTAAATGAAAATGTTATTAGAAAATATCGAAATTTATCTATTTTTAACACAGTAGAGTGACTTAAGGCCTGAAAACTACAGCGGTCAATGGATGAATTTTTTTTTTTGTGAAAAAAATGCCCCATTTAGATGTAGAAACAAGGTTGAAGTTAAGTCTTTATTTTCAAGCGTTTAAAGTTTTAAACGTTGTAGTTTTAAAAATGTCAGACTGGGCAACTTCTGCACTAGGGTGATTCATTTCCACAAAGTTTTTGTTTTTTTCGGTGCTCAAGCAAAATATTAATCTGCATATAGGAAAAAACATTCTCACCAAGTTTGAGCTCTTAATATTAATTTTAAGCACTTACTATTTAAATTTAAAATTTTACCGTTTAAAATGCATGTAAAAAATATATTTTTTTTTCAAATTTCTAATGCTTACCCACCTTTGACAATATTGCAAATCGGTTTAATACACCTTATGGGGAATTTCACGCTCTTTAAAATTGCTTTTGAGTTTTTTTTGTAACTCGCATTGGTTCACCAGTAGGAGTCGTCAAAGGACAGTTTTTGAAAAAAATCGTTTTTTTTATTTTTTCGAGCAAATCGCCAAAAGTAGTGAGAAAAAAGGGCTGATTCATAAAAAAAAGTTATCCAACCAATATTTAATGAATTTACTGCCATTTTTATAACTGAAAACGTAAGAAATTGATAAATACCAACCCATAATGTTATTTAGATTGATTTTTTCTATTTATTATCATTATATTTCCCTACACTAAGAACTTCTTTAAAATTATTATGATTTCTCACTCATAATGAATATGAAAACAACACATAAATTCATAAAAAAACAACAAAACTTTAATCGGAATATACAGAAGGTTATGTAACATATTTCAAATTTCGCTTCAAAAAATTAAATAATCTTCATTTATATTTTTTTGCTATATGACAGAAATGTTGAAAAATTGCAAAATCCACGTTACAATTTTCTTATTGTTTTTTTATGAATTTATCTGTTGTTTTCATATTCATTATAAGTGAGAAATCAATAATTTTAAAAAACTTCTTAGAGTAGGGAAATATAATGATAATAAATAGAAAAAATCAATCTAAATAACATTATGAGTTGGTAATTACACTAGTAAACAATAAAAAAAGGTCGGTAATAAAAATAGCTCAGTCCTATAGATTTTGACCTGCTCGACGCAAATCCGGCGCCCAAAAAATTTTCCGAAGTCTCGTTTAGACGATACGGGCAGGACCATGATACAAAGAAAAATTGTTAAATAATAACGATAAAAATTAGTAAATAAAAAAGGTCGGTAATAAAAATAGCACACTCCTATAGATTTTGACCTGCTCGACGCAAATCCGGCGACCAAAAAATTTTCCGAAGCCTCGTTTAGACGATACGGGAGGACCATGATGCAAAGAAAAATTGTTAAATAATAACGATAAAAATTAGTAAACAAAATAATTTAAACGATAAAAAGCAGTAAACATAAAAAATATGCCTTAAATTTTTACAATATCTACAGATATGTTGTTCATGGAATGCTGAAATATAAGTTAAAAGTAACGTCATCCTAAAATTTTCAAATGGTGTAGGTATCTATGCAATAAATGGTACCAAAATACTGTGCTCCTATTTTTTATTTACGACTTCAGAAATTTTTTTTTAAAACATTTTGGATCTATTTCAGTCATACACAATCGAAAAATTCTATTTTTAACCAGGACCTTTTTTTCAAGTTAAAATTTGTTGCCTAGTGTTATCAATTTCTTACGTTTTCAGTTATAAAAATGGCTGTAAATTCATTAAATATTGGTTGGATAACTTTTTTTTATGATTCATCCCTTTTTTCTCCCTACTTTTTGCGGTTTGTTAGAAAAAATTAAAAAAAAAACGATTTTTTTCAAAAACTGTCCTTTGACGACTCCTACTGGTGAACCAATGCGAGTTACAAAAAAAACTCAAAAGCAATTTTAAAGAGCGTGAAATTCCCCATAAGGTGTATTAAACCGATTTGCAATATTGTCAAATTTGAAAAAAATATATATATTTTTTACATGCATTTTAAACGGTAAAACTTTAAATTTAAATAGTAAGTACTTAAAATTAATATTAAGAGCTCAAACTTGTTGAGAATGTTTTTTCTATATGCAGATTAATATTTTGCTTGAGCACCGAAGAAAACAAAAACTTTGCGGAAATGAATCACCCTATTCTGCACGTTCGTGTATTCTGCGTTGCCGCCTTACAGGCGCATTGATTATTTTGATGCTTCCTTTTAGGTTCGGAGGAGGATAGGGAGGCGACTGAGATGTTGGAGGGGAACGCGCAAAATTTGATGCAAAGCGTGAAAGAAACCGTACGCGCGGCAGAAAGCGCGAGCGTGAAAATCCACGCGCAAAACCATGGCAAGCTGAGATGGGTGAGGAAGCAGCCGTGGTATCAGTACGCCTAAACGTGGCAACACTGTTTATGTATGTGTTCATTAATTTATTTAATTCTAACCTAACTTTTTCCACTAAAACTGAACGAGAAGGTATCTAATATTATGAATAGATGTGGGTGGGGTTTTTGAACAATTTTTTTTGCAATTTAGTTTTGGTTTTTTCAAATTTTGACTGATATCATTTAAATTGATGGTTTTAAGAAAAAAACATATAGACCTTTTTTGTAGAGTGTTCAATTGTCTACAAAATTATATATAACCCATATATGGGTTAGTCTAGAATGGGGTTTTTGGGAAGCCACCACATAACATAAATGGAGATTCACCCATATATGGTTGCACGTCTATTTATTATTTATTTTTTTCAAAATTAGATAACAAATCGGTTGTTGTTTATTCTTTAATTTTTACACCATTAAATATTTAATACAATAATTGCAAACTGTGTAAAATGACCCTTATATACATAGACTTAAATTAGTAAAAAAATACACCAACTATGAAATTTAATAGATAGTCCCTATTATGTGCCTTCCTTAGCAACTAAGCGCCAAATAGCACAGTATTTATCTAGTAACCCGGTTTTAATCCTTAGACCATACACCCATGGATGGAGCAAGCCAATGCGCCATCCAGAGGTTTATGGTCTAAGGTCAAATAAATTAAACCGGGTTTATATTAATCGTAACGAGTCTAGTGATGTAGAATGCCTTGCCAACGAAATAATAATTATTAATAATGATAGATATTTTTGTATGCTTAAAAATTTTACTACCTACAAGAATTATTTATATATGTGCAATAGTGCCAAAATACCGATTTTTTAAAGCAATATTTAAGCAATCAACGAAGCTTTTTTAGGTTTATATGTTTACGAAATATTTTTATTATATATATTTATGTACCTATGCTTTAAATGTTTTTTTTCTATTAATTTTTTAACTGTTCTATTTGTGTTTGGAATGAAATTTATATAACTTAATTAATATATGTATATGTTTATTAAATTATGGATTTTTATTTATTTTTCCTCTTCTCAAAAACTTTTTGTTTTTAAAAAACCTAAATTTAATTTAATTTGGTTACAGAAATATTTATATCACTCTTATAATTTATCTTAAATTTTTCAATTTCATTAAAAACTATAAAACATTAAATAATGTATTTTTATATTTTATCATAGATTCGAATAATAGCAATTTTTAAAAAATTGATAGTGTTTGTACTCATTTTTACCCGTCAGTTCTGTGTCCAATGTTAAAATTCAAAATTCCTGCAAAATATTGAATTTTAAACGTCAAGTCCTCGTTTTAACTCAAGTGTTGGTAAAAAATTACCTACAGAGCCCGCCCTTTGCACGACAGTCATCTTGAAAACAATGCAAGCGGCGAAGTTGTGGTGAATGCACGTATAGATCCAGTCAAAATTTCAGTACTGTGGTGAGTAGTTATTTTCTTACTTATATATATTTCATTGTAATTTATATAATGCTATATGTGATTTGTTGATAAGTAGCATCCACTAATAAAAAATATCAGTAAATAGTTAATTCCGAATTATAATCTCAAATTTGTATCCCATTCATCAGTACCGTGTCGTCAGTTCCATGTTCGATGTTTCGGTTATCTTTTTTTCGCAAACTTGCTTGCGCAGAACTTGTTTATTTAATGTCATTATAAACTCATATAAATTTGGTGTGGGTCCCATATCTAATAATTGAGATATCGGTATACCCAAAATCCACCAGCCGCCACTGATGTGTGGTATTATTTGATTTTAAGATATTTAATGTATAATATGCTCAAAGTTGCAATAAATCTTATAGTTTGCAATAAATTATGTATTTAATTAGTACCCTGGTATACTCGCCACTTCCCTTGCATTCAAATTTAGAAAACACAGATATTTCAGAAACTGTTTGAAAAAGTGACTATATATGTTCTCATAACAAAATACTTTTTAATTTTCTCCGAAAACTACATAAAAAAAATGAAACAATTATATAACCTAATTATATACCTAGAGTTTACATTATCCTTATATGACCATTATACAACTAGTAAACTAAAAGGCGATTTTATAAAACCTTGTTAAACTCTTATATAATTTGACAACTTTTATATAACCTTTATATATTTATTTATTGCCTTTTAATATCCACTAATTATTCATTTGAACGTTCATTCATCAATTGCGTATGCATATGACTCGACGTATTGAGATGTTTGCACGAATATAACGTGGGAAAAATCAATTGAAATTGTATGCAAAATTTATCACGTACAAAACAACGAATGAGCGTTTTTCGCAAGGTTTTCAGGGGACGTACGCGACGCAAATGAATAATAAATATCCCAGTGTATCAATTATAGGTATAAATATACCGGGGTAAGTTCAAAAGTTGTATGTTGATTGGAGCCTCTAAAAATTTTCTTCGATGTTTGAATTTTATTTTGAATGTTTCTCTTATATAACCCTCAGCAGAAGTGTTGAAGACCATCCCCCCGGTCTTTTCAAATCAGGGATACTGCCCCCTTTATCAACCAACATGGTAGCTGCACTCCTTCGCATACAACGCCCTGTGTAGCTATTGGAATCGGGAAGCTTCAAATATTCAGCAATTTTTCTCGGCAAACTATAAAATGTGTTGATCCCCACCGGTTGCACAGTGCATTTGCCATTCCGGTAACAAACGAAAAATCTGGAATGATTCGTGTTTTGTGGCCTTAATTTGCGATACTTCCGATGCAACTCAATTCCGTTCGCTTCCGAAGTTATGCTTTCTTTTCGTTTTTGTATTGTGTAGTGTTACGATAATAACTGATTCATTCTCTTCTATATATCGTTAATTGTTAGTGTTCGTGATTCTTCCCCTCGCATTGCTCCATTTAAAGCAAAAATTAATGCCACTTTCATAAATAGATACGATTCATTTGAAGCGTCATTTAGAAACTTCATAATTTGTTCAATTGATTTGTAGGTTCATATCCTTCATTCTGTTTTTTCAAAAATGCAATTAATTGCTTGTATTTTGAAATGTCACTGCCTTCATATATTTGCAACGCACTCTTCAGCATCGAATATGTTGACCACAGTGACGATGCCTTCAGATTTTTGGACTAAAAATACAAGAAAAAATTGGAAAATTTATTTTTTTAAAAGCATAGCAAGAAGCTACTTACCTTTCCCAAAAAAACGCTACTCTCACTTTTCTTTACTTGTAGAACAATACACTATTAATAGTACTTACCATTTAACAATATGAACTAAACTTTTAACTCCACTCTCGTAAAATCATATTGTATCAATTATTGGATGCAGACAGTTTCTGATAAAGTTTATTAACATGCAAAGCGTGTATTGGTTCAGTGATGTTGACCGGGAAAAGCGAGTCGTTTTACTTTTACTAAAACTTTGAACGTCTACTAAAAGTGATTATTCAATTATTTATTGTGATGAAGAGATAAGAACTCCTGGAACTAGCTATGGAAGCACGTTTGGTGGTTTAAAATGTTTGTTGAATAAATATGTATTGCATAGGTTTGATATCCTCAACGTTATGAATTGGGATTGCATACCTATTGACACGTTAATATTTTTTAAAAATACAATTGTACTATGCTCCACACCCCAAAGTCCCACCACGTGACCACGTACGGAACGCAGTCTTTTTAAAATTTGGCATTTAAGGCTTTTCAGGTTATGTATCTGTCAAAGTATAGTCAACGAAAGAAATAATATTATATTTAGGCGTTAAAAATGTATAAATCTGTATAATATTACAATAACAATGGATGGTTTAAGAATTTAAGAATATAAATACTGCATTTAATGAAATTCTAAAGTGTATGGTGCCAAATAAGTAATATTTTTGTGCATTTGGTCCAAATATCGGGTTTTCTCCATAAAATAATTTTAACTAAACAGCATTTATTAAAAAAAATCTAGCTTCTCTATTATGGAATAAGAATATCTGTTTTAAAAGTAGGTTAATATATTAAAACAAAAATATCATCTAATTATGTAATTTTAACGTTAGAAAAATTTATTTTGACCAAAATAAATAAGTATTTTGGATTATTTAAAAGACTGTATAATATGGTATTTAAAAATGTGGTAGTTTTTCTTATCCAGCTTAAAGTGTACCTACATAAAGTTTTGTCAATACAAATAGATAAAAAGCTTCGATTGAACTTGATCTACATCGAAAAATCATTATAACTTTATAAATTTTAATAAATCACATGTCATGGGAGTATTAAATATTTTCACATTGCAAGTTTCTCTAAAAATTGTTTGTTTTCTTATAATCTAACTTAAAGTAGGTATGCCGAGAGGTATGCACAAGTTTTGTCATTAGAAGTATAAAAGCTTCAATTTAATTTAAACTATATTCAACAATTATTTAGTATACCTATATTTATTTATGACCATATTAACACACTCTTCCAATTAATCCACTTATTTATTTTGGTCAAAATAGATTTTTCTAACCTTAAAATACAAAATTAGATGATATTTGTTGTTCTAATACATTAACCTACCTTTGATACAGATATTCTTATTTCATAATAGAGAAGTTAGATTTTTTTAAATAAATGCTGTTTAGTTAAAACTATTTTATGGAGAAATGTAGACCCAATGCACAAAATATCACCTTAAACTTTGGAATTTCATTAAATGCAGTATTTATATTCCTAAATTCTTAAACCAACCATTGTTATTGTGATACTATAAAGATTTATTAACTTTTAACGCTTAAACATAAGCGGTAACACTATAAATATGATTTCTTTCATTGACTATACTTTGACAGATACATAACCTGGAAAGCCTTAAATGCCAAATTTTTAAAAGACTGCGTTCCGTACTTTATATTTGATTCGATTGCTTTGGATGTGTTTAATTTACTTAGTGAACTGATATTTTTAGTATCTATGCTTTTACTGCCTCAGATATTTGAAAACATATAGGTTAACCTAGAAAGAGTAACAGTCACGGAGGATAGGTTTTAGACTTTTAAAACATTGTAAAAAATAATTAATAAACTCATTTAGGTTTATTAGTTTTTCTATTATTATTATTAGTAAGTATACTAATTCGCTTGATATTTTTTTTTTGTGGCGAGAAATTTTTAAATATTGTGGGAGATCCGGAGAGCGGCCAGCCAAGTGACAACCGAGATCTGAAAACATTAATCTTAGTTAGCTAGTTCATTGTTAAATATGACACTGCACTTTGTAACCTAAAGCTCGACCACTAGATAGTTATAGATCATAATCCGTTTGTGTTTTTTTTTCTACGTGGTCGTCGCAGCCTTCTTCGTCTGCTTCTCCCTGGCCCTCTCCGTCTTTCGAATCGGAGACGACTCGATTTTTTTACCGATACCTTCTTCGACACACAACAACAAGAGTTTCTTTTGTTTACCTCCTCGTCCTCGCTTGTTTATTTTTGGTCGAGTGTGTTTATTCGAACGAAATGAGAAAAAACATCCGAGAATGTTAAATCGACCAAGATTAATGACTTCTTAAACAGCTTAAACCGTTTTAATATTGCGTATTATGGTACTGGTCCTGTGCCTTAAAAATTACACTGAAAGAAATATATACTAAAGTTAAATAAAAAAATAATTAGGGCAAATATATTTTATGTTTCATATATAGACTACCACATACATTGCTAAAACAAATATATTCGTTTGGTTAGCAGCCTATTGCTGCCCTAGCAATATAAATGGTGTTTCTAGCAATATTTTTTTGCTGTAATTCACTTATAGTTTACATTTTATAGTAAGGGTAAGTTTATTTTTATTTAGATCTAACATATCTTCTTTACAATAAATGTATTACAAAATTTACCATACATTCATAATAAACAGTAGTATAAATGTGTAAAGCACTAGTATAAAATTTTTAGTATAAATTTGTATTTACTTTTAGCAACAAATTTCTTTCAGTGTAGGATAAACCACATAGTGGTAATTTATTAATTTTGTTGCCATTACTTTTTTATGTTCTCTAT